TGGAACGGGAAAAATTTATTCATGAAATCCTCCAACTTGCCAATTTTGCAATTTCAAATAATATAATCTTGATTTGAAAATATATATGCTAACAATCCATTTATATTGTCACAAGTAAAAAAATAAACAAACGAACAATATACAAATAAACATGCCTGATTTCTTTCACTGCATGTAAAAAATCTCTTCTAAGAATGTTTTTTTTATATTCGGCAATGTCTTTGCAGGATTGTTTTCCGGATTGTAGTCACAGGTAGAATTATAACAGATACGATTTTATATCATTTTTTCAAACAATGAAATATGACTATTGTACCTGAAAATATGTTACAAAATGTATAAATAATTTCAGATATTACTTCAACGTCACACTTTAACGCGACGACAAATTTGTCAGTTTTCAGTTTATCTCCCCGATGAATCATTTTCAGATTACTAATTAATATTCAAGTTAGAAATAGATCGATCATTAACTTCAAAAACCAACACATGATACTGTAATTTCGGGTTGCTTGAAACTGATACCCGGAGACGTCCAATGTTCCAGGTTGCAAAGTTATTGGAATCAATCTTGTTACAAAAGTTGATTCTACTCCTTTCAGCATTCTAATGGATATTGCAATCCAACGTGGACATTGCAGAACATTGGACTGTACAAGACAAGAAAGACAGTAACAATGAAAATGAGTAGAATTAATATGTAACATAAATCAAATATATTGAAAGCATTAATGACATGCAATGAATAAATTCGGAAATCCTATATTTATAATATTTCACATTTTGTTCTAAAAGGTATTCATGTGTAGCCAAAACATTCGAGAAGTTAATAACAATCTCTGATTTTATAAACAATTGAACTCTCATTTGGACAATCCAACAAACATCTCATATGAGAATCTTGATCGAGAATAGAATTCTGGTTAACGATTAAATGTTCTCCTTGTCATTTTGCTTGTTCAACATTTTATATTTAGATTCAACACTTTATAAACATCCTAGTACTTTACAGTTGTAACTTAACGATATTTCATGGTTTTATTGACAGTTCTTATCATAAGATCCATCATTATAGCCATTGATAAGATTTCTCTAACAAGTTAGTTAATACCTAAGACTCCTCTTTCTCACAAATTATTCGGTTAATCATCCTCCTTTTGCTATATTCAAGTTTTATTTGTTAATAGTAAAAGTCAACAGAAATGCGAAGAGATACTATTGAGCACTAACACCGCAATAAAATAGAAACAATTAATTTTTAACACCAACCATCCAAGCCTATCCTTCTTTTCGAAGTTCATACCAAAACAATCCAATATAAACAGATGATCAGTATTGCTCTAGCAACAGTAGCTATTTCAAAAATTAATCAAAAAAAAGATAAATTCTAATTCGAAATGATAACTTAAATATAAGCTCAAGTTGGTGAAATCGTTCGTGATTCATCTACAGAAACAAGAAACTTATTAACATCCGCTGAATCAATATGTCAGGACACTCGGTCATGGTATCTGTATCTTCTCTAAAACTACTAACTATTATGCAAAATATGCAGCTATTAACTTGATTCCATGCTTAATCCACCCGCTAATTAGAGCCACGTCACGATTTCTCTTAGACTGTCACGAGAACATAATTCGACCACATTTGTATCATACATGAGTAGGTTAACTGCAGATCAAAATTTAACTATAATTCGCAGCATTGTTAATAAATGATAATAATGACAATAATGAGAAAAATTAAGAGCGACATACAATGATACTGAAGATCATATTACATGAGCACAGCTTTGACTTCGAACATCATTCCTCATTCCTACCCATTATCTGCAAAAATACTCCTAAACTTAACTTAGTAAAAAGAATCACTTGGGTTGAAGTTTAACTTATCCCATAAAATTTGGTTCAATTTAACGGATTTGTTTCGTTAAATAAAAGTAAAGAGTACTGGGTAAGTGCACTAAGCCCAAATAATTCCTAGTAAATTTACAAGTACCTTTACTTCCGTTCTCTTCACCTTTTTTCTTTCACTCCTTATCTACTTCCTCTGATATAACTATGAAAAAATGCGGATAAAGCTTATAAATCATATAAAAAGAAAACAATGAAAAATTAAAAACACAAAAAATCGATTAATTAGCAATTATCTAACAGATAATAGAAACAGATAATTGTTTCATGTGGTCGAATCATCGATACTATCTATTCTCGAAAAGCATAGTTGTGGGAAATCCGATTATATTTTAACGAAAAAGAAAATACAGTGAACATGCTTTTATTATATTATACTGAAATAAACGAAAATTCCCCAGTGAATAAAAAAGAATAAAACGAACAGGAAGCGCATATTCTTTGAAAAACATAAACCGAAATCTGACAGCTACATACAAATGAACAGCAACAACTAAACATTGAATTAAATGTAAAATTGTGGAAGAAAATGAATTATTGACAACTTAAGAATTATCTAACAATAAGAAAAATGAAAGTGTCATTGCCGCACAATTATCAGCGAAAAATATTAAAATGCATTTAGTCAAGTTACGCGGCTAATTCAAAGTTGAACAGTAACAAAGATATTGAAAACAATATTAACTACACGCAAAATATATATGTTTTTTCCATATCACTATTTCACTCTTTATCACTATTTCCTGTTAAAATGAAACAAATGACTTCTTCATCAACCTTTTCTGAAGAGTCAACAATGGAGACAACTGCACAAACAAAAAACATGAAGAAAGCAGTTTTCACAAAAATATTTCAGCTTTCCTAGAAAATAAAATTATTCAAAAACAAAAATTTTCACTACACATAAGACAATCAGTGATCAATTTTTAGTAATATTAAAATTTATGAAAAAGAAAAAGCTCATACCAATTTCAGACATTTTTTATAACTATAACCAAATTTCATGAAGGAATAATATACAATCAACCATTTGTAGAGAATCTCATGTAATATATCGAAAAAAAACATTGAAATTACTTTTACAACTTCTTGCTATGTCTGAAGACGAAATCATCCATATCATTTATGTGGTATTGTCGTCAATAACAATGCAGGTACCGAGAAGAGTCTGAAATATAAGCACTTGATCATCAAGACTATTTGGTGTTACTTCCTGCAAAACACACCTTCCACATGCATAAGTACCAAACTTCCCTCTCCTCTCTTCCCCCCAAAAAAAGAAAATGTTTACTTCATAAACCATTTAGTACTTCCGCTCAGTTCTTCCAAGATTAGATTATTGGTGGAATATGAAATCAAATTCAAAAAAAGAATTGTAGAGGAAAGAACCGAAAGTAATATAAAAACGAAAAAAGTCAGCAAATGAACTCAATTATATTATTCATAGATTATTGGCTATTAAGCGCTTTATTATTTCCAAACTCCACGTTATGCTCACACGTTTGTGAATTCACACTGAACTTTGTTCTTCACAGAGAAACCCTAAAACACTCACACTAATCGAAGCAGCCTACCAGCTTGATTTCTTGGCCAACATTGCATTTATATTATCACCTTTCCAAATAGTGGCTCAACAATTCGTCACCTGCTATCCTACATAATAATCTTGATCAAATAAAATAAATTATTCCTTTGTTTAGTAAATTGAATTTCTCATTTTTTCTAAAGCGAAGAGAGAAATTTAAACAAAACATTAACTTACGACCGAAAATTAAACCGGTAAATCCAAAAAAGGGACATTTAAAGGCGATAAATACACTTTTATCTTTAAATACAATGAAGGAAAGAAACAAAAAACAGGAATCGAAAATCTCTGAAGGAAAAAAATTAAAGGACGCAAAGACATGCTAAGCTCAGAGGCCAATTACCGAACGCCCAGATTTAAATAAAGTGCAACAGATATGCCCTAAAAATAGTGGTCCGTAAATTATTATCACTTTTTATTAGTTTTACAACTCTTGTTTGAAAGTGTTATCTTTACACTGTGCTATCCGAAAGATATCAGCTATCAGTAATTTCATATGTCAGACTTTGTTGCATTCTAACCACTTACCGTGTCCGTAGATCCGATTGCTATTCGGCGAAATTTGAAATAATTCACTATAAACCCGAAATCTAAAAGATTCCATTCCACTTCAAACAAATGTATATCCTTTGAAATGATATCGCAATACTGAAGAATGAAGATTATAAAACAACAGATTACCCATACCGATGAAACGAACCTCAGAAAAGGGATTAGAGACAACAGGCAAGCATTTCATCTGTACCGATAGAATAAACACTTTTTCCTTTCTTCCATAGCATACTAAAAACACAATAACATAGTGTTAACGCAGATGTAAACATGAAAGTAACGCAATGTGAAGTAAACGTAAGGTTGACGACGACTAATACAATACCAAAGACAATGTTTTCGTTAAAATTCATGAAATTAAAATTACTTTCATTAAAACCATATAAGAATTAGAAAAACGCATACAAATAGCTTCAAGACAAAATGACTCATTGATTAGCGCTATGCGAAATCGAACCATAATAATTGACACTAAGTATAATTCTTGGACAATGTAAACAGTAAAAATCATCATTGCTTTTGAAAACGCCAAAAACGAAATTAAAATTTTGAAAATGTTAAAAATTTAATAAAGGATAAGACAAAGAATCACAACAATTACAAAGATTTCGCTAAATCTCAACTTAATAAAACTTTTTGAAACACATTTAAGTTAGCGACAAGAGGGGTAGGTAAACATTATGTAAACGTGGCAATGCCACCAAGAATAGCTCACTTCAAAACGTAATGAAAACATTTTAAAATATCTCCTTAACAACCAAAAAAAAGCATTATTTGCAAGAAGATATTGATCCCCTGCTGATTTCGTCATTATTTATTCTCAAACGTAAAGCGGAAAATCCTTTGTCTCTTTCACATCTCAATCTTCTTAAGAACCATTTTAACTCTGAAAAAATGAAGACCTTCACTGCAACAACACAAATGAAGAACATAATATAATGAGGAACACCTCAAGAGCAGTTATCACTGTAATCATACTGAAAACGTTCATGTGCTTCGGGTGCTGGCAAGCTTCCATGAATGATTGCCTGGAAAAGAAAGATGTATTACTTTAAATTTTTAATACTAAAACTTTAAAGATATTACACAGAATTTAATATAAAATTCCACGGAAAGCATTATACAGAATTTAATATAAAATTCCACGAAAAAATGAAAATTTGTTAGATATTTCACAAGATAATACAACATTGTCATTAGCTTACCTGGATAATCCATTCTGATGAAACCACTGTAGCTTCCTGCGATCGAGCGATGTTCAAAATTTCCTCAGTGCAACTGGCATCCGTCAACAAAATGTCCAATCCTTCTAGAAGTGATCTCATATTTTTAAAATTTAATGTGAATTTTGGAGAAACAGACCTTACTTTTCTCTATTCTTCGATTATAAACAAAAAGCCATATCGAAATTACCTGCTGGAATTACCGGGGCAACGGTACCGCCCATATGATTAATAATAGGTGTCCAAATCTGCGAGAAGTTTGGCATGTCATAGAAAACGTTGTTCGAAAAAATGAAAACACGCTTCCCCGATAACAAAGTACCGTTATTTGAATGCCTAAAATATATGAAAAATGGAAGTACCATAGTAAATTATGAACAAAATTTTTTAAGAAAAAACATCCTTACCAGGGTTTCATATCGCCACTAAGAAGGGATACTCCGGCAGGCAACATATATTTCATGTGATCCAATAACTTATTCTGAAAAAAAAAACGAACTAAAAATAAATTCAATGACTTTCTAAAAATACTAAAAAATGGTGCATGACTGCAAAATCGACCACTGCAAAAAAATAAAGGATGATAGTCTCTACTTTAATAAAAAAAATAAAGACTTGCTTATGAGTACAAAGTGAATGAATGATATCTTCACGGAATAAATTATGAGTTATCAAATAGACAGTGGCCATAAAAAATTTATCAATTTGTAATTTGAAAAAGAGCTAAGGAAGATGTAACATGAGGATAGTGCACAATTCATACGATCATGACAGACCATTACAACTCTGATAATTTTTTGAATAATCCAACAAATTTGAAATTGTTACTTCTTTAGCACAGTCGCTGATCCACTGATTACTGACACACGGAATGGAGCGTGCCAACGCTGTGAGGTATTTATGAGTACGATAGTATGTATCAGCAATCAGATATATAGGTTTGCCCCGAGGTAATTTCTGAAACTTCCGGAACTGATTTAAAAGATATTAAACATTATGAAATCATCACTAATTCAAGCGTAACACCAATATCCCAGTTTTTCCTACATTTTCCCTTATTTAAAAAAAACAAAAATAACAATTAACAAACCATGACATCATCGATCACTTTTCCACCACCATTTTCAATCATACACCGTATTTCTTTTTTACTAAATCCCTGTTCCCCTTCACGGTTTTTACGCAATGCTGACGTTACCACGAATGTTATACCGTTGAAAATTTTAGGCAACGCTTGAAAAATAAAATGAAATTACCAAGAAATTGCAAAATGACTACAGAAATTCTTATCTATATATTTGTTTAGCATTTGATGCTTCAATTTGCATATTTAACTGTATTTGCAACAGTCACCTTATTTATTTTATTTCGCTTATAAATACTAAAATAAGATCATAAAACCATATAATGCCTAGATTCCATTTCTGAAATTACCTTTTTTAACTGATCCATTAGCAGCCGCAGATTCATCCTGCTGTTCCTGTAACTCTTCCGGTTCAACAAATGTCTCATTGTTTTCAGATGAGGATGTCTTTAATGAAGCGACACGTTGCTTCGGAATCTCTTTTTCCGCTGTAAAATCATGCAACACATGCATCAAATGTAACCTCAAATGTGCAAAACCTACCAAACTTAAATTCAATTTTTTTAAATTAACATCTACACTGAAAGATACTTGTAGAAGCATGTCGACGAGTTCTTGTTGGCGTAGCGGGAGTGACTTTGGTATTGTAAACAGCACTATGCCGAGCTGCTCGGCTACGCCGTCCTTCAGCTGATGCAATATTATCTAAATAGTTTGAATATTTCTAAAATTGAGAACATCCAAAAATTAAATGAAAAATTGTAAAAATTAAAGATGCTTGTCGAATGACCTACAAAAATTTTTTCATACAGTCGGATTCATATTTGAATTCGTTTCATATTTTGAAAATCACATCAACTCTAGTTGAAAAGATGGCGAAAAAATTCAGTAGAAGAACTGACATTAAACCTTTACAACTTACAAGATCCATTCAACGTGATAGAAAAAGATCCTATGAAAGGTACTATACTATTTTAACGGTAACGAATGGCGATGCATATAAGACAGTCAATACCAAAATTAGATATAAAGTTGTAACGTACCGGCATTGACATCACGCACCGTATTAATCGTTGTTACTTGTAATGCCTTCGCTTGATTACTATCCACCACTAACTTTTGCCACGATGATCTGCAAGTGAAAAATAAAGTTTAAAGTTTAAACTTACTGAAGTTTAAATCAAAAACCAATTCCTTTTTATACTATATCTATTAAAGTCTCGTCTCTTATGAATATTTCAAGGAGTAACCAAAACAAAACCATTGTCTATTTCATGCGATTTATTACTTTCAGCTGATATATTGAATACTTTCGTGTTAGTAAAATACTTTATACTTTCCTAATACTTTATCTGACAAATTCGTTGCTAGTTTTTAGACGATTCGAAGAGTCTAGTCTTCACTAGTCAGCTTGCGCTTCTCTCTTACCAACATAATCGTGGAACACATATCAGTTTATCAAAATACTTAACTGCTATCAGACTACACTACAACATGCCATCGCAATCCAATTCATACAAGCGCTGACCAATGATTTGATATAATTTAATGGAAAACCAACTAAAAATTCTGATTAAGGGAATATAACAGTTTGATAGAAATTAGAACAAAACTTACTTATTCGTAATTTCATTGCTAGTGTCTTTGATTGTGAACACAGCTTCCATCCAGTTCTCTGCATCATTACTTGATGGTATGTCGACGATTTCCACTTCTTCGAGCACCTCTTCATCATCTTTAACATTTCTTGTCAAACACTGCAAAAACCCACGACAATTAAAACATTATCTAAGCCCTATTCAGAATATATCACTAATATCTTTGTTCTCATAATAAGAATACTAGATACTAATTACACATGACTTGCTTCTCTGAAACAAAAAGATTCTTATTTGCTGATCTATATCTCTGAAAAAGGGAATAACAGCAATGTTTACAATAATTTTATATTCCTAGAACTTCCTTATAATATCAAAAACATATGAAGATTAAGTAGGTTACCTTTCTCCCTGCAACAAGATTACACAATGGGATAATGCCCGTTGCTACCAGTTTACGTATAGCACCATCCTCAGCAAAGACAACCTCATAACGTCCACTTGCATCTGGTTCACTACAAATGTTAGAAATTGTGAAAATTATAACTTATTTAAAAAATTTTGCAATTACATAGACTGCAATTTAGTTCGTAAATAAATAACACATAACTGCAATTGAAATTATACAATGAAAATCATTCCGCACCCAGATGCACAATTAAATATTTCAACTATAATTAGTTAGTGCTTAGAGTGGTAACTAGATGAAAAATTTCCACTGTTTCAAAATTGAAGCACTGACGCCGATATTCGAGCAGGATAATACAGACGATCCCACAAAGCATATATTCGTGCACCGACACTATATGTAACACGTTCATTGGAACGGTGATCTGCTTCAAGCTGCTCTAATGCTGAAAACTCCGGCAGCATCATTTTCGGCGGTCTTTTTGGGGTTACTGCTGGCAATGTCTCGGCTCTAAAAAACTTGTTTTTATTCGAAAATTGTACTTTTAGATTTTTCATGTTGAAATTTATGCGATAGCCTAAAGTCTCCAAAACACGATGCAAATGATGAAAATGAACCCAAAACCATGAATCCAATTGAAATCACTGCAATCACTCGAATATCGTGGCAAGTTTATGCAAGATGTATCTCCTGCACGTAATGAAATATTCAAGTTTAAACTCCTCCAACACAACAGAAATTTTTTAGTGTCAAAAATTTGCTTGACACTAGCTTCGCTAATCCAGGCATGTAACCATTTAAACAGTTTCATGTTTCCTCAAAACTTTTAAACCACAAACTACCTAAGCATAAGCCTAAGCCTCTGTTAGCTAATATTATCTAGCACCAAAAAACATCTGCATCAGGAATTTGGGAAATAGCCAACCAATGAGCAAATAGCAGACTTTTTGCGGATTACATAGGCACATAAAATATTTGGTAATGCATTTTAGCAAAATCACACCAATGCAGTTTTATAACTCATTTGCTATTAGTAACTTGGCAGTGCACAAAATTACCAGTATTGGGTAACATTAATGAGAAATTAAAAACACTAACATTTTACGTTTCCGTTGTTTCGATGATAACTGAAAATCATATGCTGAGTTTATTTGTTTCTCTTCTGATTGGCTTCCGGTTTTCGACCGCTGCTGAGATATGTCAAAATCAAATAGACTTTTGCATAATTTTAAAAATTGCAGATCTCTACAATAGTTAAGGGGATTCTCAACCTGTGAGATTAGTATTCCATTAGCAGCGTTGAACTGAAAATGTCATAGGATCTCTGCTTTAGCTTCAACTTCTGAATCGATTTTCTCATATTTACATTGACCATTTACAATTCTTCCAGAAGGAACGAGCACAACAGATTCGAGTCTGTTGTGCTCGTTCCGTCTGGAAGCATTGAAAATGGTTTCCGGATCACCTTCTAGATCTCTAGACTTCCTTTAACATTTTTATATTAATTCCATGTTTTTGCAGAATTTCTTAACTTTATAATAATTCGAAGGTTTTACTTTGGTATCATCTTGTTGTCTTGACCTATCTAACATGTTCGAACTTCCGCCTGGTTCTGAAAATTCACCGCCCACAGATTTCGTCTTTCTGTAAATACTGATCCTTAATTCAGTGCTAAAAAGCTTCGTTTTGATGCATGTAGTAATAATGAAGTGATATTACAGCCAAAAAAAAATACAAAAGCAGCAACATTAAAAACATCATTTCAAAGAACACTAACCTTTTTGATGAAGAAGTCACTGCAACTCGTCGACCCACACTTAGTGTCAAATCGGAAAGTGATTTATGAGTATTAATCTGAAATGAAGAAAATTAAACATAGAGTTATCAAATAAATTGCAGAAATCCACAAATTAGAATATGGACATATTATATATAATCCATCATAATTTATAACAATAGGAAATACAGCGACAGTGACTGGAAATCCAGCAAGTGACAAAATATAATGAAACAAATGACTAAATCAAATTAGAGGATTTGCGTGCAATGATAAAAGGATTAGGATTAAGGACAGGACTAAAGTGGGAGAGAGAGAAAAGCACGAACTTATAAAAGACTAAACACAATGAATAATCTTGAAAAACTGTCATTTAATTTATATTATGAATGGGTTGCGATCACAGATATAATCGAATTTCGAAACTACAATAGCCATTAAATCTGAAGGGAATACTTCAAAGGAGAAAAAATACGGAGTTTATTTCATAATATGGTAGCAAAATATATGCGAAATTTCTCATAACACAAGATTAATCGACTAGAGGCAAAAAATGAGTTAATTTCTATAAAAACGAAATAAGATAAAAATGTTTACAATCATGAATGTTGCACTAAAAATACCTGTTGTTGTGGAAAGAGACCAACAAGATTGGATCGCCGTTCATTTGCTGTTTGTTCGGTTTTCTGGTAACGCCTAAAAGAATTTTATTACAACAAAAATTGTGCCGTTTAGTCCTCCGATATACTATCTCATTTCCTTCTAAATGAGAGAACAAATAAACGAACAACGTAGGCATTTTTTCCGGCGACTTCGTGAATTTGTATCCTCCAAACGATTGCCGTTCCATCTGAAAATTTATTTACAAACAAATCATCTGAAGAAAATCTAATCGTTAGCACAATTCAAAACTACAAAGAGCTTAGAAACTAAAAAATCGACAATACAATACGTGCACATTGTTTCTAATAAATATCATTTCGATATTTTGTCAAAGGCAGTAAAATAACAGTTAGAGAATTATCGAAGCAAGGAAGAGACAAGAACTTCAAATAAAATGAGACGCATACCGATCTGTCAAAGCCAAGAGTTAAAACTACTAGTAGGCCAAAATAGTGATCCTAAAAATGAACGGGTCTGATCAGTGGTATAGTTAATATTTCAGAACCAGAACGACAAACATTGATACAAAGATAACGATGACCTCATGGTTTTTTTTGGACGTATGTAAATAAAAGTAACTGTAAATTTTCACCTGGATATTGCGCAGCGGTTCTGGATGATTATCAAAATTGTTATCAATACTAAATGGATCCTTATCCGACTCACTTATACAACTATGTTTCTTTTTCCCTGTTTCCTTCTTCGTAGATTTTTGAGCGGATCTCGACCCAACTGCCAAACTTGGGACTGGAAATTATGTTTGGCTTATTAAGCAGAATCAATATTCAAAACATCTTAATCCTTCACAGCATTCTCCCAGCGAGATTTAAAATTATAAAATTCTCCCCTTACCGTTTTTCTTCCCACCTCTTCTAGACGCCGCAACCTTTTCATCAGGTAATTCCGATTCTGATGTACTCTGGAAACTAATAATTAATATTTTATCACTTTTTCACAAAATTTTACATTTACCAGGCAGAAAAGAGAATTTTTACGCTGCGAAATGAAACGATAAATGTATGGAATGCTTCTTAGTTTGCTATTTAAACGTTCTTCAATTCTTACTTGTTGAGAAAATTTTTAATCTATCATCATAATCAGCGAGAGCTTACCTTCTGTATCTTCTTTTCGCGACGTATGAGTTTGGCAGTAGAAGTTGAGCTGAAGAAAAACTGTCGTTATTAAAACATTTTCCTTCTCATTAATGAAAAATAAGATTGTGTTGATTCCCTAGAAGAAGACTAGCATAATACCGAAATTTCATCCACCCTTCATAAATTTCTAATAATTTACAACTAAAATAATTTGCTTAATAATTTTCAATCAAAATACTCAAAGTATGCGTTTTTCGCATCAAATAATTACAGTTGGACTCTATAACCGCTATTTTACAACATGAATAAAAAGCAAATAACGATACGGTGCCATTAAGCTCGTTTTTCAAACCATCATTGTTCCACGATTCCATTATTTGTTTTCAAAGAAACTAAAGTAAAATTTACATAGCAAGCGGCTTCTTAGGTGTACGCAAACTTTTTCGTCGTTCCTCTGCCGCCGAGTCACTCTTCATATGAACAACTTCATTAGAAACATCAATTCTACGAGTACGCAAGCTTTTACGTCGGTCATTGGCGTCATTGTCACCTGCTTCTTGTGATTCTTTAGCTTCTGTATTTATTTGATTACCAAAAGTAACAATCTGGGGATTATGCCTTTTGTAACTTCGTCCAGATTTCCTGATTGGAGTCTGAAATAATTCCCAATGACTGCCTAATGGTTATAAACTAGAAATTGCAGTCAGTAATTCATTTACATCTATTTAAAGCATGTATTCTATTATGCAAACACCGCAAACCCTACTTCCTGGGTAGTGCCAATATCCTTTTGTTCATCTCCGTTTTTTGAGAGTTTCTCATTCGATTTCATTTTTCCGGTTTTCTCGGCATCGCTTGCTTCAGCATCAGATGTATTTTCTGGTCCCTTCGAACATTCACCATCTGTTCCCGAAACCACTGTTAGTAATTTTTCCGGAATTGAATCGTTATTCTCTCCTTCCTGAATTTCAGTTTTCTGATGAATAAAATGAATAAAAATTAAGATCACATAAATTATACCTACTTTATAACAATCCATAAAAAAATGATAATATTTCCTCTACTTACATTACGTTTCATAGTAATATCACTTTTAGTTATAACGGAAGTACTGTCTTTTTCTTTACAGGCGATTTCAATATGACTTTCTCCAGTGCATCCTCCTTTCGACTCACTAACGTACTAAAACGAAAGAATATACTACTTGTTCAAAAGATCATGTAATATTTTTTGCTGACCGATAAAGACTAAAGAAAATGAATTTTATAGAATTTTTCAAAATGTAATGCGGAAAAAAGAAAATTGAAATAGATAAAATGAACTGAAATAAGGTATATCTAATCTAGGGGTTACGAGTAATAATTGCACAGGATAACAATATCATGTTAATTATGGAAAGAATTTTAAAAAAGTTCATTGCTTACCTCTGTATTTCCTATGACAGCTGGTACCGTGCTCACTTGTGTTTCCTCTGTGTCACTTTGTCTGAATTAGTTAATATGAAAGACCGATGAATAGTAAAATAAAAATAAAAATAGAAGCGAAATATACAAAGCATGCAAGAGAAAGAAACTGTACCGCTTCTCGAAATCAGCGTTCTCTTGATTCAGTTCTGTAACGTATGGGATATCTTTCTCACATCCAGTAATATCCACATCAACAGTTTTCATCTCATTGGCTATTGAACTGCCTGGTTCAGTCTTGAAAAAATATTGTTTAAACCGTCAAATTTGTTGGACGGTAAAATTTTTTTTAATATGATCCTACGTCCTAGGTGTCTACCTTCTAAATGACGCTATATTTATGAACATCCTAAAACAACAAAATTGAAATTGAACACAAAAAAAGTGAACAGAAAAAAGGTAATTATTCATTGGTAACTTTGAAATAAATGCGTACTATATTCTCGTCCATAGTAATATCCGTTTCAGCATTTACGGCATCCACTTCCATCGGTTCATTATACAAGCTGTTATTATCTGATCCGCTTACTTTATCCCTATTTCCTGCAATAAGCTAATAATAATATTATTATCACCATGACAATGAAAAATGAAAACATTTTGGCTGCGCTAATTTTTTTTTATTAAATTCCGAAAATGGCACACCTGATGATTCTTCATTCACTCCATTTTTCTGATTGCTTTTTGACTCACCCTAAAACATTGATATTTTACTTAAAATGCTTACTTTTAAAACAATAGACTCAACACAGCTCTAATCAAATTATTAGGTGCTCGAATCATTAAACAGATGATGCACATCAAAATTCCTACACAAGGTTTATAATATCAGCCAAACATAGTGCGCACGTCAAAAAAACAATAATAACATGTCAACATATATTTGACTATCCAAAGATAGATTAATACTAAATTTTTAGCAGGATTAATATCTGCAATTAGCATAAGCTTGTTTACCTGCAAATACGAAGCACTTCGTCCAAAAAGTCCTCCCCTCATTTTGTACAATGGATCCTCCTGCGATTCATTATGCAAATTTCTGAAATTCACTCAAATTTTATGGTGTTTAAATACAATTTTTCAAATCCTTCTAAAACAAGATTAATACCAGCAAAATTGTTTAAAGAAATTCCTTTATGTAACAGTAAAAACTTTGCAGAGGACATCACTCGTATCCGAAACACCTAAAGAGTTAGGAAGAGTACAATTATCCTGATATTTCAAAATTGTTAAACTCGTCTAATCAGAAAATGGAATTTTGACATACACTCACAACTTAACATTGATTGCTTTTAACTCCATTAATAAGACAGCTTAAAACTCAATAAATATAAGACAGCTTAAAACTTTTTCCAGAATACGGAAGAAACGTTTACTGAATTTCTTCCAGAAAACATTTACTGAGAAGAAACAGTTCCACTAAACCTATAGCTTATTCTTTCAGAATGTGTATAGGACAAGCAATTACAAACCTTTCAGCTTTGTGATAAGTAAGAATACAAAAGCGCTCACATACAGATACAACAAAGAGCCTTTCAATCCGTTTTTAATGTTAATTTCTTAATGGTGCCTCAAATTAAAGCAGCTTACTCATTTCTTGCAACTGACTTTTTGCACGATCCATTTTTATCTCTCGTATCTGTAAAAAACCACCGGTAAAAAAAACGATCGAAAAATGAAAGAATTAAATATAACAAGGAAGGTTTATGGTTACTATATCACATATTTCTAAAGTGGTGAAAGCCTAATATACATAGCAGAAAATAGCAGACTTCAGTTACCATAATCATTGCAAAAATAGTTCAGATATTACTGCTGTAAAAATAACATACCATTTTCATGAGAAAAACAATCGGCGGCCGACATTACTAAAATTACAATGAAGTTAATAAACTTCAATAACTCAGAAAAACACTTGCAAGTGCTGAAAAAATAAAAACATTCATATTGACTTCAACTGTTCAATAACGTATGTTTCACAAGTTCCGTATATTGCACAACATAAAATATCACGTTGCACCAACTACCAATCAGGCTGATTCTCACTTCACTTTTTTTCCCTTAAAACGGAACAATTCAATGGATGGATGAATGGATCGAAGCTCTATCATAAGCAACATGCAAAAATGTGTTTTAAAAACTATAACTACAAATAAGCACGAAACGTAACATTACACTAACTGGTGTTACTTAAAAGCAAGCAGTAGAAATTGCCGTAGACACGTATTAAGGAATAAACATCACAATCACGGAAAAGTGTAGCAACCACGTACGAACAGAACAGAGAGCAGAATGACAGGGAGTTGCAGTAGACAATGGTCACGGATTGCAGCCTTATTCCGTAGTATGTAAGATTTATCCTGGGCTCTCCAATGGATGGCACGGAAGGTTCCGACGTTTTGTTGGATTATTTGCATAATAAAAAGCACTGAGAAGCACATTATATAGGATATGAGGTTTACGCAACACCATATAGCCATCAAAAGACCGACCATATGGAGTTGCGTGTCTGGTCCGTTACTGTTCGCACGATATGAAATAGAAAATTTCATTTTTAAATTAAAACACCATCCAAGATACATAAATAGTAATTACACAGGAGCAAATATATGCCAAAACTTCATGTGCGGGCGTGCAGAAATAAAAATACAAAAATGCCACCTATTGTTTTCTTAGCTTATCTAAACGTTTCATTCAGAGGAGGATAGATGGGATCCGTAAACCCTTCCACTACAATATGAATTACTAGAGCTAGATAAGATGGATAAGTTTTCACATTGAATTTCGCCGTTTCGTTTCCTTCCGTCCCAATATCGTTGACATTACCTAGATCAATGTATTTCTTCCCGGATTACTTTCTCTCTTTTCGACGCATCGTTCTACCTATCTATCATTAACATGTTTCAGGTCGACTAGAGAGCACCATCTCACAATTTTTAATAAATCTGCTTGATAAAAATCTGACAATCAAGATACCTGTCCCATTTGCAAGTTTAAATATAATTGCAATTTAAAAAAGATATCGAACTTCAATGTTTGAAAAAACTACTTGGAGAAAAGGCAGGAATTAACAGTTTGTTAATTAGCTACGTTACTCTACCAGGTAATATACTTCTAGAATGTGACTTCAGACTATCCTTATTTCATATAAAATATTCTAGGTCTAATTTCTCAATAGGAATGGCTAAAATACCAGCATTTGACATGTTACTGCATCAAACAAATTTTAAGTTGCAAGGTCTCCGGACTCAGCTATCTTCATCCAGACTTATAGTATATCAGAACGCAACTTATGTGGTTATATATGCAGAAATGAAAACTACAGAGCTAGTTGTTAAGACAAACAAGACTGATGGCTTCTTTAAATTTCAATTGTATGGAGGAACTGCATATTACATATAATAATTATATTTCACATGGACTCATACATAATTTAACCTGAATAACTCTCATCGCGACACAACAAGCAGAACGTAGGTGAGAACTTACCTCTACAAGCTGTAAGAAATGACGAACCGATTTAATTGGTAACAAGTAACGAAATAAATTACAGATTGATTTAACAGCCAAGATGCCGACCTTTTGCTAATGAGATAAAAATTTATCTTGTGTTCGACGTAAGATTACGTTGTTCGAGTAATATGCGCTCTGTAGAATAATCATATCATACCAAAAGGTACAACCGAAGATTAAATGAAGACGCACAAGGATATACAGTTGCCTTTTCAAAGGTTATTCAGAAATATATGATCAATAATAACAGCATATTACAACAGTAACAACAGCGGATAAAAAATTATTTCATTTAAAGAGCATTTTAATAAAGAAAATAACAAAAATATCACAGATGGATAAAAAATATCAAAAAATATAAAATATAAAAAAAAAATATCAAAAAATATTTCTTGCTGGCAATGTTATTTTTTGTTCCTTCTCTAGCTTAATTCTACTACTTTTTCAAAAAAAAAAATACTTCATTAATTTTTCTATTGAGTCATCTATTAAAAGCTCTCCTTATGCTGCAGAACACACATGTGAGATGTCAAATTATAAAGTGAAATTAACCTAAATTACTAATGGATAAATCACCGCTGTGCAAGCTTGAAGAAAATGATAGACAGAACTGAAGCAACTACAAAAGACAAAATATCACCACCAGTAAATTTCAGGACACCATCAAAGAAGATCCACAATTGATTTCGAAAAGTTATTTTATTTAAGCAACGAATGGACAACTGCATTAGCGTTCAGACTTTTCAAATCTTTATAGGTCTGTCCGGTACCAACAAATACAATCGGTTGTCCGGTAATGTATGTCATTGAAATTGCAGCGCCAACCTGGAAATCTCTTCACTATTTGTCGTCCGATAAGTTATATTTTTATGGGTTGGCCAAACATCGTAGCATTTTCCTCATTTTAGCAATATTTAAAAAAAAAAAACATATTCAAGGCGTCCAATGACTCTGCATGCCAAACGACTAATATAACCGATAAAATAGTTGTCAATAATTCGTAATACAAATTTCGGAGTAGGAAGGTTTGGAAAAAGTAAATGAGCCTTCTATATTGTGCATATAACTTTGGACTTACTTTATCATCGATAGTGTCAAACTTTGTTAGTACGATACCATCAATGAGTCGACCCTCAGCACCTAAAGCAGCATGATCTGCTAATGTCTGATTGAATTTCACCAGTTGATCGACAGCTTCATTCCCAACCAGTGCTTCACCCACAAAGAGTACCAAATCCGGCTTGTTCACTTGAATCAGCTAAAATGAAATACGTTAATTTTATTTCTCGACTGCATTCAAATAACGCCCAAAAGTCCTTTGACAACAAAACGATTTCGAAAAAAGGTAAAACCTTAGCCAGCGAACGCATGAGTGGTTCGTTGTCCTGCATGCGTCCAGCTGTGTCAACCAATACTACGTCAATCCCACGATCCACTGCTATAAACATCTTCAAAAATTAGAATTTGAAAATTTAATTCAACATAAACTGAAATATTAACTGCTATTCGTAAAACATAATAAAGCTAAGTGAATGAACCGTCGTTTGAAAAGAAAGGTGATCATTGCTAAATACATTGAGATATCTCAGCTGATAATTAATAATGAAAAATCACAAAATTGTAATTCAAATCAAATTTTAGCAATTCATTTAAAAAGAACCTATAGAAATAGCAGAAGCGGCAAGTCCCGCTGGATCCTTCCCATAACCTTGTTCATACAATTGAACACTATTAGCATGCAGAGCATTAAGATGCTTTGTGTGAGTTCGCAACTGTTCCACAGCTCCTGCTCGAAATGTATCGGCTGCCGCAATCAGTACTTTATGTCCTGCATGTTGGAAAAAATTTCTTTGGTCACAAAATTCCTAAGATGCAAGTTTCGCAACAAAACAGTACTTATGTGTTCCCACACTAATTACATATAGCACAATGCAAATTATCATATAATGTCAAAAATATCTTTCAATTAGAACTCAGCAAAAGATCGAAATTCTAAATGAAAAATTGACGCACCATTTTCATTTAACCAAAAAGTGATTTTTGCAAGATTTGTTGACTTTCCCACACCATTGACACCACAAAAGACAATTATGTATGGGCGTTTATCGCATTTCGCTTCAAGAATATCACGTAGTATATCTACGCGTCGTTTGGGTGTTAGCAACTATAAATATTTAATAATGATCAAGATAATTATAATAATAATTTGTAAAAATTCATATTAAGTTCACTGTGGTTACACTTAACGCTATCGTACAAAGATATACATTAAAAATCTGAGCAATCCGGTGCATTATTTTGTTATACACACAAAAAATATGTGTCGATATACCTGCACCAGAGCTTCACGAACAGATTCCTTCACAATGCTTGCAACACGACTGAATGTCCCTACCACTTTACCTTCCAGTTTCATTTCTACTGACTGGCAAAGTTTTTCTGCTGGTTCCGCGGCAACATTTTTCGCTTAAAACAATATAACGACTAATGTTAAAGGCAATGCTGTAAATACATTGTACAAAAACCTTCTGCAATTTCTAATACTTCAATTTTGAAACTCGAAAATTTACGCTTCATTATCGATATTAGAGAACTATTTTCAACAGTTAAAACTGTTTTTACTAGCAAAAAAGTTCAAAAAACCCTTGCATATAATTTTGACGCTCATTCCATGCTCCATTCTTTGATGTCCATATGGAATGATAACAACACTTATCTGCTTAAAATAAACATTCTATTTATAAGTGTATTCACTAAACAACTCACCAATTAATGTTTCTCGCATCTTATCGAGCACAGGCTTGATATCTTCGGCCGTTAACTTTTTATTTCCAACAAGTGAGCGGAATGCCGAAAACCAACCATCATTATTTTTTTCCTCATTCATTTCATCACCTCTGAAAAGTGAGATAATCGATTTTTACTTGTGAATACAAAGAATTCATTAAACCTAGAAATAAGTCAAAATATGCAAAAATCTTTCTAAAGAACAACCCTGGTCATTTTACGGTGTAGTAGCAATGAAAGTGAAACAAAAGGATGAGAAAAAGACACATTCAGCGAAAAGTAGAAGCAAATAAGATAAGCAACCTCAATAATCGATAAAAATTCATATTGATACGTTCTAAGCAACGAATAAAAATATAACTAAAATCTTAAATATATAACTAATAATTAGAATCAATAACTAGAAATTTCAAGAATAATTAGAATCGCAATAACAAGAATCTTAAATATTTCAAGAATACTGATATGTCACAGTTACGCAGTAATCCGTTAGCAAGCTGAATAGATGGTCTAGAGATTTTCAGTGGTACCCAATACTTCTAAATGAATTACCAGGATTCTTCTTTATTAAAATCTAATTTTAATCGCCTCCAAGATTTTGAAGTTAGCTTACTCGTCTTCAACAGCCTCAAGGTCTTCCTCACTCTGCTCCTCAGTTAATCCTGGTAGCTCTCCTTTGAAATGACCAACAAACTGCATCTTAAAATACAAGAATTATTATGAGGAATTGAAAACGACAACAAACTGCATCTTAAAATACTAGAATTATTCGATTTTTACTTTTTTCTCTCATTTAGATAAGTTTTCATCAGTATAATTCATCACCTGCTCTTCCACAAACTTTCTATCTTCCTGTTCTGTTATATCCATAGCGTTATCACTTTTTTCCTTACTATAATCCAAAGAATCGATATCTGTTTTGGTATTTCCAGAAAGGTCCCAAACACGTGCCTGCTTACCTTTTTTTGATTCAGCCGGGACAGCATTTTGTTTCTCTGACTCAGCTCTAAAGAACTTTTAAAATTAAACCGTTGTTCAGGACACTAAAATGTTCAGCCATAAAGGCACACTGATAATGAATTAAAAATAAAGATAAAAATACTAAATAATAATTCAAATCAAATAAATTAAGTATTCTTTAAAATGATACAGATATAATATTTTATAAGAACATGCTAACATCTAATCATAAGAATTAAATTTTATAATTAAATGTATTCGTATATTTTGGCTGATTTATTTCTAATTAAAATATGTAAGGAAAAAGAAATCTAACTTCTTTGTTCCTTTCTTCTTGAAAAACTCCGCTCGTCGACGCTGCATTTCCTCTTTTTCAGTGTCATTTTTAGGCGAATCAGGCGACTGAGGTGATTGTTCCTTCATCTCTCTTAGAAAAAATTTGTCAGATTGAAAAGAGAGAGGGCTAAAGTGGGATTAAAATTGCAATTCACGACCTCCAACTTTTTTGTGATGACACCTATCAATAAAAAAGTGTTAATATATCTTTAAACAACCTAATATCATAACCATTCGTCAATTTCGACCCGTCTGATTTGGCAGATGCAACTTTTTCGCAGTTTTTTTGTTTTACCCGTTTCTGCTGCTGCTCTTTCTCCTTCAGGAGCTTGGCCGACTTATCATTCGGGCGTTCGATTAGAGAAGCTATTGTTTTCTTAGATTTCTCGCTTTCCTAAACAAAATGCAATGTTTCCACAAAATTCGTTGATAAAGGTAAAAGACAGAAGTGGTCACGTAATCTCAAGATTTAAATGAATCAATTTGGAAAAAAAAAATCCGCGAATATGTGGATGTGAACCGTACATCCATAAAAGACTAAAATTTTACCGGTTGAAAACTTTTAACAGACCTCAAATTTTCGCATTACTTTGTCAGATTGTTTAGTCGATAAAATTTGAGCTTCGCGATATAATCTGAAATTAACAACCCCTATTTTATCGCTGAGGAAAACTGAGGAAAACGGCGTTAAACCGCTGCTCTATAAGTCATAAACAAAAAATTATCGTACGCTTCCAGTTAAATCATATATCATATTACGATCATAACATCCCATTTCGTGACATATCTACCCATTATTCTTGAAATTCTTCCACTCTCTTTTCCTCATTTCTAATCGAAGAAATCATTCTAACATAATCTCTAAATTTTTAAATGCTCCATACTCTAATAAACATTTTAAAAACATTGGAACAGTTGAAATGTAATAAATACAAACACTCTTGCCGCTTATCAGTTTGTGACTTCCAAACAAAAGCAACACTTCTTATTTATCACAATAATAATAATGCAGCCTTTATCAGTAATAATTTACTTCTCATTTTTTAGAGGAAATAAAGAGAACATACTTACCGCTGAAAAACATCGTTGAATTGTCTGTATGTATAATTAGTTGATGAAAAAAGCGATTTGTTATCAGAAAGAACATTTTTATACATGTCCCGAAATTTTTTGTGAACATCCGATAAAAGCTGATCTGTATAAGCAAGCTGAATAGCGCTCTGATAAACGACCTGAAACAAATTTTTTTAGTTTTGATTTTCTCGTAGTATTGTTCTATTCTTTCTGTCTCATCTGTAAAAATGAAAAACTGGATGAAACAGAATAACTTTTTCCTGGCTTCTTTACCTTGAAAATGTCCACCTTCATCTTTTTCTGAGGGTATCTCTCTCTTTATCTACTGCTCAAATTATTTAGAGAATCCATTTAACTTCTATTATTCGCAACTTACTCGAAGTTTTCATCTTCTTTTTTCTTGATTCTCCTAAGCTATCCATGAAGTATAACTATTTTTCCTTCTAAGTTTTACTATATATCTTTTACATTTTAAATGACTGGGAAGAAAGAAAATATCTTTCTTCTTTTTCCCAATTTTCATTTTGGTTAAAAAATAAAAGGATCAATAAACCGATATCACGGAAAATAAAATGAACTTACAGTAAAAACAAGCTCGAATTCATTATCCAACTTGTACTTAATAGTTATATCATGGTGCTTGAAAACAGTCGCATTTCCACGTTCCTTCAATTAGACACTTATTAGGACTGACCACATATACTCTTAACTAATAATTAGCAAATAACTATTCCACGCATCTGTATATTTATTACAGTGCCTCGATAATATTTCGCAGACTTTTCTGAGAAACAGCTACCCAAACATAGAACTAAAGTAGATTCCAAACGCAAACATCTGTGAAGAAAGATAGCGCTAACTTATAAACGATTCAGTTTTGAATACAGGAAGTACGTCCACTCATTTAGCATCCACATTTTTCTTAAACTTTTAAATAACCATCTTTAAACAACCAGTTATAATATGATTCTAACGTTATCTTGTTTATAAATTTCTTGTAAGGTATGCTACGATAGGAATATAGGCCGATATTGAAATTCCATACTTCAACTATTCACTTACAAAAAACTCTTGTTTAAGAGAAAGAAAATTCGAGTTGATGTATGGTTTACGACAGTGCTTCTTTTCATTTTCGCTGGTATGTAAGTTCTTAGTTTTGCTCTAATTAACTAAGTGTTGCTTCATTTTATTTTATAAGATACTATATTTTAGCCTAATCTCCAACAATAAATGTTTTATATAATTGTAGATTAAGTAAAATATATATATATATTCATGTCTCTGACGTAACGATTTCTTCTTCAACTGAAATAAAAAACAACCAATTTCACTTTTTACAAAAGTTTACAAAAAAATTTTTTTTACAAAAATTTCTCTCAAAATTTTAGCCGCTTTTGAATTATGGCACATTCGCTCATTCATACTAATAAGTAATACCAAATTAGTAAGGATAAACCTGCATCAGAACTTCTCTGATCAACTGATTAATTGAATCAGTGAAAAGCTGTCCTCCTTCCTGGAAGCACCACAACACAATGCCACCTTTACCGAAAATTGTGAAGAGTTCGATCATAGTGATCTCACCTTAAAAAATTCCAATAAATTTCTAACAAGAATGCACTTGGGCGATTAATTTATGTAATGAAAAGGTGGAACAGTTAAGTGTTGCGCTCAAGATATTTATGAATTTTTACAGTTTAGATTAGAAACGAACTATTGTCAGAATTACTATATCAACGTAAATGCCGCTATTGTGACTATGTGAGAACACTTATTTAGCAACATAAGACGATTCCGCCTATCTCAGCAGTTTCATTGTAACATATATATATTTGACACCAAATGGGAAAATATTTGAGGGTCAAATTGTTTACGTTATCAAGCAATTATAAATGCTTGGAATTTGAAATAAAAGAAGACCATCACTCAGCAGAAGTCCTTATGAAAAAGTGATATATGAGATGCGCGATGATAGTTGGCAAACCTCTCTAAGAACATGATGTGATACATGTACATAAGAAACAAAAATAACTATGTGAAACCTATAAAGTTCAATCAACTTTTAACACTTCTTAATATCTATAAAATTTTTGCAAACATTATACAGCGGTTGGAACATATCTAGCAATATCTTACTCCATAATTCCTATATATACCATATCTAGCAATATCTCACTCCATAATTCTTATCTTTATCGCCAATTCTATTCTTTATTGCCTCTCCATAATTCATTCTATTTCTTCATTTCTTACTTATTGAGGTAAGCTCAACAAAAAGTGTTCCCGAATTATCTCCAGAATCTTCGTTTAATTATCTCTGTTTAATTACCTCTCATATAATTATCTCGTTAAAGGCAAAACAAGTTTGGCCGAAACACAGACCAATTTTGTTATACTTTTACACGAACATATCGCTCCATGACAATCTCTTCCTCTTCTTTCTCCACACATTTCTCTAGAACTATCAATTCCTGTCTCTCTTAAATACCTCAGTGTTTCCAAAATTTAATTCAATTTTATGTTTAGCTTCATAATTTCACTGAAACGATATCCGGTTATGTGACGGATGGCCAAAAATATAATATACACAAGCTGTTGGGGTCACGTAGCTGCCGTATTTTAGCGTTTGGTATTTTCCAATTGGCGGTGAAGGATTTTTTTCAAAATAAATAAATTTAATCTATATAGAATCTTGCTTATAGTTAATCAGCTTGTTTGATAAACGTAACCTTCCTATATATCACATATTCATGTTTATTTATTTACCCTTCACATGTTTAATTTTATTTTGCATATCCACTCATTTAATTTCTACTTTAATTGATGGCAGATTAATCAAAAATAAATAATAAACGAGAAATTGAAAGAAAAACGATTTGAAATGCATTCCTGAAATAAATTAGTTAATTGCTTGAAAGAAATGTAGACTGTGAAAGCAATAATTTACTGATTTTTGATGTTTAGACAAGAATGCAAGATATTACTATCCTTCAAGTGGAATATTATGCGGGTGGTAAAAGGCCGAAATTTAAACAATCATTTAAAAAGTCCAAATTAATACGCAAGATGAAGCCGGTATTGGTTTAAAGCAAAAATACGTCAGCAGTGAATTTTTACATACTATGTTTTTTACGTTACTACATAGAAGCCCACAATATCGGATTTGCATAGAGTGAGCGAAGTAAACATGTGCTTTACATAAGACGAACCATACAACAACAAAATTAGTTTATTGCAAAGCTTAAAATTCACCAAATGATTCGTAGGCGAAACTCGTGTCTTGTGTTTTTTATTAAGCCGACTAATGGCATACATTGTATCCATGTCGTGTCCATTACGGCAATAAATTAAATGTTAATTTGCTTGAAATCCCAGTTTTCAGATATAAAATGAGTAAAGACCTGAAGGAAATTTATGCACTCACGGAACAGCAACTTCAGGTGATTCAACGCTATTTTATGTCCGATACATCTGATAACGTCAATGAAAACGGTACCTGTACTATTTTGTTCACATGCAAACTTTACAAATAAATGTTTAATGTCATGTGGAATATTAGGATTAGATGCGCTCTTATAAATATTTTATTCATCGCACGAGGCATTCATCTGTTAATTCTCAGAATTAAACATTTCATTTTCACAAATCGATTTAAAAAAGGAAATAAAATAAAATACAATGTTTTAGCACAGTTTTTGTTAAAATCGGTCACTTCACTTTTATATATAAACTGACATATAAAAGTTGACACTTAGCATAATGTATGTTTGTCGAAACATCTATAACTGTAAATAAACAATGGTGTTTTCGGTAGTTATTAGCAGAATTTTTTACAAAGGATTATTTCATTCTTCTGCAGTTACACGTTTGCTCCTATCTGAAAAGTTTGTAACAATAAGATACAAACATTGATTTTTCAAGAAATTTTATTAAAAAAATAATTTAAATTGACATATTTCATTTTTAAAAAATTGACAATCATGAGGGGCAACATATTTTTTATGATTTTTAATAGTGAGAATTAAATTTATCAAGATGAAAACATGGATATCTTTCTGGTAGCCAATTGGAGACATTGGTAGAGTGGAAAATGACGCCATTTCTGCTCTTATGTCAGAAATTTTGTTTTTTAGATATAGACGCATGGATGAGTGGTAATGACAATGATTCTAATGATGGAATGGATACTGAGAATGAAGCGGGAGTTGTTGCTTGGACCGATTTTGGTTCATTTGATGTAATTCTTTCACAATCACTGAAATGAACTTTGACCGTTATATAGCGAAGTTATTTCCTGAGCATAGTCTTTTCAATTTTTAGTTTATATTTGTATTCCATTACTCGGGCTACAATTTAAGGTTGATACTAACGATCCACGCCCTGCCCTCATCCGAAAAGGAAGCAAAGATTTCAGAAAAACTGCTAAAAATTCGAGGTGGTTACAAGGATCATTGATTTCGGCTGTAGGTAAGTGCAAAGACAAGTTGGGAGAAATAAACATCATATATTCTTTTGCTTTCTAATTAATTACGGAATTTTGTAATTTTCGAGAAATTACTGCTTACTTGTCACTAATGGAAATTAATGTGGTTTTTCTGCGCTATGTTCTCTGAAAAAAATTTTTGCTGGATTTTAATCATGAGGAATATTAGATTAATTTATACATCGTTTTTGGATCATTATGCAACTATTTGCCCAAAAAACTTCGCAAAAACCAGTTAGTAAATTAGCTTAGACTTTAAGTGCATTTAATTACAGGAAATATGGATTTACTAATTTTTGCTCATGCGCAAAAGGTTGTTTCGATTGAAAAGAATCCTTCAGACAATTCATTTCAAATAATTGCGCAATTTAATACAGCTGATTTATCATGGTCCCCTCCGGTATATCAAATGCAATTTAATTTTTTTTCGGTTTTTTTCATGAGTTCATATTTAGAACTAAAAACATTGACCAATTTTTTAAGGCCTATATTCGATGTGTATGTGTATTGCCACTGAGTTGTACAAGGAAAACGGAAACGTCATTATATGATTGGTCGGCAGTTGTTATTGGGATGAGCAATGGATATGTCCGATTTTTTACAGAAAAGGGTTTACTGCTACGTTCTGATCACGTTTCGAATAGGTAATGATTTAATGTTATACCTAAGAAAAACTTGAACACGAAACAACAGCCTTCATTTCTTTTGATGAAAAAATTACACTTGTTTCTGAAACCGGAAGGTTTCCAACAGTGATATTTTGGTGGAATCCTGTGAATATAAATTTTTATGTCAATTTTTTTTCTTTGTCCTCGACTTTTTAAGCTGTCGGTTTGTAGTCCTATCGAGGAAATTCGGCTTGGAAGATCGATGATGGCTGGAAATCAAGAATTGGCGGTATTGTCGCAAACAGATTTGACATGTATCGAAGGTCTTTCATTATACGTAGCGTTAAAGGCAGCAAAAAATCAAGTATATCTAATGATTTTTTTAGTCATTTTCGTTTCACTTATATTTTATAAAAGACGTTACGATTTCCTTTCTACTTTATGTAGTATCATTGTTCGCTTCATTGGAATCAATTTAGTCAATAATTTTGTAATTTTCTAATTAAAAAATAACTTCCATCTCACAACCATACTATTATTCTTTAGTTTTCTTGAAATTTGTTTTGAGTGATTTGGTATCATTTTTCCGCCATTTTTTCATTGTTTACCATTCACTTAATCATGCAAACAGTGATGAAGGAAAGGGTAGAATTCTGAAATAATTCTGTTTTCGGTATTGAGTAAAAACTGACAAAAGGATGTTTTCTTTTTTGCAGCTTGCCTGTGGTGAGATGGACATTGAGAAAGTAGCAGCTCATGCGAAATTAAATATTGAGAAATTGAAGTTTGAATCTGGTATAAATGTTGTTGATTTCGGTATTTCGGGTCCGTTAAAAGCAACATGGTTCGATCTTCATAGTGCCGCAACACTTTCGCCTCAGGGTTATAAAGTAAGACATGAAATATGCTGAAGTTATTCAACGAGACGCATTTGTTGGCAGTGATTAGTTTCGAATAATTTTTCGCATGGAGTAGTAATTTAGTGGTTTCAATAGCGAAATTCTCTCGAATTTTAATTTGTGTAATTAGCAAAGTTTTTTGAAATTACTGTTTTTCAATTTTCATCTTTTGGTAAAGAGTATATGTAATGCAATCTTTTAGTGATACCTGATGTGCAAAGCGAAATGAGATTTTGATATATTATGAAAATCTTGAGACACTTTCAGGCTAAAATAGAACGTTCATCACTTCCTCTTTATTCGACATATGTTTTTGTTGGTCGGTCTCCCTACATAGGCTTTGGTTGGCATACGCCAAGTGCTTCGCAGAGTGTTTTAAGTGATGCTTTATATGCTCTTGGAAGTCAGGTAAAACTTTAATTCTCCGAAAGAGAGGAAGATGGAGAATAATTTTTTGTTGCTACACAGTTTTGAACTGGATATATTGAACTCTGAAAAAAGTATTTTAAGCTTACATCGTCTGTTGCATCAAGCATGCCATCGTTTGGCCTACGTTCATTTTTGGGCATAGGCACATCCCGAAAGGATCGTCAATCAATTGTCGAAATCAAGCCCAGTGCTGTGATACCAATGCGTTCATCTATTGTTGATGGCAAGCGTGAAGGTGAACGCATATATATGGCACCAGCAAAGTATAAACTTGCTGCAGTAACAGATTCGTTAGCTCGCGTGACCTTAATTGATGTTAGTGATGTTGCTTTCATTGATATAGCTATATATAGAGTTGTGAAGTTTTTACGGTGATGGAATTTTTATGTGGAAGTGAAAGAAGGATTTATTGGAGATTAAATTTATAGATTAGGACCCGCCATATGGTACGGATGTGGAAAGGATACCGTGATGCACGTTGTGCCTGGTTGGAGAGTGCATCCACATTAGACCGGAAGAAAAGTAGATATGAACTTGAAGTGCAACCGTCAACTGCTTTATTCTTGATAATATTTGCACCAAGGCGTGGTTTACTTGAAGCATGGAGTATGCAGGTATTGTTTAGCTTGGAGATTTTTCTGAGATCTTTTGTCTTTATGAAAATTGATATAATCTTTGTGATAAGTGATAGATATGTGATAAGTTAGCTTGTGTTTCTAATTTTGTAATATTTCTTATATTTTACCATGTGCTGATTGGCCATAATTTACAGCTTCATTCCATTTCAAGTCAAGATATTTTGAAATTATTGTTAAATGAGATTTGGATTATTAACTTACACGTACTTCCCGTACTTAGTTATTTCAGAGTATTCTTATGTATCGCAGTAATAATTAGTTTCAGGCTAAAATAAAATTTTAATGGAAATTCTGTTCACATTGCATTTAACTCTTCAAAAAATTCAGAATAGAAGACGAGTTTTTGCGTCAAGAGTGGACCGACATGGTCGATTAATCAGCATACCGCGACTCAGCGATTATTTATTAGGGTGTGATGAACGGGCTACATCACATTTTCCATCTGTTTTCTTTTTGTCGTCGGATGGAACGATCTATGTAAGATTGATCAAAAATTTTCATAATTTATGATGTATAAATTATTGTGATTCGATTTTATTTAAAATAGATTTTCGGCTTCTTTATTCGTACTTTAAGCAACTATGGATTCCCTTCCATCGTGCATTATCAGACGAAAGTGACTTCGCTATTCATGATTCAAGCATTATCAAAGAGGTTAGTTCACACTGTTGTACTGTTTTTAGACATGTTATTTTTTAATATAGATAAAGAAAATCTGTTCCCGTCTATTGTGAAACTAACTTGGTATCTTCTATTTTCAAAGTTTTTGAAATCCATATTAAGACTCGGAATATCTTGCAAATGAAGGTTGACGATTGAATTTTTGATCACGGTGATAAGACATAATAGTATCTGGAAAAATGAGCGAAAGCAAAGAAATTCTGAAAAGACTGAAAATCCAAAAAAGGAATGTTATAAATATGTGGCGTATGACGAAAGGTGAATTTCAGATTAATCACTTCATAAAAGGTGGTATTATAAACGACTTTTCGACTTGGTTGCAATTTTTTCGAGCTCTAAAAACCACTGCTGCAATGCGAGAAAGTATAGATCTTCTGTGGAGGGATTTCGACGTCGATTGTTACAAACTTAGTCGTATTATAGCTTCCGTTCTACAGCATGTAGAAAACTTTCATTCAATGGTTTGAATTTTGCACTGTTTATAATTTCTGTTTTTAGCTGTGTAGTTGCTTCGTTCCGACCATCTTTTTTTTATCTTTGTTTCGCTCCACCTAGCAATGGATTCCACTTTTATTTTTTTTAAACGAAAATGTATTTTATTTAGCAGTCTTGAATCTTATTAAAATGTATGTTTAAATATTTCCCTTCTTATTTATAATCTACTTTTTTTCTCACGTATAGATAATGAAAATTTTTGAAAAATTCAACTGCTCGGAAATTTCTGCTTTTCTTGTTTGTATAAGTAATAATGATTAAAATAAATAAAATAAAGCATGTAATTTCTATCTTCAGATGAAATCTCCAGATAGCGATAATTTGGTGATTTATGTTACTGCAATTTCACAGCTGATTGATATTTATATATATTTGCATAAAATAAACATTGAACAGCCGAACACGACAACTGAGGAATTTAATAAGACTGATATTGCTGAAAGCCTCTTCATCAATAAAGAAATATTGGATTTATGCCTGCGACGAATTTCCGAGTAAGTTTAGGCTGAATCTATGTTACCTCGAGATTTGCACCAAAATAATTATTAGAATTGTAGCGAATTTCTGAAGGTAAAAGAATTCAGTGATATCTTTTTTCTTTCTCACTTATGCAAGAAGAAAATGTTTCTATATTTTTCAAGAATTTATGTTTTATCGTATGAAAATTGCAATAAATTCTTTTATCATTCAGGTACCACACTGAAAACTTTTCTTCGAAAAAGAAAAACCTTACACTTGCTGAATTCATAGCACATTTTGACTTGACTCAAGCGAACTTGACAGCATCGAATGGGACACGATTGAAAAACAAGTAGTTTCTTCATCTTCCACTAACTTGTTTCAGAACAGTTGAATAGATATGTTAGAAATGAAAAACGGTAGATCAGTTTCAGGTTAGTCAAGAAAACTGCTGCATTCGGCGAGCTTCTTTTTGGTGGCGTATTAACGGGGCGTTGTACGATTCAGCATTTTATAAATTACATGATACCACAACTTGGCTTATCAGAAGTGAGTTGTACATTGCGTCTGGATGATTCTTTGTTCTTGCAGGCACTTATATCTCTGAATCATTTTTACCTCTTTCTTCATGGTTATTGCTGCAAGTTATGACAGTTAAGATACTTTCGAAATGATAGTGTACATCATAAGTTTTCCATTGCTCTTCTTATATGTGATTATCATGTCTGCTTAGATCATGTAATCATGTAACTTAGACGTACTATAATCTATTCTCTAGCATCTGTTTTGTAATAAAGAAACATAATTAAGATTATCCGGAAGACAGCGCTTTTGATTTCTTATAAATTACATAATAGTATATATGATTATTTAGGAAGATTTTGCGGATGCGTTTTGTGCATATTGGCTGAGTCCATGTGATGATCTCGTTGATCGCTTACCACGTGTGTTAATCCTCTGTAAGCATTTATCGGAAGTTGATTCTGACGGGCAATCTTGGTTAGCGAAAGTGGAGCAAAATATTCGTATCAGGTCTTGTTTTTCTAGACTGATATTTTCTCATTGTAATGGTACTTACAGACTGTTTTATGAGCGATGAGTGTATGAAGTTAATTTTTCGATAATAAGATTCGACATAATATTTTCAGTCAAGAACTTGGTGCAGCTCTGATATTATGTTTGGTTGCACGAGCTGTAGCAATCACTCGGAGGTATTCATCGTCAATTGAAGTTAGTATTTTATGTTGTTCGTCATTTTATAACAGAAATACGTATAAAAATACATATAAAGGACAATAGCCTGGATACAGAAAAGTAAATGATTTGAGAACGTGTCACAATAAATTTTGCATGTTTTTTGCTATCCGATATTTCAGATTATCAACAACAGCAGTGAATTGAATGACGGATCGCGTTATGAGAATTGGAATGAAGTGGAATTATCGTTGGAATGGTGGGATTTGCTTTTAAGACATTTGCAATGCATGCTTGTTCTTAAAGCACTACCTGGTGATTTACGAGTTTGCCTTTCAGACTTAATTAATGGTGGTCCAGCTTACTATAGGGAGCAGGTATTTTAGTCTTTTAATCTTTCTGAGAAAAATGCATAACTTCTCGAAATTGAAACTTTAGTTTTTCATTATTTCTTTCATTCAGCCCGGTCATGAAAAAGGCATATATATCAACTAAGTCAATTAGTCGAGGAAAGAGAATACATGAAACAGTTTTAGGTTACGGATATTGCGCGTGGGATGCATTTTCTACTAGTTCGAGATGGATTGTAAAATTTCAGATTGGTAGATGGGCAGCGGAATTCAGTTTGGATCCGGTACATCTTTATGATATCTTCAATGATCCGACGATAGTAAATCCTAAAGTGAAATGGGAAGTTACAATCGGTGAATTACGAAAATTGTTCCCAATAAGTCTTTCATCTAAATATGTGGTATGTGATTGTGCTTGGGAATGTATTGGTGCATGGAGGCGTCACAAAGATAAAAATGAAGCTTGCAAATTATTAAAAGTATGAATTCATGCATACTTTTATTTATATTTTCCTTCCTAGCACTTCTTTTCTTTTGTTCTTCGAATTGTCACAACAAGCGTACTTTAGTTTATTTAATTTAATTAGTTTTTTAACTTGATATAGATTATTTGCTTTTACTATCATTACCCAATATTTTCAACTGAATCAACTATTTTTACGTGCTTACTCATTCTATTGGTAAAATCACACGAATATATTGACATTTTTGATTCCTTCCTTGTTTGTTTTTCCTTTTCAGAAAACAGTAAAATTTGTTGAGCTTTTGAGTGAAGCAGGTATATTGCAACATGGTCTATGTTTCATGCTATGGGATACGTTCCTTCGTCAGCCTTTCCGATACATTTACGACTTTCTAAATCGGAAATCGTCGAAGTTTAAAAAATTGGAGAGTTGCAGAATGGATCTGGTAAGCATTTTTTTTCCGAAATTTTTAAAAGTTTTGAGCATATTAATGATTTTGGTAAAAATTAATTTCCTGAATAAACAGAATTTGAGTAATTTGAGCAGCTGAGTAATTTGTACGTTTTGGAACTCTCAGTTATTTAACAGTTCCCAGCTAGTTGAAAGATGTGGTATGTATTACATAACTAATTATGCTGTATGATTTGTTACGCTGATCTTATGATATACTATTTCTGACTCGGAAAAGATAACTATGTCAGTACATGTAGATTATTTCACATGCGTGCTACTCCAATCTTTTTTCATATGATTGAATTCCATAAAAAACTTTTTAAAGGATGTTTTGCATTTCAGGAGCATTTTCCTTCCTGCTGTACGAAAATTTTGCGATTGTTGCGGAATTCTGTAAGATTTGCAGAAGCAATCGATGGAAGTGAGGATTCATCAAATGATTCTATTGGCTCTAATTTATTCGAAGATTTTACTGAATCAGTGTTTGAATTTCAGCGGCGTAAACAAACGAAACCAAAGTATATTATTCTGTTTTTACATTATTATATGTAATTCAATGGACATATCACGAATCCCTTTTCTGAAGATCGGTAGAATATATCAACTTTCTGAATATGAACCAAAAGGGGATCCGACTTGTTCATGCATCCTATTTACTTCTTTTGAGGCAAACCTTTCTTATTATCTCTCTCACTCATTCTAAATAAATTTATTATCCATGATTTGTGAACTAAATCTTTTAGCGTAAATGGTTAAATCCATTATCATAACAAAAAGAGCCTTTATACAATTTGAAATATCATAAATGTTATTTTCAAATATCTATTTTTAAACATTTTACTGTTTCTGCCGTTCTTCAGAAAACCGTTGAGTCTCATGGCCGGGCTTCAAAAGCCGGTGAATTATCCGCTTGTTTGTCATCATCATGACCTCGCAATGGTGATCGAATTGCAAGTAAGCTTACTTATAAAATTGTACAATGAGTGATAATGGTCAGGTATTCGGAGAAACACATGTTTTACTCCAAATTTAATTGCGGCATCTGAGTAAGTATGAGTGAAATCATAGAGGATGCGTGATTTTGCAATTCTTTTCATTCACTGAATGTTTTTAGAATTTTTCAAGGTAAAAGACCTTTGAACGAATTAGATTTCTTAAATCACTAATTCAGCGTAATGTTTCTCTTAATGCATCGAAATAACTTTGCCTGATAAGTGAGGAGAAAGCTAATTATATAGTTGCTGAAATTTAAAAATTTTAATTGTAAATTTTATAGGTTGCTCTGGAAGAATGGCCTCCAGGGCCAAAATATTTGTTCGATTCAGTTGGTGAACGGGCATTTTTCGAATCATTATATGCTCATCCATTGATTCCGATGGAAAGCGTTACGGAAAGTGTTCGAAAAAAGAGGATGGATTTCTTGAAGAAATGTGTCGCGCATAATGGTTCATCAGAATTTAACCGTGACTTACGTTTTAATATCTATGATCTAGCTAATGATTGGACACTTAGTGCTGACGAAATCAAGAGCAAGGTATAGTTTCAAGGTTTCATATTGTGTTGAAAGAAGAAAATCTAGAAAAGCTAAAGTATTTACAGATTTGAAATGTGTCAATTTCAGAAATATTTAGGAATTAAAATTGAAAAATTCGTTTTTTGTTAACAGAAAAGTTTCTTTAATGCTTTTTTGCTTTTATGCTTTTTTGTCTTTCACATTGGGAGGTTTCTATGTTTTAGGAAGTTGTTATTCTATACCAAAAAGGTCTTGATTGCGAAGCAAAAGATGTCTTAAGAGTGATGGAAAGTATGGAGCTTCTGCCTTACGAACTTTTCGACATAGCTGTTGCGCGTGTCCGGAAATGGTTCGATACAAATGAAAAGGAGGATCTCATGATGCGTGGTTTAAGAACGTCATTTATGAATGATCTGTAGGTGGATTTCAACCCGATAATTTAATTTTGATCACACAAAATTTTTATGTATTACTTGACTTGATGTCAAACAAATGATTGAAAATCCTAATTTCCTCGTTACGCTCAATGGAAGACGAATTAGGAAGGGTATCATATAAATCAGGGATCAGGTGCTGTAATCTGTAAGCCTAAATTTAAATCGAAAATGGTATTAAATAGGCATCCTACCTACTGGTTGAATATTTTCAAATCGGAAGAGTTTTTTCGTGGAATTCAAATTTCTTTTATGAAAAATTTTTAGGATGATGAAGTGTATTCGTGAATCAAAAATGGAAGTTGTTCTGGTTCCGCCGGATGATATTAACCAACTTATGCGTCAAGTAAGAATATGCTTAAGTCGTGTACATCCGAATGATCAAGCAGTTAAAATTGATCGCCTTGCTCTTGACTTCGAAAAACTTATAACAATGATTCAGTAACCATGGCCTTTTATTTTATTTGCACAAATATGATTTGTTATGCTGCTTCCTACTCGTTTTGGTTTAAGCACTTTTGCATTCTCTAAACAGCAAGTTTACCTAGCTCTCTAAAGTTTTTAAATTTTCGTTCCAAATCCATAAATTTTCAATTTATCATGATGCATAGACCACTATACATTTCATTGCTGTAAAATTTACATGTTACATTCCAATATATTGAACAGTTTTTGTTCGGTACTCACATTGATGAATCGAAGCATGAAGGTTTCCTTATGAAAATAAATAAATGAGTATTTCGATTTTATTTCAATTTTAATTGATAAATGATCGAAATTTCTGGATTTCGTTTATTTATTGGACATAATTTGCCAAATTTCTGAATTTTCCAAAAATTTTGATTTATAATGCGTTGTCAAATCCAAGCGCGATATCTGTGATTCATTACTTCTATTGTTTTTTTTTTAATGAACTGCTGAAAAATTATCATTGAAATTATCATTGTTTTTGCACATATTATATCATTTTGTTTTAAATATTTGAATGATTGCTATTTTATGAATTGGTAGAAAACAGAAACCATTAGAAAGAAAGGAGCGAGAAAGTTGAAAAAGTAAAAGATTTTCGATTATCACGGAGGATTTCTCATTAGGATAGGATGGAAGAAATGCTTTGAAATCTTGTGGCAAAATGATTTCTCTTATCCATGGGCATCCGTCGCTCCACATCCGACTTAGTCCTTATTTCTGCTGAATCTTTTGATTTTTGATTAATTCTTTGCTTGTTTCTTTCGATATCTAATTTTAATGTTGGTTTCAATTGGTGCATATTTTCATTCCACTCATTAATATAAATACAGTTTACTTCCATGTGTTTTACATATCTGACATTCACCATACATATATAACATTAGATCAGTCATTCGTCTCATTTACCATTTGCGTGTTTTATGTTTCGTATGTTGATTTTATATATATTAAGTATATATAAAGAGAAAAGAGAGATGGAGGAAAATGTTTTATAATATGCATATACATGATGGAAATATTTGGAAGATTATTGAACATCATTCATTTGGTTATGACGAATTTTATGTGAGTTTAGAAATTTCAATTTTAAAACTTTCATGACTCATACATTACGATAATTTACCTCTAGCTTAGACTCAAACTGATTGTCAGTGTGGTTCCGGAATTGATGATGGTGTTCATAATAAAAGGGGCGGCAGTAATCGTGATTTAAGCAAGTGTGATAGTCAATGACATGGGGTAATTCAAATCCCAGTGTTTGATAGTTGGTGAGATATCCTGCCAAAGTGATCTCTCTTCAATGCTTGCTTGAAGGAATCCATAAATTTATTTGTAAGTAGTTCCACTTAATCAAAGGATTATATTTCAGATTCTTCGATCATTTTTACTTTGATACGTTTTTCCCGTGTTTGATTCCTTCATTAGTCGATAATTGTCGTGGGCAAGAGGGAAAGGGAAAGAGAAAGGAAGGGAAGGCGTCTGTGAACTATTTGTTGTACGCGACAATAAATAGAGTGATGTTGAGGTGAAGAGAAAGAGGAAGGGATACGAAAGATTGTGGAATTGGACGAAGTAGATATTCTGGGCTGACAAATAGTATAGTGACTGTCACAAACTGAGAGGAATGAAATGATTTCGAATGATGGAGAAGACTCAAATTGGATAATTTAAAACTGCCCCGTCATTTCAACGAGAAAATTCACCAGGAATATTTTTAGAATAGAGATTTTTTCGCAAAAGTTCCATTACGTCTGTTTCGTTCGTATGTGTCGAAAAGATCATTTCATTCGTTCATTCAATTTCCGATACTTCTACATCAAACCAATTACGGCTACGTAATTTCATCCACTCTTCATTTTATTTGCTTCGCATTTATCCACAGCGGTCACAGGTCATTCGCTTTATTGGTTCCACACGAAAGGTGTTTATGTCTATTGAATTGCTCAACGAAGCTCGTAGGTCATGCAACCTATTTACTCTGCCATATATCGATCCTATCTTATTTTATCTTGTTTTGAACTCTTTGCTCTTCTACTTATCCCAGAAGGCTTTTTTAGTCACAAGATCCACATCACATATATGTATTGCTATTTCTCATCTAATGAGATCTGTGATTCTTTCTCATTTCCTTGTATTCCTTAATGCCTTTTATTCGCTAATAGTTTCTTTAAATCAGTGCCTTAAAGAACGATTCACTTCGTTATATCGTTCACACATACTGATCAAAGTAATTGCAATTTTCAATTGCTCCTACTTATGCGAATGTTTATGTCTCTCCGTCTCTCTGCCCCTCTCTCTCTGTCGGTCTGTCTGTCCGTGCAACAGCCGTTAAAATTATTTTCATTCCATAATGTTATGGGATATAGCTACCTTGAAGTATAGCTTAGTTAGTTCGTTTCTTAGCCGATTGATTGGTTAGTTTAATTTAAATGTGTCTATGTGTATTTATTCAGTTTTATTGTCTAACGCATAAATGTGTATGTGTATGCGTGTACATGTTTTACGTGTATATGCGTGTGTATGTGTATGTATGTGTGACTATGTGTATGTATTATGTGTATAAAATGTAGTCGATTACAAAATATTAGTGTTAAACGTGATGGCAATTGATGCTAACTGGTTATAAGCGTACATAGTTGGTTAGAAAGCACATCTTCATTTTTCAGTCCATTTTAACCAGTTGCCAGGCGCAATGCTTCGTTCTAGGCCTCTTCAATATTTTCCAATGTTTTATGTCGTAGTCGTTTTCAAGAAATCACGAAAAGTTGTTATTGTATTCTCTCTTTCACTCTTTTTTTGGTTCACTTTAATTTAGTCCATTTTATTAGTGTATATTTTATATAATGAAGATTGTGAATACTTAATAATGCATTAATTCTCTCTCTCTCTCTATTACACATTAAAATTTATTTCATAGATTTTTCCAGCTTTTAATTTGCTCTTATTTGTACCATTTTTTGGATAACTATATTATCATCATTTATTTAATTCGAAATAAGGGATGTTTTTTTCATTTTAAATTTTAATTTAACTAAAAGCTATAAAATGATTTTAAAATGAAAGATGAAAGTTGCCGTTTTTCGATTGAATTTGAAGTAAACTTATAAATTTAGCAGCTATGTACTTTTTTTCAAGTCAACTTCAAAATTTAGCAAATGATAGTATGAAAAGTGAAATAAAAGATAGCTGGTTACTTTAATGAATTTTAAGTAATTTTGTAAAATTGGAATGTAATTAATTATATTGTGTGGTGGTGACTTCAAATATATAATAATTTCGTAAACAAATTGATTGATGCCATTTCTGTCATTTATTAAAACTATCGAAAAAAGTTTAAGCCGACAATGAATTTTGATAGGAAGAAGAGGAGAATTATGGAGAATTGAACTTATTTCTTTTTCATTTTTCTTCTACCTAATATTTCTTCTTTCATATTATATTTTTCATTATCATTTATTGCATGTTTTGTTGCTAAGATATTTATAATTATTACTAAATCTAAAGATGCTAGTTCTATTTTAATTCATCTAATTAAAAATGAACTTCAGTTTTTTCCTGTAAATATCATTTGTCACTTTTAGTTCAGCTTAATTCTGAATTCTATTACAATTCTTGATTTCAAATTTCGCTTCGCAAATTCGTAAAATAATGAAGTTATCACATATGCTTATATATATATATATATATATATATGCATGCATGTATGTGATTTTCATTTGTAAAATCAACGCTCAACAAAATTCATTTTTGGTATAAGTTAGTTTCAGTTTAGTATGCATATGCTTAAAATATATTTGGCACAAATAAAAAGGCATAGTGCAATTCCTATTGTATTTATAATCGTTTTATCATAGATAAGTTTTTTATAGATTTTAAATAAACTGGTAGAATTAAACATTATTCATTCGTAATGAATGAATGATAATCACATTGTTTTCTAAACAACTCAATCAGCTTCTTACATTGCACAAACAGTGGCTTAATTAACATATAGTATCTGATAATTAAATAAAAATTCATAATTTCTTTAATGATAAATTTTTGCAAGCATTTAATGAATATTTTTTGGAACAAATATATTTCATAAATACGTTTGATCATTTATTTCATTTGTCATCAATCACTTAACTACATTTATCGAAGCATACTTGCTCTTTAATGGCTATTTGCAACTACCTTATAATTTAATATTGGTAATATCTATTATCATTTACTACTATGCATTGTTATTTGTTCATTCGTCGTCTAACAAATTTTTGAAATCTTCTTCAGGATAAGTTACAATTATTAAGTGGTTTTGTAAAGTGAATAAAAATGCCGCTTCCGCCTGCGGTCGACAAATTATTGCAAGATGTGGACAAAAAATTACATGAGGATAATGCTGTGACCAATTTATTGGCACAAATTGAAGCGAAGGCGGGCATTAAACGGTTGCATCTTGTACTTGGTTAGTTTAATTTATTAAAAATTTATTTGTATTGCAATAGTAATTTGTTGATTTGTGATTTAAAATGTTTGTTGAGAAGGAAGGATATTAAATGCTAAAATAATATAATTTATGTTTCGGTAGAATAAATCGCATCATATGAGCGAAATGTTTTTCTTCTCGTTCTTACTCTCGTTTATTGATTTCATTTCATTTCTAAATTCAAAGTATAAGAATTTTGGTGTGTATTTTGACAACGATAACATTAGTCAGTTGGTTTTGCATATCAAGTAACTTTGGATATATATTCGCTGCTGTAGTTATTATCAGATCACGACAATCTTGTCGTAGCAAAACATCAACATGTTATCTTATCCAGAGACTGATTAAGATCACATTTATGATATGACATCGATGTTTATCACAAAATTTCGCTTAGGTTTTGCTGGAATCCATGCTCTGTATTTGATATTTGGATCTTTGGCTGAACTTTTATGCGATATTATTGGCTTTGTCTATCCGGCTTATATCTCGTAAGTATATCTAATTGCTTTCAAAGACAAATTTGTGAAAAAAATTGAATTTAAATTGTATAAAATCAGTCGTTGGATAGCTGTTGTTCAATTCCGAAAAATCCAGTATACAGATGATTACATGGATAAAAAGATAATAATAATGTTTAAAATTGAAAAACTACTAGTAGTGATGAGAACCAGCTTGCTCAAACAGTTTTTTCATCATTCAGTGCAACAAATCTCCAGTTATTGGCTTGATTAGATGTAACTTTATATTGGCCAATGGAAGAAATATGGGGTGCATATTTTCGAATATTCCCATTTGATTTATCCTTATTTAATGTTATCCGTAATTTTGGTTGTTTAGTTTCTTCTACCAAACGATGTTTACCCTGCCAGCTTGTTCAAGATTGCATTTGTTGCTTTACTTATTTCTTTGTTGATAGAGAGAATGAAATCGAGCAATAATAAAACAGAAGAGCTTATGGGTTAGATTGGAAGGGAAGAAGTGAACCGATGAATGTGATCAAGTATTGATTTAGGAATCGAAAAGGAACTCTTAATTATTTACGTTTTGTCATAATTTAGAATCGAAAAGTGAGACCGTGAGTAAGATTTATGACAGCAATTTTTATATTATACAAAATAGGAAATATACAAATCAAAATTATATACTAGGTAATATATCCGTGATTTTCGGCAACTACAAATATCGGTAGTTGAAGCTATTTCAGTGTTGCAGGTCTACCGTCTGGAATCTAATGTTGAACTGTTTTTTTTCTCTGATATGTATAAAGGCGTAAACAGTGGAGTACGAAAGTATCATTAATAAGTTGGCTTTTAGAATTAGATCAATCGAAACTTTTCATAAGGATGATGGCGCACAGTGGTTAACTTATTGGATAATTTGTGCATTGTTCAATATCGCAGAATATTTTTCAGAGACTTTCGTAGTATATTTTCCGCTCTATTGGCTCCTCAAGGTATATTTATGATTTAGTATATTAAAAGTTATTATTGAAAGTTTCCTGATATATTTTTCCTCTTATTAGACAGAAGTCAGATGTTTTCCGATAGCAGATAAGAAATACATTTCAATAGAAAGAAGAAAGGAAGAACATCAGAATATTCAACTGAGAAAATGTGATGCTACCAACCAAAAAAAAAACTGTTTTGGACAGGCTGTTAGTGGTGACTGTAATAAACTTTCATATATTTTTATAATATCAAAAAAATATTGGATCATATCGTAAGACTACTCGACCTCTTTGTGGATGTCAATTTTGTGCTATTAAAGTAGTATCAGATCAATTTATATATGTAACTTTAGTCAGAAAATATAGTTTTGAGATACTATGATAACTATATTATTTGATATATCGAATAATAATGATTCTAATAAAGCAGATATTTTCTCTATTTCAGTGCACCTTTCTGCTATACTTGTATTTGCCAATGACGAGGGGTGCGCAGAAAGTTTACTATCGTTTCATACAGTCATTCGTACAGAAACATCAGTCAGCTCTTGAGAAACAAATGGGTCGTGTAACCGAAAAATTGACAGATAAACTTGATGGTCTGTTTTTTCTCTTTCATTCATTTAATAATATTTTTGCCTTCTTCCTATAACTTTTATTATTAAAATTAAAAGGAATAAAACTGGAGCAAGAAAGCATTCATGGGTCATCTGAAGCAATATTTAGGCTATTCCGTTTCAAAAAAAAAATTTTTGAGAAAGCATTGGAGATGAGAAAATCAACGATTGGATCACCATATCAGTAGTTGTAGTTATAGCAGCTACTGTACCAGCTGCTATTTCATTTATTGTTGTACCCAATTGGGTGGGCTGCTTTGTTGACTCAAAAAACATAAGATCCCAGTGAAAATTTTAAAATAGAAAACCTGCCTCAATACCAAAATTAATGAAGGGGATAAGTCTGATTTTTCAGCAGTACGCCAAGAATTTGAAACGCATGTAAAACCGAATTAAGATGAAGTGAAGTTGGACATACATTACGCAGTCATATAATTGAATGTGAAAAGCATAGCAGGCTAAAAAAAATAAAATTGGGCAAATTGATGGATGAATGGTTTGATTTAATTGTGCAAGTATCTGTAAAACTTTTTATCAGAAGCCTTGCTTTCTATGTGCTCTATCAAACTAAAAACAGGGAAAAATTCCTTCCAATCACTAATTTTTTGCCTGTTTCTCTCCTTTTTTTTTATTGTCGTCTCTTAATCCTATCTTCAACTGAGGAAAGCTGCTTTTAGTTAGGGCCTCCGTTTGTTAAAATTTTTTTTACTTGTATTCTCTCCCTACATCTCGCTTTCCCTTTTTAGCACATTTCTTTGTTAAAAATACAGTGTACTACATCCTACTTCCTCTTTTAAAATGTGTATTGTATTGTTTCTCATTAAAATTTACCAAAACACTGTAGCTTTTGTTTTAGTTAAAAATAAAAATTGAAAATTTTTTCCCGCTTATACTTTTCTTTTCCTATCCCTTGGTCCTTCCCACTCATTTTGTTCATACTATTGGAGTAAGAATTTCAGTGTAACACATGTAGTCAAACATTGATCCACCGATCATCCTTACTAATTGGGAACATATGGATGTTTTATGCAAGAAAGCGAGTTTTTTATAAATTAGAATTACCGGTATAATAAATGAAAATTGATTTGTAGTATATGTGGTATACGAGTGACAACACAAAAGTAGTAAGCTAATATGCTTTGGAAAAGGGAAGGAAAATAAAAGTAAGAAAATGCATACCTTTAACTTTATTGATGTACAGTTCAACAAATAAAATTTACAAAAACTTGGAAGATTCAACAGCCACATTCTTATAAATAAATAATGCAAATAACGAAAATGATGGACAGCAATCATTTTGGTTTTATAATATTCAACTATTCAATGGAAGACATTAGGGCTAAACGGAGAGTTGTCGGATTATTCCAAATAATACAATCTAACACTGAAATCGAATGCAGTTTCTGAAATCATTTCTTCATTTGATTCATAAGCAATAGAATAATCCAAGGATAACTGAATATATCAGCTTCAAAGGATTATTGTTGCCACCAAAATCGTAAAGGTTGATTGCTTTCCTAACTCATGAGATCACAAAAACCTGTGATGAATCTTAACTAAAGCCAACATAGGGTAGAGCAAATTATTTCTTCTTACGAGCAGCATTACGGGCATCACGTTCGATTTCAAACTGTCGATAATCTGTTCGAGATAGAAACTCCACACGATCAACATAACCTTGCTTTCCTCGGTTATGACTGGTTAATTCTTCCTATAATTTTCTATTGTGAAGAAAATGTATTTTAAGCGCAGTTCTGGAATTAAAATTATAGGAATTGAAACGAATTTTACTCGATAAAATTAAAACCGAATAAAATCCAAAATATCAAAGACGCGGTCAAAAATATTCTTTGATAAGGTGGCCCATAAAAAAACAAAAAATGAAACGGAAACCTCAATTCCTGTTTCAGTTTTGAAAGCTCCCCAATCCTGTGCTGTTTTTTCGAGTACACTCATTTTTGATTTCTTCGAGAAGGCACTAATTGCGCTTGTTAATCCATCCAAGGCCCTTTTCCTAAATGTTTATTAACAATCAGACTTAACTTCTTAAGGTGTTGCTCATCTTATTTTATTTACAAGCATTAACTTTTCGCGTTGTACCAGTCCAGATGGTTTCTTTTCCCTTTCACAAGGTTCTGGTTTGTTGTTCGATCTGAAATTAAAAACAAAATGACTGGCACGGTTAAACTGTGAATAAAATCTGAATACTTGGTATCATTGATATTAAGACAAAGACGATTTACATCGGCCGCTGTATGTTCCAGAGTCCAACTAGACTCTAATCTTTCAAACGTATAACTCTCTGCTAGTCAATAGTTGTAGCTATTCCATTTAAATCTGTTGTAAATAAAATCAATTTCTAGAAATGGAACATACGAAACATCTCCTTCGTCCGATACGCCGTCGAAAATATGTTTAGCCGTTTCTGCTGCTAATTTCGGAATTTCATCCATAATCATCGATATTTGTTTACCATCATCTACGGAACTAAATTTAACCACATAAATATAAAATAACAAGTCGTGACTTCTTTGTACACTGAATTTTTTTAAGTTGAATTAGTTTTTAAGAATCTTACGCGCGTAATGCTTGACTGGTTGACGATTTTGGTTTAGCATCGTTTCCTTCGATAAAATCTTCAAACAACGATTTCAACCTTCGCTGCCTCTCATCTTCCGTTTCCTCTGATTTATTCGTCTCTCTTAAAATAGTAAATTAAAAGAAACTTTCTCAAAAAAATCCATTTTGGCTATTCTTAATAATTCAAATTTGGAAGTTAACTGAACAGTTGTTTGCAATGTCAAAGATAATAGAAAGAAAAAAAAACAAATGGGAACACGGAATGAGAGGCAAAGTAACTGAAAACTAGAAAGTCAGGATATCATAGACTTTATCAGAATTAGCATATCATTCTGCAATCAGAAAACTTTGGAATTAGGGAGGCAAACAGTCTCCCCCAAAGAAAAGCTGATTGGATAATCCTTTGTCATTATTGAATTGCATTTCGCTTAAGATATATCCGGATCATTGGTTTACAGCACATAGTTCAAGGAAAAGGAATATGAACACCATTATCAATTGATCAATATATCATTTTCAACATCAAAAGTTAATTGAAATTTTAATTGCTTGCTTTGATTCCTGCAATGTTGTCATCGGACTGCCGCCCATCGCATCTCTATCATCACCGCTTTCACCATTTTCATTCTGTTCATCATCGACGTCCTCATCGGGATCCGAGGGTACGTATTCTTCATCATCTTCCGAACCATTCTCTTCTTTGTCGTTTCTAGACATTAGCCAACAGATCTGCAAAAAATATAACTGCATCATAAATTTAATTTTTTAAAAAATTAGATAAGAAATACAATTTTTCAATACCGTTTTTCCACGGTTCGAAAATAATCAAAATTCTAGAAAGAGGAAAAACTCCTAAATCAGGTGAAAAACATCGTAAACTCTTTGCATATAACAGAAATAAATAAAATACACGAAGAAACAAGCGCCACACTGTCCTCCAACAACGTAAGAACACCTGCCACGTAATCGAATTATTACAAGTAACCACCGAGCGGTGAATGGAAGCAATGCGAATTTTACAAGTATCAAACTTCGGACAGCTGTAGGTTTTCATAGATGACCGATTGGAAAATTTTGGTTCCTATCATGGGTTGGTCAGAAAGGTATGGGGTCGGGAATAAGTAGTGCTACTTTGTTACATGAATGTAGTGTTTATGTGGTTAAATTTCGTTGGATTTATGGCTAAATTTGTTGAATTACTAAATTTCTTGTTGAAATTTAGCACACTCAACTTTTGAAATAATATTTGTTCTTTTTCGCAGGAATTGTTTGACAATAACTGAATCACTCATTCAGAGCTTAGATATTGTTGATGTAAACGAATTTTTTTACAATAGGCATATATTCAACTGTTGAATAATTTTCAACAATTTGGAACTTGTTTCTTTTCAATTTCAAAAATAATTTCTGTTTTTATTACAAATAAAGAAACAATAATTAAAGGCATGAAGGGAGCGAATTTGAGCATTTCATCGTTAAAGATCCACTTAAATATATTTGAGGTACCTTTAAGGAGGGTTATATGGGATCAATCTTTTGTGGTTATTTACTTTGCACTTTTTTTTCCTCCCCTTTCTTACAGTGTCAGCTTTTATTATTTTTATATTATCTTTGTTATATTACTATGTTTTTTGGAATGTCATGCTTAACTTTTGCATAATTTTGTTACCTCGTATTTTTTTACATTGTGTAATATCATCAGATTCTTGCTCGAAACATTCGTCATTAATGATGGTGATAACAACAATAGTACTGTTGTACCTTTATTATGATTGGAAGATTTTTAAATTAAATTCAGGAAACGGATGTATTGATTTAACTTCTTTTGTTTTGTTTGCATTGTTTCAATTTTAATACTGGGCTGTATGCAATATGGAATAGTAATACATAAATTTAAGGTAGTGGAAAAATGGATGGGCTCATACAAATGTTACCGTCTTCATTAAGAAAATTTTCCACATATATTGATTTTGTTGGACAGCGGAGAGCGGAACGGATTTTTCAAGTAATATGTTTATTAATGGTTTTTATTTAAAAAAGATCTCGATGATTCTACTTGGCGTAGAGAAATCGGGAAAAATGTAGTAGGCACTATTTGTTCTGATATTTAGATGAAGTTTCTTTATAGTTCATTTAAAGGATTCGGCACAGTTCATAATTGTAAATGGCAATCTCATAATTTACTGAATTTTTTTAATGGCATACATTTATTGTAGTGAAAGGATTATGATGTGAGAAACGTAATGGAATGAAGTTAACCTGCTAGAATCATTTGAAAATACCGTTACATTTAGTTACTTGATAATTGTAATAGTGTTTAATCTTCAGATATAACTTACAAATTCGATCGCTAAAATTTTTATGGATTTTCATCCCTGATAGTTTTAAGCTCTAATTTATTTCAAATTATCATTTATAGGTGATATTGGTGCTAACGGCAGTGATTGGTTATGGTATTGGCTTTGTTACTCAACAACTGTCATATGCTATCTATATGTTATGCAGTGGCTTTATTCTGTCGTGTATTCTCGTTGTACCACCATGGCCATATTTGAGACGTAATCCAATACATGTAAGTATTATCTTTATTTCACTCATAACCATTAGATGTGGTGGATCGAACTACTCATGTCAGTTTAATTTTTCAAGCCTCAAATTTCTGCCGTTAATCATGAAAATTTTTAAATGAGTTTTCTTTTTTTAAAATATTTTGTCTCTTACTTTACCTATTCTTTTAAATCTTTTGTTTCTAATTCCGATCACAACCAATTTCCAGTGGCAGCCCGTTCAAACGATTGCTTCATTATCTGCAAATGCTTCATCGAAAGAGAAAAAGAAGACAAAATAATTGAGATAATAGTGTTGTAGTTTTCTTCAAAATTTTTTTGTGCTTGTTTATTTTCCTATTTCTTTATTCGTTTCTGTTGTTTTGCTTTCATTTCGTGTCTATTTTTGTACTAATTACTATTTTATTCTTTTTCTTCCTTTTTGAAGAGAATTTGAATAAAATGCGCTTCTTAATTTTGTGATTGCTTAACAGCTGCATTATAGCCTAATCTTTTGGTTTGATATATATATTCTCAAGATGAATTTACTTTGATATCAAGCAGAACGCACAAAAGTGACGTGAAGTATGCGGAGTAGTATCCTGGTTTTCATCAGAAATCTGATATCTTAAAACCGCCATATTTTGATAGCTTGATGTTTTCCATAATTTTCTGTGATGCATTTTGTCTTAGAGAGTAATGGATTTTTTGTTCCAAAAAAATTCATTGGTGGGAGATCATCGGTTGTTACATAAAGTTTGGAAGTTCTGTTCTAATTTTTTTATGCAATAGGAATTAAAGATCCTTAACGGGAATTCCAAAATTAAAATATGGTTTATAAGTTTTGAAATATGGTTTATAAGAAACACTAATTAGAAAATCATTCATCATTATAGGATATATATGCGCCTATCACTGCAAACTTCTCGATATTTGAGAAATTTCGAACGGAATAGTCGCTTTTTCCAACAATTAAGGTCCCTTTCGGTTCAGCCTTATCACCTCGCAATATATGGAAGCCGTAATTCTTCAGAGCAACGGCTTTTAGCTTTTTCCGGAGATCGATCATCAATTGTTGCATCTCATCGGTTTTACAGCAAGTAAATTGAATAGTACTTTGAATTTGTCATTAGATCTTTTGATTTAACAAAGGAAGAGAAAAAAATTAAAGATTACGGATAAAATTGTCGTTGTTAACCATTATAATGTACCGTGTTGTAGCTGTTATTCTTTCGGTTTTTCCTTTTTAGTCCGCATGAAAATGGGAAAGACGATGATGATAAAACCTCGGATGATACGAAAGATAAGGATACAGCGATCGTGGAACAAGTAGAAGATATGTTAGAAGGAGTAAGTCATTTTGGCTTTAATTTTTATGTAAATAGTTCACAAAAAATCGGAGCTAAATTTTGAGTAAACTATATTTTTTAGCCAATGAGTACGATAACTGTTCCGGAGGTGTGGCCTATTGTACCAGTTATTGCAATCTCGAGAAAACCACTCTTTCCTGGTTTTATTACGCGAGTTGCTGTAAGTGTATTTCAATTTTTACTCACTTATTTCTAATGTTTTGGAAATATCTGTAGTTAATGAAGATTTCATGAAACGAGAGACAGTAAAATTAACCGTTCCATAGCAAAATTTACATCTCTTGTTTCTTGCTGATTGTCAGCAACAAAATGCCACTGGTCTGGAAAATAAAAATTGTACCTGAATGAAGTGACGTTAACAGCCATGAGAAAAGATATGTTTTAAGTAGCACTCGGTTGAAATAACTACATGTAATTCATTTTTAAAACATTTTAACAGCACAAAAAGGCATTGTTCTGTGGTCGTGGAAATACAAAAATTTCATTAAGATCACTAGAGATCAAGCACTAAAAGAATTGCTGAGAAGGAAAGTACGGATGCGTCAACCATATGTTGGAGTTTTCATGAAGAAAGATCCTGAGTAAGTTCGAAATGGCTATCAATTTTGTTATAATATCATCATCATTATTTATTTTTTCCTTTATTGGTTGTATTATTTTAATGAAAGAGAATGATAGAATTACGATATTGTGTAACTAAAAAAAATACATTTTGAATGATTGCTGTTGTCATGGATTAAAAGCTGATTACCCAGATTAAAAAGCGAAAGACTTGAGAACAGCTTTTCTGCATTGTATATTTATTACTGAGACTAGACTAGTGCAGAAATTTACTGACCGAAACATCACATCTAATTGGTTAAACCGAAAAATATTTAGTTAACGAAATATGACATTTAGCTTAATTAGAGAGAATAAGTATATAGATAAATAAATGCACCAATATCGAATAATCTGCCAAATTTAGACCAAACATTAACTCAACTAGAGAGCTAGAGAGCACTAGCAGATTTATTTCAAGCTTTCTAGATGAGAGAATGGAAGATTTAAAGCCTATATTGCTTACTATTAAGTGATTTCCGCCGGTGTGAGTAATCAGATGGTGTTATTATTCGTCTGAAGCAATTTCAGGAATGATTCTGAAACAGTGGAATCCTTATCTGAGCTTCATACAGTAGGATCATTCGCTCAAATCAATGTTATGGGTGATAATGGTGATAAAATAGAATTGGTTCTGGTTGCTGAAAGGCGCATACGTATTTTAGAACCAGTTGCTGATGATATCAATACATCGTAATATTTTAAAACTCTTGATAACTAAAGTTCACAAGGAATTTTTCCTGATTTTAATATGATAGCTAAAATAAGACTTCGCTCCTGATTTTCCGGAATTTTTTTTGCAAAATTTTTTTGCTTTGTTCAGTGAAAATATTGGAAAAATAAATGGTAGAAGAGCGCGTCAAGAGCGTCGTAAACTGAAGGACAAATTAAAAGAAGATGAAAGTACCTTGGCTACATCTCCAACAATAACCCTAGCTCGGACGGAAAATGTTGTTTCACAACCTGTTGAACGAACAACTGAAGTTAAAGTAAATTTTCTATTTATTATTTAATGAAAAATATGGAATAATACTTGATTGGTGATGTCAAATATCATCATAATTAAAAATGATTCAGTTTTTTTAGGTGTTAGGCACAGAATTTATTTTTTTTTATATCTGTATGTGCCTTGGAACTGGGGCATGATATTCATCTGTAATGACAGATAAGGCATTTAGTGGAGAAGTGTATTTTAGTCTTAATTTTTGAAATATTTGGACCAGCTTTCTTTAACTGGAAAATATCAGGAGTTCATATCGGTTATACCAAGAAACGGATTTTAAATTCCCATGGTTTTAGAAGTTAAGTACTTGATTTTCAGTTACAACTGCCGTTATCCAATTTTTTCAGGCAACAATGCAGGCCATAGTTAGTACGATTCGCGATGTGATGCAGTATAATACGTTATTTGCACAGCAACTTGGATTAACTGCGAATCCGTCAAAAAATGTGGTTGATAATCCTATATATCTATGTGATTTGGTTGGATCACTTGTAAGTGCTGATCCAAGCGACTTACAAAATTTGATGGATGAAGAAGTTGTAAGTTACTATGAGTTTCTCATCATGTTAGAATAGAAGTCTTTATATGTGCGGAGATTGTAAACTGTAATTCATAGTTTAGATTGAAGAGCGTTTGAAATTGGCATTACTATTAATTGAAAAGGAGAAAACAGTCGCAAAATTAAAACATGATATTAACAAGGATGTGGAGAAAAAGGTTCATGATCAACATCGTAAATTTCTTTTGAATGAACAGGTGACTTTGAAATTTTCAATTTATTTGACATATATTGTGATCTTGTTTATAGTTTTCAGTGTTCAGATATTACAAATCTGTTCATGAAAAGCAGTCGTCCAGATACTTCAGAATTTAAAGCGATAAACCAGTTTTCGGTCTGAGCTCTTTATTAGAGATTACTTATCCGGTTTCCGACTATCCTACATTCCTGTAGGATCTAATTTAAATACTTAAGAGCGAATTTTTATGGTTTTCCCTGACTTGAGTTTTCATATTCATTCGGTTAAAAAATTTTAGCTGAAGGCAATCAAAAAAGAACTTGGATTGGAGAAGGATGACAAAGAAGCTCTGGCGGAAAAAATGCGAGATCGCATAAAAAATCTAAATATTCCGGAATATGCGATGAAAGTAATTAAAGAAGAACAGACCAAACTATCTTTTCTGGATCCACATTCAAGTGAATTTTCGGTTGCAAGGTGTGGTTTTGCATGATTTTCTTCCTTTTTAGTAATTTCAAACACAGTAAATCTTTTTCTGAGAAATTTGAAGCAATATCTTTACTTTTTTCGCTATGTCGACTTCCAGGAATTACTTGGATTGGTTAACAAATATGCCGTGGGGTAAGACATCAGAGGATGTACTGGATTTGGATAGAGCTATTGCCGTATTAGATGAAGACCATTATGGAATGAAGGATGTGAAGGATCGAATTTTGGTGCGTTATTGAAATCGAATGAATTCTAAATCACGTGTGCCCCTTGCTCCTCCTTTCTTATTGTTCACCTTACCCTATCAGAAATGGCCCAACACTTTGTTAAAAAACAAAAGTGGTTGTTAAGCTCACGTTCTCATTTTTTATCTAATACTGTTTAGGAATTCATTGCAATTGGTATACTTAAAAAGAAAGTAAGCGGTAAAATTCTGTGCTTACATGGGCCACCAGGTACTGGTAAAACGAGTATTGCACGATCAATTGCCCGAGCATTAAACAGAGAGGTAGGATTTTTTCGTTATCAAATTTATTATCAAGGATATTTATTTGAAAATGTTCTTTTTATTTAATTTCTTAAAAATTTTCAGTATTTTCGATTTTCGGTCGGTGGAATGACAGATGTTGCAGAAATTAAAGGACATCGCCGTACATATGTTGGAGCGATGCCTGGAAAAATGATTCAGTGTCTGAAAAAAGTAGAATCTTTGCACAATTCTCAGTAGATTTTTTTTATTTTTATACTTACTTTAGTGAATTCCTTCTTCCAAACTAGAAACGTTCAAGAAATTGTTAAGATGTGATTCTTTTCTTAAGGTACAAACAGAAAATCCATTAGTTTTAATTGACGAAGTAGATAAAATTGGTGGTGCAAGTTATCATGGTGATCCATCATCAGCGTTATTAGAGCTGCTGGATCCAGAGCAAAACACCAATTTTAATGATCACTTTCTCGATGTTCCTGTTGATTTGTCAAAGGTTAGTTTGGTAGTTTATTTGTTACAAAGATTGGCTTGCTGAATTGCTTAGCTCAGGCTACAACTCAGTAATTTGGTGCAAAAGTGTAACTTATTGATGAATTTCATGGTTTCGAGTTTTTTCAAAGTAAACTTGTTTGCATCTTATTTCTAGGTATTATTCATTTGCACTGCAAACATTACGGATACCATTCCCGGTCCACTAAAGGATCGCATGGAAATGATCGAAGTGTCGGGTTATGTTGCAGAAGAAAAATTAAACATTGCACAAAGTTATTTGATACCTCAGTGTCGAAAGGATAGGTTAATATTATTCCTGATATTTTTCATGGATGTAAGCCATCTACATTTTAACGATTGAAGATTTTAGCAAGTTTAAATTCAATATTAAGATTAAAGAGATGAACAAAACTTCAAAAAGCAGGCTTAAAGAATGATGTCAACTCACCAAGTAAATAAGTGTATTTCTTATGTGATAAATATTTTTCTTTTATTTCTGGGTTTACCAATGCTAAGATATATATTTGAAAAAATTTTTCAGCTCACTGGAAGAAAGTCAGCTGCAAATAACTCCTGAGGCGCTGCAGACACTTATCAAACAGTACTGCCGAGAATCTGGTGTTCGGAATCTTCAGAAACATATTGAGAAGGTGACTGTACAAAGATTTTTCTGATTTTTTGACGGCAAATTGTAATTTTATAGGATTTCGTGTCGATAGACTATTTAGTTTAATAAAATCACTTAATTTTTATTCACATTTGGTTACTTAACGTTAAATCTTCACATTTCTGGTTTTGTATTGACATCTTAATTAAAATGCAGATAGGTGTTCAGTAAAAAGGTGGAACTTATATCAAACAGATTTTTTGTACCTTGTAATATCCACCACAATTTGGCTTTAAATCTCCAGTAAATCCATGGATACAGTATCTTTTTTGCATTAACTTTTCAGGTATTCCGTAAAGCAGCTTTCAAAATAGCGGGAGGAAGCAATCAGAAAGCTGTTCAAATAGTTGTTGACAATCGGAATATCGAAGACTTTGTCGGAAGACCTAAATTCACCAGTGACCGTATGTACGATGCAACACCGGTTGGTGTAATAATGGGTCTTGCATGGACAGCTATTGGTAAGTTCATTAATTTGCGCTTGCATGAACAGTTATTGGTAGTTTACTACTTTACTAATATAAAACTAGCTCTTTTCAGACTGCGAATTGCTTAGCTGGAACCAGATGGTTCTTACCACTTGTATCCTTAGTAGAATCATGGGAAGATGATTTGTGAAGTGGTTTTATGTTTGAATATATCAAAAAATTTTTAGGCGGATCATGCTTGTACATTGAAGCTTGTTTACGACGGAGCTTGGCCATATCTAAATCAAGTTTGTCACGAAATCCAAGTACTGATAGTGGGTTTTCGAATGATTCATTTGATGATGCAGTCAGCTCAACGAAACCCGATGTTCCATTTGGTAGTTTAGAAACAACTGGACATCTGGGTGATGTAATGAAAGAGAGTATGCGCATTGCTTACACAGTTGCTAAGAATATCCTTAGGAATCACTTTCCGGATAATGACTTTCTCGACAAAGCGCACATACATGTCCATGTTCCAGAGGTTCGTCTCAATTTTTCTTGGTTTCTTCTGATATCTCAGCTTCATGGAAACATTATTCTATGTTGATACAAGTTTCATGAAAACTTGGAGGTGCAAGTTTACAATTCGAACATTTTTCATATAACCTCGATGCTTTGTTTTTGTAGGGCGCAACACCGAAAGATGGTCCATCTGCAGGTTGTACAATAACATCCGCTTTATTATCTTTGGCCTTGAATCAGCCCGCTCAGCAGAATGTTGCAATGACGGGTGAAATTTCTCTTACTGGAAGGATATTGCCAGTTGGTGGAATTAAAGAAAAAGTTATTGCTGTATGTTATTTGAGATTTTCTAAAATCTTACTTTAGCGGAAGAATGTAAAAAATTTTTCAGTAGTTATTTATAGTTCTCATAGTGAAATGTTCTAATTTCAAACATCAATTCCAATTGCATCGAACAAATGTTTTTATTTAAGTATAGGCATTTAAAAAGGTCGTATTAATAGTTCTTATTACTGATGGTTGAAATTAGAGTGCTGAGAAACTGCTTATTTATTTTTTACATGATCATTGTGTACCGATTGCTCTTGTAAATTGCAAATTTAATCTTGTTCTGTAAGTTAATCTGTTGACTTGTTCAGGCCAAAAGAGCTGGAGTGAATTGTATTATATTGCCGGAAGAAAATCGGAAGGACTTCTCGGATCTGCCGGATTTTATCCGGGAAAATGTTGATATACATTTCGTTTCACATTACGACGAAATATACGACATCATATTCCGAGATGCAAATTAATAATTTGTTATGTTTACTAGTAAATATTCCGCTTGATGATTGTGCATTTTGATCATTTATGAGAAATTTCGAGTTTTATCGTCTAAATTTTTATTGCTTCTACGAAGTTCATTTATTTAAGCCTGAGCAAAACTTATCAGAATTCGATATATTATTAAACTAGAGATATCTCCGTTATGATTTATGATTAATATCGCAGTGCACGTGTATCGTTATTTAGGTAATTTTTTTCACTGCTTAATTTGCAACAAATCTTTTCATTTGATATCTAACGTTTCAAAACCAAAACCATAACAGTAGTTCTTATCAAGAAAGAAGAGCGAATGGTTTGAGAATTCTTGCGGTTTTAATGTAGATTCGTGATTTTAGAGTATTCATTGTTTTGGATTTCGGTTGTAAATAATGATGATAACTACTTAAAAATGAAGAATTGCGATGACCCGTGAGCTAGTGTTTTACTGCATTCGCTATCTTGATAAAGTCACTTTGTGTTGTGCGTTTTGGAAATATCGGTTTCAGTAAAAAAGAAATAATTTGTTAAAATTCTGACATTTTAAGATTTCTTCTTTAGCCATATTTTCGGAAGTACAGTGTATCTCCACACATTCATACTTTTTCTCGATTTTCCAGTGCGAATTAGTTGAGCTTTCTTGTATTTAATGATTTAGGGAGTTCCTCCCTTTAGAAATTATCTGTTTGATTTATATAAATAAGGTGTTTTGGAAGGATCTCGCAAAATTCTCCAATATTGTGAGAGTTGGAACTATGTCATGTTTATTCAGCCGTTTAGGATAATGGTAATTTTCGACAGATTTCATGAAAAATACTGAATTGAATTATGCGACTTCAATTATTTTCGCGACGCACATTTTTGTGTCGTCATTTCTCCGCATCGAAGTTTGATGGCAAAATTCCTTTGGAATGTTTGCAAAAGACGGTCACTTATCTAGAGGACCAGCAAACTCCTCAGGTTGAACTTCGTATTCCATTGAAAGCCGATTGGATCCCAGCGAGAATAGCGGAAAATCTGAGAACACGTTTTCCACACAGAGTTGATAGGTTAGTTTTGACTTCTAGTTGCAAACATTGAAATTAATTTAGAGTTTCGGGTGTTAGGCTTTTATCATCTTAATTTCGAGAATGTTAAAATTGTTGAACTGGTGATCTTTTGTAGTTGTAGGACAGCATAGCATCTCATTGTGTTTGTTTGTATGTTTTTTCATTTTTTACTCTTTGGTATATAAATCCGAATAATGCAGCAATGTCAATTTGTAAATTTGGAATTTGTTCATATTGGGGTAATAAGGATATCATAAAATTGATTAAATGAAGTTTGTTTGAAGAAAAATTTTCTTTTTCAGAAACGATCTGTTAGTGATTGAATCATGTCGAACCTATTCGGAGCAGCTGAATATGGCTGATTGTATCGATAAATTACGCAGTGCAATGCTGGAGTGTCAGGCTGTTTTGGATGGCGCGGAAAACCCTAAAGCAAAATTAGACTCAAGAGTTGAAATGAAGCTTGATATAAAACGACGACTTGCTGCATTCGAAAACAAAGATTAGTTGTTGTTGAGGATTTGTAGTTTCCAATAATGCATGCAGTAATGAATGTACACTTCATAATCTCTTTATGGTTGAAAAGTTTTCAAAAAGTGTTGAACTATGAGTTTCAAAGTGACAGTGATCAATAAAGCGTGGCTCAAATTAGTTTGAAAATGGATTCTGAAAAAAATTGAAAATCAACTTATATTTCAATATCTTTTTATTGAGATTCTTTTTTTGTTCATACTATGTCAGAATTATTCCTTTTATTATGAATATTTTAATGTCTTTCATGTCAAATCAAAGTTAATTCATCATTACCAATTACTTAAATGGGAAGGATTGCGTATCTCAGAATAATGTTGCTTGCATCTATTATAAGTGAACCAAATTTAAGATTTTTAATTCACATCGACGTAAAAGTTGGGATACATTTTAGTAATCAGATGCAAATGCGATAACTCTCGATGTGACGAATAATGCAGTAGAAGATATAAACCACTGTAAGAATACACTGTTTGCGAAAAAAATGAAATGACTACTTTTTGCCCTTCTTTTTTAAGAGTAATTTGTAACTTACAACCTCTTATATTAGTCATTAAAAAATTGAGGTTAATTTGATGGCAACGTTCAAGTTTTTGATATCTCAGTATACTTTTTTGGAACTATTTTGATGCGGTTTTGATGAACTGATTACAATATCCATTGCCTCTCAGTGTTTAATTCCATTGAGGGAAAATTTAGTGACATTATTCAAAATGTATGAGAAATTTTTGAACTGAAGAATTTAAGAAGTAATCTTTATTAACATTTCAACAAGAAAAACATGTGTCATTTTAACTGTTTTTTATCAAGTATGTTTTCATTTTCATAATGATGAAAAATTAGTTTTACTAAGTAGAATAGCTTTTATCCAGTTCATTTAGTGCTTATCGAAATTAATGGTGAACTTGAATAAATTTACTTGTAGGTCTTGTTTAAATAGAATTGAATTATATCATGCATGCTTAATAATATTTTCTTATAGTTTGTAGGTTTTAAGGTTATATTCCATTGACTAATTCATCCATTTTTTTAATCTGTCGAGTTAGACTTTTTTTTATTTTGTGCTTGATTCTTACCATTCTTTGATTTTCTTAATGTTACGTGTTTGTTATTTCATTTGAACGAAAGATGGCCTAAGAAAGTTATCAGAATACTGTATTGTATCGCAGATGTCATTTGACAGATATTAGTCCTGGGGATTAATTCGAAGATATGAGTTTTTAGGAGATATCGTAGTTGTGATGTCAAAGTAATAGATGCTATGCCGTAAAATGCTGTGAATGATATTCATTGTCGTAAAATCAGTGAATGTCAAAATAAATCCCCAACAAAGTTCTGAACGTTGTCAGCAATGACGTCTGAATTCAGAATATCTAAAATAACTTTACAAAGCTTTTACTGGGCAACACCAAAATTCTTTAATCTTTTCTCGTTCAATGTTTGGTGTTTGTGATAACGTTATTTCAATGCTATAATCTGCACTCTTCCATTTGCTTGAGGAAATATACGCAAATATACAGATGATTCAGAACGATTTATTTGTTTTTTTGATTGTAATCAGCTAAAAGTATCTTATTTCTGCCTTACAATGTTTCTAAAGCTAATTTCCAGAATTCGTACGTAGAATATGTTTTCGTTAATTCCACCAAAAAACTTTCTGTAAAATATAGTTCGACCGGGACAGTTTTTCAGAAGTTATGTAAAGATTAGCGATGATTATTTGGTGGGCTGGGCATCGTGAAAAGAAAGATGGAATATAGGTAGCAAATTGCTGATCGATTTAGTGGACTAAGCACTCCGGAAAGCTGGGAATTCAACTTTGTAATCCGAAATTCGACGGAACATTCTCTGTAACCGTAGCGTTATTAGGAGATACGTTGCGCTGATTTGCCATAAAACGTCTCTAATCTTATCATAGGTTTTATAAACATTGTCGACAATGGCTGGCACGAACAAAGCAGATGATGCTGATGATCTTATTACATCATTTCGTTCATCCTCAATAAATGATGTAGCTGACATTAGTGCTACATTGGAAAACGATGGCAGCAGTAATACTGTATACAACGCTCTTAATGATGATATTAAAGGTGGAAATAATAAAGGTATGCATGTCGAAATTTTACTTTTAATTTTTTACCAATTTCCAAGTTATATGATTTCCCCTATACCATATCCTTTTCTTCACTCTGCTTTAGCTTGCTTTCATTAACGGAAGCAGCAAGTTAACAAGAAGTTCACATAGTTCCATCGGACAAGATCACCAGTAATTTTTGTCTTTTGCAAATGACTAAGATGTGGCAACTTTTCCGATTTAATATCTCTACAAATCAATGAAACTTGCAGGTGAAAGTATCTCCAAGCAAAACGTTAAAGAGATGGATGAAATGAAGAAGAAAGAGGAATTGGAAAAGCGTAGAAAACGAGAAGCAGCACTATCTGAAGAAGATTTAAACAGCCTTCGAGAACAGTCCAAAACATTAAAAGCTGAAGTGAATTTCTTCATTTTGTGTGCTACATTGTTAATTTAGAGTGATTTTCTTTCGAGGAAATCATAAATAATGATGCAACTGTAACGCAATGTAGAACAAAAGGTTTTTGTGAAACAACAGGAATTTATGGTGATCTTCTATGATATACGTCTTGCATCGAGCACAATCATATTTTTCATTCTTCTGGATAACTTCACTCGAACCTCGGTTTAGTTAACCAAGAATGTTTATTTTCTTAGATTTTCAGGGGAATAATTATTTTGGTCAAGGATTTTGGTATGAAGCAGCCTGCTCCTACACGAAATCTTTGAATATTTGTCCACTCATATACACTTATGATAGGTTATATTTTTTCAATTTAATTTTTAATTTATTTTAAAAGTCGTCATTGAAATGATTCATACTTTACATACAATAATAGTTTGTGGCGCAAAGTGTTTCTCTCAACTATTTTTTTATATGCTATAGTGGTGAACGCTAGAAAGACTTGAAATCTTTTGATATCTACAGCGTTTAAACAAGAAAAAGAGGGCGGCAAAAATTTCTTTTTCAGAGCAACATATTTGAGCAATCGAGCTGCTGCATATATAAAACTTAGAGATTGGGAAAAAGCTATTGAAGATTGTAGTGAAGCTTTAGAAATTGGTCAGTTTCCAATTATTCCTTTAAAAACTTCAATATATCTGAAATTTAATCTTTTATTATTTTCGATTTAAAATGATATAAATTTCGTTACACTGTTAGAATTTATTTCGGCGTTTCAGGTGCACCAAATGATAAGCCCTTAGAAAGACGTGCCCATTGTTATGCTCAACTGGAAGAGAAGTATGAACAAGCCATTGAAGACTATGAATCGTTACAAAAAATTTACCCTGAAAGGAAGAATGATTATGTGAAGAAAGTTGCTGATTTGAGACGTGCAATTGATGAACGGAATGAAAGGATGAAAAGGGTATGGAGCTTCCCACATTGAAAGATCAAATCGCGAATCTCAAATTTTAAAAACGTCCAAAAAAATTGGGCATTAAAATCCTTTTCTCAAAGTTGAAGAGAATTGAGTATCAAGATTGTGTGATCCCCAGGTCAATCAAGGACGTGACATGAATAACAAAACACAATTATATACGAGTGTCAGTTAGCCCTCGAGACATCTCAGACATCTCGAAAGTATATCCATCGTGCCTTTATACTTAGAAGTGTAGACCAACTTAACTACTAGCTTTTTTAAAGATTGCTAAGATTTGTGTGTGCTTTGAAATAGTACTGAAAGTATTTTAGGAAATGATCTCGAAGCTGAAAGATTTTGGAAATATGTGTTTGAAACCCTTTGGTTTATCAACGGATAACTTTGAAATGGTACAACAACCGGGTGGAGGATACTCGATAAGTATGAAGAAAAAATGATGCCGTTTTACCGTTTTATTGTTTTTCATTTTAAGAGTGTATATAGCTTCATGTTCACAAATATCTGTGCCAGAACGGATATATTTTTTCGTGTTCAACTTCGTTTTCAAAATGACCTACTAACGAATGATGCGCTGTCTGTTCCTTCGATGCTGATGGATTTCTGGAACAGCAATCGCATGATACTTGTTGTTCTCCGGCTTGTGTATTTTAATAGATAAGGAATCAGTTCTTTTACAACATTAAAAGTTCGTTTAATCCTATTAGATAAAGGTCATTTAATTTCATATTCAACTGATATTGCAATGCTTCATTTGTGAATAGTGGTTTTATTAAAGCATTACTTGAAGTAGTTAGTTTTTGCGGCTTGCGAAATTTGACCATAACTTGAAAATTGTATTCTAACACCAGAAATAAATCATGACAAAAGGAATATATAAATTCAGAAGCATCACTACTAAAATTGTTCCAGACTATCCATTTCCTACACGAAAAGAAAAGATATACACAAGTCTTCAAAATAGCAATACCAACAAACCGCAATATATATTAAATTGGTATGTAAATCTAATATGCATATTAATTTAATGTACATTGCAAAACTGAGATTTAAAATTCATATTAACATTTACTTGGCAAGCACTCCTAAACTGAGTGTTCAACGAGTTGGTTCTTTTCTTTGCTCGTGCAAACATTCATGAAATATTTGTAATTGCTGGCTAGTAATGACTAATCTAATTTATAGAAAAGAGACGGTGAAGAGAAGAAATTACATACTACATCTGCAATATGCCCAAATTCTCTGTTACCTTTCTTCATTAAACATGATCTGCACGATGAGTAAATTTAAAATCTTCGTATCTATTCTTCGGAGAATGCGCATAAGCTTCCTGCAAATGAAATGATTTCACTTTAGGTAAAATGATACCTAAATTCTCAGGTCAGATTATTTATCATGGGAAAAAAGAATAACACTGTTGATGAAATGCGATATCTTTTGAACTGAATGAGCAAGAAACAGGATGAGATGTTGCTATGTTATGTTGCTATCTGGCTTTATCCTTGATTTTAACGCTAAGATTCATAAGACAAGAAAAGGTATTGGAACTACCCAGAAATAAGTAGAATAAGTTCAATCATTCAAAATCTATCTCCTTATCAGGTTAGGTATCAAATCCTGTCGACTGGAAAATTGGGGTCTTGAAATATCACTTAAGCGAGCATTTTAAATATGCTGTAATCGTTTTTCGTTGGATAGATGTTGTCGTGTTTGCGACCAATAAAAAAGCTTAACTTATCTAGTGAAAAAACCTACATGAGGTGTTGGATCCCACCAACGATCCTGCAACGTAAAATACACAGGTTCGCCATACCAAGTTCCAACTCTCCATGCCTTATCATCACTAATTTCTGCCAGTTTTACTTCATAGTCGCGATTTTGTTTTAAAAGCTTCAGCCATCTGCAAAATTTGGTTATTCAGAAGAATATTCAAAACAGACTACTTGTCAGCATCGGGTTAGTTCAGCGGAGAATAAAAACGTGACGAAGTGCTCAAAAATCTTGAGACCAAGCGTTTCACTTTCTCGTTTCCAAAAATTTTGAGATTGCTAACGAAGTTCCGCTTAATTCATATTTCGATTAAATTGTGGACGATTAACTAAGGTTAACATTGCACTGCATCAGAAGGAAAATTGAAAAAAAAATGAGAAAAGAACCTTCGATCTCTTTCGGCGTATAGAAATGGCGTCATCGCAATGTATAAATCCTTATCTTCAAATCTTTCCGTACTGTAATATACACATGGCTTATTTAGTCCAGTTTCCAGTCAAAGTAGAAGGCCCGAACAATTTGAGAAAGAGTTGAAAGAATTTGAATTAATTTAAAGAGATTACACAACAAAACAATTCAATGAAGTGTTACATGTTATCTAAATGTAGCATCTTACCGTTGAAAATCTAATAGTGCATTCTCCCAACACTAAAAAGCAGATATTTCATTGTCTTGTCAGTTAAAAATCTAATATATGCGGATTTTCAGTCAAAATTTTTCACTCAGTAACTTCATAACAGTGACGAAAAGCCAGCGAATGAACACTACCGAAGATAGAACTTACAGAATAGCACGCTTAAGAGCTCGAGCCTGGAAAAGACCATATCCAAATAAAAAAATAACGACCCCCAGGAGCTTTTCAGCTGAAAAAAGAAAGAATTAGGAAATAGGAGACTTCTCCGTTTTCCAAAACTTTTATAATGCAGGAAGTATTATACTTATAGGAACTAAGTTTTTTGAAACTTTATAACTGTCAACTATTATCAGTTTAACTACAATAACGAAAACATGAATGAAAAATTTAGAATAACCGTGCACAGTCCTTGCCTCAATTCATTTTTCATTTTCAACAAAATATTTTATTTTAACATTAATTACATGGCATTCTCAAGTCAATTCATTAATCTCCTTTATTGCATCGCTACTAAGTAATTACCCTACAGCTAAATAAATCAAGTTACTGTCGATTAACACCACAGTGTATAGAAGCTTAAAAGAAAATCTGGAATCTCAAACTATTTCACCGTTGTTACTAGTTTATTTGAATAGCTGAGAAAGTAGGCTGCTTACTCTGTATGAACCTATATTTCGGTATACTGAAATATTTAAAGTTATTTCAGACTGAAAATTGATAGTAACAGCACATTTAAATAAAATGAATGAATATAAAATTTAAGCGTAACGGCTACCTTTCCAAAGAACTTTTGGATAAGTTCGTGACCAATTAAATTTGCTATATCCACCTGAGGGTGGCATATCTTGCCGATAATCGGCTGCCATCGCTGAAATATCCTTCAGATATTCACAAAATTTAAAAATTTTTATAGCATTTATGTTTTATTGGAGAACCATTCGATTTTCGATTTTTAGCTGGAAATCGAAAAACAAATATATGACCGTATCGGACAAGTCACATATAAAATCTGATATAAATATCCGAAACGAAATTGAAAACTGGAATTGTAGAACAAATAGAATAGTAGAATTGGAGATAAATAAAAAAAATTGAAAAATTGGGAAGAAATGTCTATTATATTAATTACAAAATTTCTGTGAATGAATTAATGCATGGATAGATTAAAGGCAAAAAATTGTTTCGTTTCATTTTCCTTATTTTTGTTCATTCGGTCAACCGTTACATTCACTAATAAACTGATTTCACATCAATGAAATTAGTTTGCCGGTAGTAAATAGCACGTTCATTTGCGCTGCACATCACGATCCGAAACGCACGAAACTGTTGTAACATGAAACAACTGTGAGAGAACAGAATGCACATTTTACGGCCTGGTCTTCACTGAAAAGTTGTTGGGGAAGTAGCGCAAATTTCGATTCCTTGTAAAACAGAATTTTAGGATATGGGGTTCTCGTCATTCGAAATTTAGTATTGAAAGTGGCATGGATAATTTCAGAAGAATATCAGAAGAGAAAAAAATAAAATAGGGGAATTCAGAGAATTTTTGGAATTTCGGAATGGGCAGTGAACTTTTAGATTGCTTGTTAAATGGTAGACTCAAGATATGTAAGCATTCGCTAAATAGCATTATATTTGAGTAAGTGTAAAATAGGACGTGACCTACGGATAAAACTTTGAGAATAGATAAGACTTGGATAGATGTTCTTAGCGTACGCTAGGATAAAAGAGGTGCTTTTATTATGGAAGATTTATGCGAAATTTAACAAATCTGGCTTGTACTGCTTGTTAAAACTTTTACGACAAATCTTTAAATTCAAAACAGGTCAGTAGTCAAACTGTACATTAAACGGATATGGTGAAACCGACAAGTGTTAAAGATGTTGATCAACATGAAATTGTACGTCAAATTGCGGGTTTCTTGAAAAAAAGTGGCAAAGTAAGGGTGCCGGATTGGTCGGATGTCGTTAAATTGGGCCAAAATAAGGAACTGGCACCGATTGATAGTGATTGGTACTATATCCGAACGGCGAGCATTGCGCGTCGTTTATACATTCGTTCACCTACCGGTAAAAGCTTGATGTCGTATTTTCATCGTTATTTACGTGGAGATCACATTACTATTCGTTATCTCATGTTTGGTTTTATGCTGTCATCAGGAACGGCATTATATCAAGTGCTTATTTTTGATAATCGAGGGTTTATTTAACACAATTTTATCATTGTTTTCTCTCTCAAATTATGGATTTAAACCTAATGCATTTAATTTTATATTCGATTTTCTTATACTATGCTAGAAGAGTGAATAATAACTTCAGGCCAACAAACGAAATGCCGAAATCACTGGGACGATTTCCCTCAATAGTTTAAATACCGTTTAGGTGTTGGTGCACTGAGACGTGTATATGGAGGTAATAAACGGCATGGTGTATTACCGAATCATTTTGTGAAATCATCCGGTTCAGTTTTACGTAAAGCTTTACAAACATTGGAGGCCATCAAATGGGTAGAAAAAGATCCCGATGGTAAAGGACGCATATTGACTAAACAGGCTTGTCGTTGGATGATCATGAAATCCCTTTTCAGTATAAATTATAGAACTTTACTGGTTTTCTTCAAATTCCTTATTAAAATTGAAAATTATAAGTGCTCAAACTTTATTTAATCTCTTTGTGTTTCAAATGTTTTCATAACTTTTGTTTTTGAACGTAATCAGTTTTAATTATTTGTGCTATTTGCTACTGTCAATGAAGAAAATTTCTTTTGTGCCGTTGGCAGTTTTTTATTATGAACTTTCATCATAGATTAATTTTCATGATTTCCATGAGGAAAATTTTTGGCACTTATTCCTTATTATCAGTACTATATTCGAATTATTCAGTTTTGTTTTTTATTTTAGGGTCGCAAAGATTTGGATCGTATTGCATCACAGCTTCGCCAGAATACAAAACATTCATTTGAATCATAAATTTGTGGATGATTTTGATAAAGAGAAAATTTTTTTGAAGAATTAAAATGATTGTATTGTTTAATGCAAAAAATATCTTTGAAGATATTGCATGTTTTGTCATAAACTGATAATTTTATACGGCATGATCCTTTTTGTCGTTGTTATTGCTGTTATTGATGTAAAAGAATTACCTAGAAAACTCAGCATTGCGGAAATATTCGATGCTGCAATTAAAATTCTTAGAGTCAAAAAATAATTTGGTTTTTGCTTTGCGGGAAACTTATTGTCAACGTTTCAAGAAATAAGGATTAATTCACTAGTGTGTTGCAGATGCTCTGATAAGAATGAAGTAGCCATATTTTCCTTTATATCCGGATTTTTTTTCCAAAAGAGGAAAAGGTTATGACGGGAAATATCGGCACATTTCAATAGCAGGAGGAATTTGAAATCGTGAGCCACATTCTTATCAGGATGTTTTCTTGCTATTACCCTTGAGAGGTCGCAGGCTTTTGTAGTCCAGAGAGAGATAATTCATCTCCATTCTTCAATACAGATAGGCATATATTCGGTCGTGTCGTATTGCAGTACCTATGAACCAGATCTGTTTGAAGCAGATACCGGTATGAGAATCACTGTTTCTTCCAGCTGCTAGGATCGCGGTTGGTTTATGATGTGATGAAAAGTGGATTTGACTTGTTCGCTAATTTGAAGGTGCAGTTATTAATATCGTAATCATCCGTTAGATTGAGGAAGTATGTTAACGGTGACGTTGCCTGGTTCGCTGCATCCTGCGAATAAAGACGCATTGTCGTGGTAAGTTAGAAATAATTCTTACAGTTCATCAATACGAAGACGAACAAGGCTTTTTTCCGATATGCGTTTTTTTTGTTTTTTTGAGAAATGAATTAACTAGTCAACTGATTCGATTGATGGGTTGGCAAGTACGTCCAAGTTGTCACCATTAAACAGCATTAAATTATAGTATTAAGTAAAAAAATAATAGTTCCTTTTTTCTTTATTTCGGAAAGATGAGAATTTCGTCTGTTCACTAGTTTGACAAAAAAAGGAATTCGAAGCTAACAGTTTACTTGGCCAAATGAGGATAGCCGGATGTACTAAATCTTTATCCAAAATCACAATAGCGTAGAAAAAATATTGAAGCAAAAATAGAATTTTGGGAGTTTAAATTTTTGAATATATTGTTACATGTCTGAAATTTTCTTAATAGATGGTATTGTTAAAAGTTTTCAATAATATGCATTATCATGGGTCTTCAGGAATGAAAAAGGCTTGCTAGTATATGGAGCTCATTGTACACTTGTGATAATTGATGTAGTTCGTAATAAGATTATCCAGACTCTCGAGCGACATACTTCAGCTATTACATGTGTTGGTTTTTTTTTTTTCTTGGTGATTAGTAATGAACTTACTACGTACTTGGTTGAAGTTTTGTTTTCTGGGTTGGATTCCTCTTTGAATTCTATTATCTCTTGTTATTTGCTGATATTATTTTTTGTTATGGTTATTTAATTATCATGTAGAGAAATGTGGAATAAAGTAACAAAGTAACAATAGTCAATGGAATTGTTTGGAATCATTGTGTATCAACATTTACAATAGTTTTGAATAAATATGCGATGATAAGAATAAAATAGTATAAAATTTAAATTTATACCAGGAACAAATTTATACCAGAACAGGAACAGTTTTGCTTTCAGATTTGCTGCTCATCAGAGGAAGAAATAGGTTTTTCGGCAGAAGTACGATTGCGATGTGCATCTGCTGATGTAGGGGGTATAGTAGTTGTATGGGATATTGTAGAAGGTGTCGAGCTGTCATCTTTTTCTGTTCCAAATAGCGCAGTTTTGAGTAAGCTCTCGCTTTTTATGGTCAGGAAGTATTGTGCACTATTTTCGTGAAATTATCATCCATTTTTAGTGAAATTAAAACTAAGGTATATACATAAGATTTATGGCGACATTGTTTCACCAAAATCAAATTTGAGCAAATAAGTACACGTATCTTTTGAACTTCATTGGATCCGAACTGTTCAATCTAAAAGATCAAAGCAGTAGATCTATTTTTGTGTAATTTGCCAAAGAGAAAAGGCTGAAGTTTTCTCATGATGTTAAATTCTTTCGTCTTTGAAAATTTTCAGGTCTTGCTTGGTTTCCTTGGGAAGATACAAGTCGTGATTTTCTTTTGGTATTACATTCACCGAATAATTTAATTTTATGGAATATAGTGACTGGGGATCAAATTTGGAATATCACATATTCACAAACCTTTAGCAGTTTTTCCATTGATCCATTCGATTCACGCAGAATTACTTGTTAGTGCATCTTTTTTATGTAAATTCGTACAGTTGAATTGCGAATTACTTGAAATGTGGTAAAAGTATGAAATTTGAAAAAAATCTTCACCAGATTATTTTTCTTTAGCTGTTCAGTCCAGCAAATATTCGAACTATCGTTTTGAATTGTAATTTGGTTTGTTAGGTCTCACTTTTTTTTTCAAGCTGCAGTGGAATTTTTTTCCAAAGCACTATAAAATCTTTCAAATGTTGATTTTTTTTAAACTTTCCAATTGGAACAATTGATTTTCAGTTAGTCTTGTCGATATTGGCTCCCTAATGTTCATAGACAACGTTTTGCTTCATAAAGCTCCATCAGGAAGGGGTACTTCGCTATTGGTATTCAATAGTGTGTCAACTGCAATGCCGATTATGCAAATTGAATATCATAATGCTTTTCCAAATATTCTTTTTGCAGCAACTCAAAATGAGGTTTGAACATCGTGTTTGCTTCAAATATTACTTGTGACTAAACGATTTTCACCTTTATAATGGTGCCATTTGGAGGAAGAGTATTAAAAAATTGGAATAAATGGGCAAATGTTTAAAAAGATAACGAAATTGTAGGATTGAAATTCAAATTCTTTGGAGCATATGACTTTTTTCGTTTCTTTTTTTGGGAGGAGAAAAAGAGGAGGAGAAAGAGGAGCAGTAGAGATGAAACTTGAAAATTTATACAATTTTAACAGAAGGCAAAATTGCTTTGTTAGTATATGTCTCCTGTACGCTTTTTGATAGCAGGAGAAAGGAATATTTTCATAATTAATAGAAATTTTCTAAGAGTTAAAGATATAGCTCTAGCATCTCTAACCTTATTGTGGAAGTCGCTGCATGTTTATATCACCTATCGCATATTTAATTACTTTCAATAATGGATATTAGTTGTTACTAAATGACAGAACGTTCATGGTGAACGTGTAAATCTGGTGAACAAATATAGTATGACGATCAGCAAATGCCTCTGCAATCCTTTATCTACGAAAGTATAAATTCTATGAATTTAAATTTCAATTAAAATTTCGAATAGTTATTGTTTTAGATTGCCTGTGTTGAACTGGAGTGTTATTGCATTATTTGGCGATACTCATGTCATGCACCGCTACTACGCCTGATGACTTGTAGTGAACGTGATGTTTTAGTAACCGTACATGTTAATGGTATCATTGAATGGAGATCTTGCACAATAGTCGAGGATGAGAAGGGCAAAACGACATTGAATTATGAGTTGCTGTATTCGGGTGAAACGCAACGACAAACACATCACTGTCGGATATCTGCTGCAGCATTGTGTCCTGTCACACAAATCACCGTTGCTTTACTATATAATTCAGGGAATATTTCGATTTACCAGTTGGTAGGTAAATTTTGCTTTTTCAGTTTAAAATTTGTGTTGTAAAAAAACGAACTTTTCTCTGGAAAATACATTTCCCTAGAAATTTCATTTACACTAAATTTGCACGAAATCGTGACGAATTCTCATGAAATTATAGTAAAAAATCAAACAAAAGCTGTTGTTTTTAAGAAGTTAAATTGTTATAATTCAACCAATTTATCTTTGTGAAGTTATGATTTAAGAAGAGATGGTGTAGAAAATTGCCTGCCAAACTCCAGATCTTGCTTCAATTTGCTGCATAGACATTATACTCGAAATTTTTTTCGACGTACATGTCTATTTATTTTATTTGTTTGTTCATTTGCGGCAAATATACTATTTATTTATTTAGTCTTCCTTTGTTTAGTTATTCAGTTATATTTTTTTCATTTTCTTTCGGCCATGTCATCTTCGTCTTCTTTTGTAATCAGTTTCGTCTGTTTCAATAACAAGACTATTTAGGTTTCAAAGTCTGAGTACTCAAAGAATAGATTTGGGAGTTTCCGTCCCAAGTTTTCATTTTCCATAATTTTATCGGACTAAATTTTCTGATTTATAGAGTCTAAAAGAAGACGATATGGTACTGCCCTATCGGGCATGCTACATCACGAATATAATTAGCGTTGATGAAGATTTGTGCTGCTCAGTAAATGGTCACTTGAAGTAGGTGGTATTCTACTTTTTTCAAATTATTTGATTTCTTGAAAAGTAATTAATATATCCAATTTAGGATGTCAAACATAGCACAGATATTTTCATTGGGTCAAGGAGTAACAACGGTACGCATGCAGCCAGGGCAAGTGGAAGAAAATAGTAAAATAATGCAATTAACTGCTCTGGGAAATAATCAGGGAATTGTACGATTGGTGGACATTTCAACAGGAATAATTTACCGAGAGCTGCATGTTCATACATGCCCTATTAAGTAGCTTATTATATTTCCTTCCATTTCTAATAATTCCTTATTTCGTAAACTGTTTTGAGGATTTATTCAGCAACACATGTCCTATTTAGCGCTTCCAGAGTTCGTCCTCTGTTAGCGATGTCTTTTCTTTATTAAACATAGGACACGTTTTTTTCTTATATTTATTTTTTCTTATATTTTTTTTCTTATATTTTTACATCTTTGAAATTTATACTTAGTGACGTTATACATTGTCGTATTAATTAAAAATGGTATTTAACATGCTTATTTCTAATTTTAGTGCGTAATGTTGAACTGTATTTCACTGCAATTATGAAATTGACAATTTCTTGAATTACGCTATACGACAGCAAATTGTCAATCTTATAATTGAAAAAATTTGTTCTTTTATGCGAAATTTCAAAGATTCGAGTTGAAAAGGAGGTGAGATACCATGTAAATCAGTTGCAGATGCATAGATTGGTGTGGACCACATAAACTTATTTCGGCCGCATATGTTCACTCTTTGAGCACTTCGTCACTTGTCAAAAATGGTATTTTTATTACGGATGTTCGAACAGGTACAGTATTTTGGTACCTTCTCACTGAAACTTTCCAATTATTACAATAATAGTAATAATATTTGTCACAATTTTGCAGGTGAAGGTAGGAGATTACGACCAGAGGTGGAGGAAACGCCTGTGGAAATGTTGCGGGTATCGTTCTACCAGTGGGTTATATACATTTTTTTTTCCCGTTTTTTATCCCCTTTCCCTTCTCTTGAAAACATTTGTTATACCAGCAGTCAAATAATTTCAGTTCACCATTTGCTTTACCTTAAGCGACCAAAACGCGCAATATTTTTTCTTCATCAAATTTTCCATATTTTCTCTCTTTTTCCTAAATCTTTTGCAACTCATTCTTTCGATGTTCCTGAATACTGTGTTGAAGTTACATTCCCGAGCTTCTAAAAATATAATCTGCTATTACGGCAATATTTCATGTTTAGTTGCTATGTTGCGATTGGCTTCCGTAGTGAACCGTTGGAGATTTGGCATTTGAAGTCAATGCGTTTGTTACGAAGAATGTCCCGATCGTGCCCTATTATTGTTGATATGGTAGTCTTCCACTAATTCTTTTGTTAAAAATTTTAATTAAATTCACTTTAATTTCTAGGATCATTAGTTCTTATGCTTCCAAGATTAAATTTCAGTATTCTATTTGTAGGCTTGGTCCGGAAAGCATCATGCGGCGAAACAAATTTCACATGGAGATGAGCCTGTCTTTCGAGAGAACCTTGTTATTTTAGATGAGGAATGCCATCTGTACCATGTAGTGGTGAAAGGCTTACATGTAAGAGATGGAAAAGAAGTGAATTCACAGGTATAAGCATAGTTGAATTTGTATGATATAATTTTAAATAACTGCATGTGCATATTATTTTTTTTAATAGAAATTTTTTCAGTTTTTCGGAAGATTTTTTGAATCTTATTCTTGAGAATTTCAAAAGTCTAGCTGGGAGATTTCTTAGCGTTCACTTCTAGACTTGATCGTAATTAGAGGTTTCATATAAATTCGTGAGTTGTGCAGATCTTTCGAATCAAATCTTTAATTCAGTTTGCTTACTGATTTCGGATATTCTAAACTTCAATGATAATGACTTTAAGGGAAGGAAAAGAAGCATAGAAGTTAAGAATTTAAGACTTCCAACTTACGAGTCTTCATTAACATTTTTCTGAGAGCTTTTTGCAGTGGAAAAGTGGTGCGGTAGTGAAATGTTTGGTATGGAAAGATGATTTATTGGCAATGGGTGATGCTTGGGGACGTTTAGGTGTGTGGGATTTAGGCCGGCGACAGTGTCGTCAAACACGTGGCACTACCAAAAGACCAATTCTGAAACTCGTTTTCTCACGAATTCCCGGTGATCATACTCTTGCAGTGCTTCACCAGCATGCTGTTGTTTTATGGGATTCCGAACAGCTTGTTGTACTTCAGGTACATATATCAAAGTAAATCAAACTAAAACTTCAGTTTTTCGGAAAGAAGTTAATTAAGCTTACATCACAATTGTTCATCGCTTCTGATTTGTCGAAATGTATGAGAATTCTTTTCTCAAGAATTTTATTAACTTTCCCTATAAATACTATTCGTTCTTCAGCAATGCAATAGTATTAGTACTTCGGTTTCATTCCTGGATATCGATTTGCACGGCATATGTCCGTTAGTAGTTTGTTCGGATAATTCGTTCCGCTGTATATCGTTTGCTTCTTCAAAAGTTCGTCATCATTCAGGTTTAAAACTTGGTACATTCCATAAAATTACAAAGTTCACAATTTTTAAATTATCCTATTCCGATTTCTCTTGAATCGACTACTTGACGAGTATTATTATCACTATTACTTGTTACTGTTACTCTGAATCTTTATAGATCTTCCTCTACTACTTGAAGTTGATTCTTCGCAGCTATTAACGACAGTTTCAAGTGATGATTCGAAGATTATACTTTTGCATGGACTTTTAAGACTAAATAACAGAATTCCATATGATTGTAATAGTCTTCACCGATATCCTGTAGTACATCGATTTTTCGGCGAACGATGGTTGTATGATCTGTGGTCGGTGGTGATAGCAACATTTCAGGATACATCGCTTTCATCGCGACTGCAAATATTTTGGAGCCCATCACATTTAAAAGTACCTCTTTATTTAGTGTATAACGCTATGTTTTTTCTCTTGACCTCTACTTATTTATATTGAATGTTTAATATGTTTCAGCGAAGAGCTGAACAACTCCTTGCGTGTCTGATGAACTTGCCCGATTTGAATTCTGCCCAAGTTGATACTTTGGTTCATCTTGCAGTTTTACTTCAAAAGGTTAGTTGATTATTTGAAGTTCTGTTCATCTGTTCATTTACTTGTATCAAGTCTGAAAATTTTTCTTAGGTTTTGATAAATTTTTGCAAGGAATTTGTGTTTTTTTCAAGCGTGATTGGGCGATGCAGTTGTTACTTGGTTCACATGAGGAATGTCGTACTAGCGCTTTGCGAGCTTGTCTTCTTGCTTCGAATGTTTCTTCGGAAGGAGCTCAAAGTATTATAAAACTTGTTGCAACTAATCTTATTGCAAACGAATGCATGACAGGTGTGGGGATTTCTTATTGTAAAAATATATCGCTGAAAATTTGCAGTCTTCTTTTATAATTGTTCATAATCCCTGTGTCACCTCTCTGTTGGAATTTCTTCTTGAGAAATCTTGATTTGCTGTTTGTTTTATTGATTTTAAATTTATTTTGCATAGGATCACTTGCAGATGGTGTACAAATGTTATTTTTGATTGGGCATGGTAATGATGCTTGTCGTTATCTACAGGCTCATGGCTTCTGGAGCAAAAGCTTTCATTTCGCTAAAGTTATTATTCTATATTGCTAAATTCAATTTAAAATGTGCTAGACTAGTGGTATAGTAATGGATCGTTAAGATTGATAGAGGAAGAAATTTTCAAGATTAACTATTTCTGATTAATATTGGTGATTTTTTTTAGGGAGGAAATAATGCTACTATAGATATTAACTATAGATCTTCACTTTATTCTTGATTCCTTGGCTATTATTCATTCGCATAGGTCTCTACTACGTATATAATGAGATATGTCCACTTGTTGGCAGTCACTTAGATAAATAGAATGAAACACATATGAAAATTTTTGATTCGATAATGAATCTTCGCATAAAAATTTGATACCTAATTATGACATTCAGTGTGAATATAATCCTAGCGAATTACAACGGAGAAGCTTATTTGGACTAAATTATCCATGAAGCTACAGCATGTGTGGAGGAATGAAAAAGTTAAGGTTCATATAGGATATAATAAAATTTTCAATTTCAAACTTATTTTAGCTTGGTCTCGATGATTGGAAAGATGTTGGAAGCAAATGGGTCGAACATTTAGCAACATCGAAATCACAAAAGGCAAGATCAAAACCACAAGAAACAATTGGATTAATTTGTCTTTCTTTCTTTCTGACTCCTAATTTTCACTTTTTCAGTGTCATCTCAGTGCATTTTAGAAATTGTGCTCTTTGCTGGCTGCGAATATCGGAGATTGGAACCGATTAACGACACTCTTAACACAGAATTCGAAGATGGCAGTCGCATGGCACTTGCTGAAAACAGTAGAGGCCCGATCTGTTTTTGCTGCATATCATCTGCCCGTAGAATCAGTGGATGAAATTCGTGAGGTTATACCGTCAACCTCCGATCTGTGACATCTGTAGTATTAATGAATTTCGAATATTTCGGCAGTAGCGAAATAATGAATGTAAGGAATTATGCAGAAGGTGAGCGCAAGGAATACTATTACAAAGATCATTAATGCTATTGCATTCCAGATTTAAAATTGTGCTATTATGGTTTATCCTCAATCTAAGTACTTTTGTCAAATTGTGGATGTATTTCAAATAATTCATAAGAGGAAGATAATGATTAAAAAGGTTTTTCCGATATACTCGAGTTTTTGGGAGAATGTGTTTTAATAATGTTGGTAATAAATTTATCATATTCTGTTTAAAGTTCTAAAGAATCTCAAAGGAGTGAAAAAATAATTTGTGTGATTTGGCTGGAAACTTAATGTGGCCTAGTTTTGAAGAAGGAGATGAGCTTTTGGTGCAAAAGGGAAAGCGAAACTAAGTATTACAAATGGACGAAAGTGTTCAAATTTGCTTTAGATCTTGTGGTTGGGAAAATGCATTTACGCATAGACAGTAATTAAAATAATATGCTTGCACTAATTTCTAACGAAAAACATTTAATTATTAAATCAGTGCATAAATAGCTGAGTGGAGGAAATTGTAGTTTTGAAACACTTATAATTTATTATGAAAACTTTACTGACCGAAAAACCAGAAAAAAATTGAGAAAGTTGAACATTATTTTTTTAATCTGATGCTTTCCAGTTAAGTTATGTTGCAAGTTTTTATATGTAGCTAAGGAAGAGTAGAGAATTTGATCCGTGAATAAATGAAGTAGAATTTATTAATAACATCAAAAATTCAAAAATTCATATAAGCTTCGGAAGTGCTTACTTTACTTTCTTTTGCATGCGATCGCATGCGATTCTGATTCCATACAATAAAAATTAATAAATAAAAGTTAATAAAAATTAAATGGTCAGATGGTTTGAAAGGAGTTTTCTCTTCTGTTTCTGCAACTATTAAAATCGGTTTTTATAAATTGAAGTTTAACTACAGTCATTGCGATGGATTTTTGCAAATTGTGATTTTTAATTTTAGGAAATGAGAGAGAAAGAAAAACTTTACAACTTATCGTCTCCCACTCAATTTTGTTAAGTGTAGGCAAATTACATTCTTTCACCCTCTTCTAATGAATTCACTTTTTTCTTAAGTGGTGGAAATTTTCAGACTGGAGAAGGATATTAACCCAAACGATTAATTTCATTTATTGGCTATAAAGGAATCGTAATGAGAACAAGTAATTTGCTTTTGAGTTGTGTGACAGTAATCATGATTATTTTGTCATTGCAAATGCGCGTACTACTTATATCTTATATCCTATTTCGATCGTTTTATCTCTGAAATATTTAAAGTTAGAAGAAGTCCGTATTTCTTATTCTTATGAATCGAACAAAATTGCAGTGTTTGGCAACTTAGTTGAAGTTTAAATTTCAGAAATTTGAATATTGAAATATGATCGGTATAAAGTATAAACAAATAATACTAAGATGTACAGATGGTATGATATGCATGATAATATTCGAGATTTTGAAGGCCTCTACATTTTTTCTCTCTCTCCCTCTCTGTCTAAAATGAAGAGGAAAATTTTTATTCTAACAGAAAAGAATTGTTTACAAATATGACAACAAATATATATTGCTATGTAGAAATTTCAATATCTCATTTCAAACATATACTTGTTTTGTCTCTTTTAAATTCACATCACACTTTTAATTATATAATAGATAAATGGATATGATTAACATAATTAACGGTAGGAAACAAAGAGAAAAGTTGATGAAAATGGAAAAGTTATCATTATCATAATCATTCATCATAAATCATTGCTTTACAATTAATAACGGTATGCTGCGTTTCTGCAACAATAACACATTTATTTATGCAATACGTTGTTTCTTTCATCTCTCAAATTATTTCCTATGAAAAATAGATGAACAAAAAAAGAGAACGGAAAGAAGAAAAATGTTGAGCAAATGGTACGGTGATACGATACGGCGGTGATACAGTGAAAAAATTCGATATCGAATTATTATTATTATCCATTAAATTTGCTCTGTTTTTTTTCTTTCTGATCAATATATTTACTTTGCATGAATGAAATGTTTTATTGCTTGTGATAAGATGATCAATTTAATCCCATTAATTTATACTTTTTTATCAATTTTTAATTATTTGTTAAATAGGAGAATATTGTTTTAGATCATAATATTGTTATAAATGTTTTAATTTAATTCTCTAAAGAAATATTTAAAAGATATTTTACCTCAAAAAAAGAAATAGTTAATTGATAATTTACTTGTATTGAAGTAATACATGAAATTTTAGAGAACAACTGGACAAGATTATATACAAAACAATGGTAGTTTGAAATAGTTCAAAAGTTTTCGAAATTTGGATGAATTTTTTTCCGACTAATCTCTTCAAGTTTATTGTCAATCTTTGATCTTATAATTAACTATTCTTAGATTTTTTGTCTATTTAAATTTTGGGAAAAGGAAAAGTCAAATAAGAAAAAATATTCATCCATAAATAGATAAGAATATGATAAATATTTCACCAATAGAAAAGATTCCAATTTGTAAAAAATTCAGTAGCGATATTAAAACTGTTCGTTTAACCGGCATGTACTAATTAATTTTTAAATTTATATACCAATTGGGCAATATTTATCATATTCTTATCTATTTATGGATGAATATATATTGGATATGCCAAATATAATCAAATCATTTAATAATCTCTCGAAGTCAAGTTTAAGTTGACAATATACCGGTAAACATATGTATTTGGCTAGAATTAATCAATTCTTCCAATTTAGAATTAACAATTTAAATGTTTCCAAATACTAAATTCAAATTTTAATCGCAAAGAAAAGATGCCATTCCATTCTTAAATGTAATTAAATGTAAAAAGAAACTTTTGCATACGGTCACTTCTTAGTTAGTTTTTGATTTATTATTATCTGTCACAATTACCATATGTTGCTTTCGCCTAGCATTTGCATAAATTGTCGCAGCAACGATTGCAATCAATCCCCCGATACCGATTACGGTAAGTGCTTGGCTATCTTCCTGAAATATTTCCACATATAAAATAAGAAAAAGAAAAAGTAAGCAAAAGATAGAATCAGAGGAGCTTGTCATTATAAATTGTTCCGGTTACCATCCTCTAACTTTGATATAATCATGCTGGATAAGAATATGTACTGATAACAGACTTCCATTAGCAAATACTATCGATTAAATTAACCAAGCTTTATTCAAAATTTTCGGACCGCATATCTCATCATCGCGTAATGTAGCCATAACGGATTTTGCGAAAAATTGACAAAACCAAACAAGTGATAATCATGGTATTGATAAGAGTGGTAAACCGAAAAATCATGATAAACCGATATATATGCATACGTAATATTGAGCTCGCTTGAGGAAAAAAATGTTATGATAAATTGAATTAAAATCAGAGAATTTTGAAAAGGAAAACAGGAAAGTATACCAAAATATCTGCAATTCGCTCCTTAACATGCTCATAAAAGTTTTCAAGTGCTGTTGGTGGTTCTGGCACGTGATAACCACGTAAGTCCTTGAATTTGTACATTGCAAATGCTGTCAAACTTCGAATGTTTTTGGCTACATCTTTGTAGCGGTACATCTTTCCTCGATGGAAGCTGTAAATTTGAAACTTCATAGCGATTAAATTCAAATAATTATTTTACATATTAAATTGAAATTTAAAAATTGAAACCTTACTTGTAAGACAAAAAATATGTATTATTATTATTTATGATACTTACAGAAGGAATATTGGGCATTGGGTATCATCTAGACGAAAACGATCGGTGACATCATCATTAATTGACATGTCTACCTTGCCAACATTTACTAAACCGCGTAATCTAAAAAATCTTTCATTGATCAAAAATCGTTTACAAATTTCCAATGTTCTAATTTTCAAAATTTGATGAAAAATACCGCTTACTTATGTGCAACAGATTCCCATGATGAAACAAATGCATTACAGTCCGGTTCATCCGAATTGTAACTGTAAAAATTAATCGATTAAAGTGCTGAAATAACTTGCGATTAGTTAAAATTTACATGTAAAAGGGTTTTCAAAAGCTTATCCTCTAAACATTTCAGTGTTGCATATTTAATTTTTTGTTATTTTAATTATAATTCAAATGAAATGCGAAATACTTACAACATGACAAACCAATCCAGTGCACCTTCATCAGGTGAATAACTATGTGTATAATCTTCGAAGTTATCATCAGTTAGGATCCAAGTAACTACTTCTTCATGAGAACGTAACCATCGTACTATTGTATCTGAATCCTTGAAATCGCCTAAGAGAACAAAATGTAGCTTGAAACTTTGAAAATTTGTGTTGCAATTAACAAATTTGCTAGGAATATAAATCAGTGAAATTATTATAATATAACCTGATAGATAAATCATGGATTTTAATTAAAGGACAAATAAAAGCTAACACCACAATTTTAAAATTTATAAGTGCAAATTTTAAAATAGCTGTTCTGATAAGCATAGGTGCACTTACCATCATATGTGATCGGATTTTTCCGCCTGAAGTAAACCAAAGCTGGAAATGTTGCAATACCAAGCTCACGTGCAACACTTCGATCATCCGTTTTAACAACCTTTAAATAATTCATAAGATTAATTATTCACATTAAAATGTATTACTGACCAAATGACCAATTTCTATGTCAAAGAAAATGAAAAAAAAGCATACTTCTAATTTGTGAATATCAAAGCTTCGTAAGAAAAAATTAAATTATTAAATTTTACACAAAAACAATTAGAAATTTAAGTATTTCTGTTGATTTTTTAATGTCTGTTTTATAGAAAAAGAAAATTAATTTTATGTGAAATACAAATAATATGCAAATTTTCTAAAGAAAGGATTTACAACAAACTTCAATGTATCCGGTCGCTTCGATATCATCATCAATTTCTTCCACTTCTGCAAGTGCTTCACCGCAGTTTGGACATTTCGCGTATCCGTCATCTATGATAGGAATGTAATTTCCGATTATTGATGAAATTTTTATTTAGAACTATAAAATTGATTATAATTTATTAGTCAAAGACTATTTCCTTTACTATCTCGGAAGAAAAAATTAAGGAATAGATTATAAATAAAATTCTCATCTAAATTACCTTAACGATATCCATTACGATATTCATTCTATAAGTGAAAAATTAAATTAATTTTATTATATATTTCTCATTTTCATTCAAGAAAACTTATCATTGTTGTTATCATTATTGTTATTCGAATAAATATAATAAGTTACTTTTAAATAATTTAATTTGTAATGAAAAAGAAAGGAAACTAACAAAAGAATATAACAAGGTTTTTGGTTGAATCACGGATAATTTCATCAATCTTATCCTCATCAACATCTTCTATAGTATTATCTTCATCATGAGTAATATCTTGTCGTGATGGCATTATCCGACGTATTTCTTTCTATAAATATTGATAAGCATAATATAATAGAAAATAATCTATTAATATTTTATCTAACTTTCGGTTTTATTAATTATTTATAATTGTCTATTTCAATGTCATTTGTCAAAACAAATGTCGTCTCAATTTAGTTAGATTGTTCTACTTGATATCTAATTTTAATTTTGAAAATTATTACAGTAAATTTCTATTTTTTATAAGTTTGAAAATTGAGTAAATTTTATTTTTAATATTAAATTTAAATTTTAATAGCCATTACAATAATTTCTTCTTGAAATAAACTCAATTAAAATCATTGAGTAATGAAATTTTTAAATAATAAAGTAATTCTTTTTTTAGTAATGAATTTGTACTGACTCAATTAAACAAGAAGACAGGCAGAAAATGCTGGCAATAAGCTACCTACCTTATATTTTGCATTATTTTTTACAGAATGAGGTTGTTGTTGTTGTTGTTGTTGTTGTTGTTGTTGTTGCTCTTTGAATGTTTCATCTGATTTTGATGATTTACTTCGTTTTGCTTCCAATATACATAATAATGATAATAGCAGAAATAACAATAGAGTGCAATTCATTGTAATATAATATTTATATCTCTTTTATATGTATAATACTAATAATAACAGTAATAAAAATAGTAATAATTGTTATTATGATTATAATAATAGTAATTACTATTATTAATCATAAAAATTTAATTTAATTAGTATAATAGTAGAGGAATAGAAATTCGACGATTTATACACTTACGTGTGCATACGTAAGATAAGAATAAATCCAATGTGTAATGTCGGAAGAAGAATGAAAAAGCTAATTATATAATAGAAAAGAGGTAAATACTCGGAACAGAAATAATGGAATAATCCTAAAAAGGGTTAAATATTAATACTTTGAAATGGGTTCAAATAACTTTGTAATATGTTGCAAAATAAAGTAAGTTGAAGAAGATATAGATAGGTATGTAGGCATGTACCTATATGTCTGTATATATATATATATATATATATGTATTATTATTATTAATATATATTTCTAACAATATTAATATGCAGAAAGGGAGAAATTAAAAAAAGAAGGTTAGATGAGTGGTATAAAGGGAAGAGAAAAGTTGAGGATTGTTGTTGTTGGAATAGATGAAAGGAACAACCACATCATGAAGAGGGAGGTGGAGAAAATAAGATAAAAAATTGTGTAAATTCTTCTCATAGCAAGTGTTATTACTTTAAAACTAACAATAAGCTTTTCTAACTTTCACAATTTTAACTGACTTCAATGTTTTTCCTTCCACCTATCTCTTCGCTCTCTTTCATTTGAGTTTCGATAAATTAATGGAATGGCTAAAGCTATCTTCTTAACAACGTTGTGTCTTTAACATGAAGAAGAAGAGAAATAAGAGGTCATATTTCTACAAGAAAGACAGTATTTTGAATTTTACTGATAGCAAAATTGAAATTGATGAAAGTATTATCTTACATTATTTTCATCGTACTAAACCAAACACCAAATTTTCATTTGCAAAGAGATCGAAGAAAAATTCATTAATGAAAATTGAAAGATTTTTTTTCTTCTTTCATTTAAACATAATATCTATTTGTTTTTTAAATAAAAGATAATTTGAAATTCAATATCAAATAATTATTCCGCCATAAGTATTATAAAAAAAGTAATTAATTACAGTAATATTTGGAATGATAATTATTCTTTACATTTCTCTGAAATTTGGAATTCCAAGTTTTCTTTCCCCCAAATGCTTAATAATTCTATATATTGTAAGTTTCATAAAATAGAAATTGCTAAAGGTATCATTGTTGCTTATATTTAAGCTTAAGTTTCGATTTTGAGTTAGATATGTAAATATAAAAAGATGAACAAAGATTTTAAATTTAAATCTGAACAATTGATCATGTTTTATGTATTACATCCAGTACATATACTTGTTTGATATGTATGTTTTATATAATACGTGTTTTATATACTTTCAATGTTTAAAACATTCACGTATAAATTCCTATCTTTTCTATAATTTCTAATTCGCATCAATTAACTACTATACCATGTAAGAACACAATAATAAAATGTTTAGCAATTCACTGGCTTATGGTCAATAATTATCAAATAGCAGTAACATCTTACTGTATCATCCATCACATACGGAACAATACTTCGTTATATACCGTTAAACTCTTCTTTTTTCTACTTTCTTTCCTTAATGCGTAGTAATAAATAACATTTCATTTTGATAATTTATAACTTATTTATTGATTAAATATAATATCTCTGTATATTATAGTTTCAAGCATTTTTTTGATTGTAAGCATTACCTGAAAGTGTCTTTCGATTATATATCACAATAGAGTGATATAAATATGAATCGTAAAGGTATATTCAATAGCAATTTATGACTTCATTGCTTAAATCTGCGTTTCACAAAAATATTTTGTTACTGCATATTGCTTGTACAAAATCACTCCCACTACAGGGCATATTTGTTCAGATCATTTGTTGTATGCACCGGATCATTATCAACTCCACATCACTACTATTTTCGCAAAAGTATTTTATAATTATTTATTGTTGCATATACTTTACAGAATCCTGTAAATGCAATCGTTTTTTTGCTTGGATCATATGAAATATACTGTCTGCAGAAAACGTAAACAAATACTTATGTTCACTTAATTCGAAGAAGTCAAATCGCAGGCTTAAACAATGAAATCCACGGCAAAAACGAAGCAAAAATTGCAAAGGAAAGAAAATATCAATAAAAGTTAAAAAGAAACATAAAATAATAATAGTTCGTTCTCAATTCAGGAAAAAAAACAGAAACTTATTGAACTAAAAATCTTGGTTAATTTCAATATAGCAGTTTAGGAAACCGTAATAACAATAGAAACGATAAACAAACAAGAAAAAGGCATAGTTCCGCGTAGTTCCGCACTATCATGAAATAACGTGGTCGTTACGAACAGACGTCTTTACCACGAGATATCATACAATTGAGATATCATTGTCACGTGATGCTTGGATGAATCACGACGTTTAAAGTTACTCTGAGATCAGTAAAAAAAAATTAAATACAAGAGATGGAAAAAAGGTTAGAAAACAAAAGCTACTGATGATAAGGAATGGATTAGATTAAGTGATCAATTAAATCACTCTTGTAAACTTGAAAAAGGGACAGAAATTATGATTAAATGATTCAGGAAAAAAGCAAGTTGAAATAATCCACTCCGAATTCGCTCGAAAAATGACTGTACCCGTTAAAAGCAGGCATGCTATATTTTGCTCAGTGTAAGAAGATATTTCTACAAACATTTGCAAGAAAATATAAAAAATCCTCCCAATATAGCAGTGAAATCATCAAACTGGCTCAATGAATTTACATTATAATAAATTGAACTTTTGCAAATTCTTCAGCAACTGTAACCCTTCTAACCATTTGTACTCCATTCAAAGATAAAATAAAAAACCCTAATTTAGAGGTGCAATAAAAAGAATTTTGGAAACTCAACTCATTTGTGAATTGCAATGCAAAAGCACCCACATGATTTAAATCGTTCCAACAGTTTTACGCATATAGAATAAGCATGCAAACAAATACAAGTTGCTGATGGAGTGATAACACAAGGGCAATTTTCAGATGTTTAGCCACTGATCAGAGATGAATTTTCCCGCAAATGATGAAGAACGGTTTTAAAATGAAATCATAAATATTATGAAAGCTTCTAAACTTCACATACTAACAATAACAGAAACCAACAAATTACACATGCACTATTTTTAATTTAAAAAAGGGTCGATTTTTTGCATCCCTACTCCTCTTCCGAACTATCCTATTAGCATATTGTTCCACGTCTAAAAAAAATTTTTTGCAAGAAAAAGCATTTGGAAAACAAAAATTCAAAGACAGAACCAAATGATTTCTCAGAAAACTTTAAAAAAATCCAGATACACTTTTTGGATTTTAGCAAAACATGTATTGAAAGAAGGCCAAACAGAGATGCAAGAAATACTTTAGCCGACCTGTTCGAAACATTTTTTTTAATATGGCAAATTTTTCTTTTAAGTACAATGCAAGGGAAACAAAATGAACAAAAAACAACAAAACAGTTGAAGTTATTAGAAAAAATAATTTAACCGAAAATTTCGGAATCTTTCAAATATTTGGCCCAGTTGTCAACGCGCACATTAATGAAATCAATTAATTTGAAAAGTATTACTACACTACTTTTAAATTCTGAAATAGAACGATGCGAAAAACTTCGGAAAAACCCTGAACAATACAATAGCCATCGATCACTGTCACCTAACATGATATCCGTCAACGGTTATTCCAATATGATCCATTTTTCCAGTCACGTTGAACAACGTTGAACACAATTATACACTTACTCTTGCAATCATAATTTCCAATATCAATCGCTGTATCATTTCGTTTCATCCACTAACGAAGAACGTTAGGCAACTATTAGTGGACATTGAAGAGCTTTAGTCAACGCGAAATAACAATCATATCCAAATGGCATGAATAAACCTTACGCAAACACATGAAAAGAGAAAAACAGGTGACATTGGGAAGAACATAAAGACATAAGTAAACTGATTCTGAATAGATAACAAAACGAATATATCCAAGTAAAATTCTGAATTCATTTTTACGCAAACTGTTCTAAGCATTTCTTAACCAGTTATTCGCGCTTACCCGTCTAAATACTTGGAATCGTAAGCGCACATTTATGTTATACCAAAGACCTGGCTGAGACACATATGACAAAGTGCATTACGCTATTCCTGTGGCAAACCAGCAATGGATGGAATGCTTTTCCTACATATATATATATATATATATATATATATATAGGACACAGGCATTCTGGATTATGAACGCGATCTTCTAAAATACCTATCTCGGTGATGCCTTTCACCAGATCGTCTCCTTTCACGGCTTCGTGAACGTGAATTATGTCGCTCCTCAAATCTAAAAAAAAAAGTTACGACATGCACTCCACATTGCGCCTATGTTTAAATATCGGTGTAAACATTCTGCTCGTTTATTCGATTATACTATTAAAAGAATACCTGCGGTTTCTTTTAGTACGTGACCGAGAATTTGATCTCAATCTTTTGTGACTTCTTGAACGACGTCGTTTGTGGTAGGACTCTGTGCTGCTTGATCTTCGACGATAATGTTCGGGAGTTCGAGAACCACTTTTATCACTATCCGATCTAAACTTATTGTCTTGCTTTCTAACAAACATAAACGCAGATAGATAGATTTATCCAATTTTACCTTAAAATCACATTTTTTGAATGAACTTACGCATTTAATGTATGGTCTGCGTCTTTTTTTGTCAAATCTTCCTTACTACTGCCACGTCGTCTGAAAAATTCATAAGTCAGAAATTTAAGACGTGGACATACATGTTCAATACATTGAAATCTACTGCCCTCAACACTCAATGTATTTCTCGGGAGAAGAAATCGAATGATCAAACGATTATAACAAAAAATTTATAAATTATACCGAAAATTTTACAATTAGAGTCACTGACTCGATAAAAAGTACAACATACATATGTTAAGCACTTTTTTAGCAAAAAATCAAAGATAAAAAAATACGTTGAAGCGTGTAACAAAAGATTAAAAATGATTACCGTTTCTTTGGACACTCCTTACTTCCTGATTTTTTCCGTTGATACTGCTTCTTTGACTCTCTAGCATGCTTTTCCTTCCTGTCTTTTTTATTGCTTCCATCGCTATTGGAATCGAACTTCTTTTGACCTGGAAACGCTTAACTAGACATTTGAAATCAAATCTACAGAAAATGCAAAAATACAGTCGTCGATAAATAAATTAAGTTAAACTAACAACCTCAGTCAAAATATAGTAAAACTTAAGAAGCGTTACATGCAACGAATGCCATTGTGCATCACATAAAACTAAACCAATAAACTATCGAAAAGAGAATAAAAATTGTAAATTTATGACATTTAGTTCTTTCACATTTTCTAATCTTATTGCGAGATAAACGGAATAATGCAAGGAAGAGATGTTGTCCGACATGATTTGAGCAGTAATGAATACAATAAAATGATGCTTCAGCACTTCAACAACAATTATCTTTCGAAACAATGACTGTTATCACGAGAACGATAGAAACTTTTAAAAAACAAGAGCCTCGAAATTTCACCTATTTCTTTGCATGCATCATTCCCACTTTTTGGAAGCGCAACACGTGACGGTCCGTCATCGCCATTCTTCTTTTCCTGGACAGCAGCTTTTTTTTTTTCAACACCTGAAAATAAAAATTTCCTGTTTAGCCACACCTATAAGCACCGCGACAAACACGTGAAAATAGTATGGAAGTTAATCCATACCAGAAAATCCATGGGTGCCAAACCTTCCGGAATAAGTCAAGTTAACGAAAAAACCCATACCCCAAAAATATTGTTCTTATTCGTAGGAGACCAAATGTGTCTTAAAATATCCATCGATTTTTACTCATTTTTGTGAATTAAACATTCTTCGGTTTGAAAGTTAGAAAGGTGGCACCCAAGGCACGCCATTTATCCATGGTTTCCAACTGAAGATGTATATGTATTAGTGAGGTGTGTCACATGGACTGAGATGCATAGTAATACCTTGGGAGGATTCTGTAGAAGAGAATCCATCATTGCTACTTAACTTGGCCTTACTCTTAGCACCCGACGATAATACTGGAAGAAGTGGCACACTGAACAAAGTATCATCTTCATTACCACCACCATTACCATCACCAGTAATACTTGACTTTTTCGAAAATTCTTCGCCTTTCGTTTTATTCGTTGATTCGTCCAATTGCTTCATATCAGTTTCTTCATTTGATTCATCATCGCTTTCAGCACCTGAATTGGTCATAATTTTAAACTAATAATTAAAATAAGAGATCTGCAGATCGATAAATTAAGGAAACCGTCAGAAAGCTCGCTAAATTTTTATCATATTTTGTAGGGAGGATTGAAAGCTAGGACGATTGAGCTTGACGAAGGTCATAAGTCGTACCAAATGAAAACAAATGACAAACAAACAAACTCGAACCGTCACACTAGCTGTATGCTCAAGGTTGAAACAATAGAGGATTGTACTGATTTATTAATTCCAACCGACTGCATCATTTCATTCAAAAAAAGGGCTTAATATGTGGAATGAAGAACAGCGTCCTAAGAACACAAACACTGACCAGCAATTTCAATTTTGAGTGGCAGCCAATTTAGCACGTTTGGACAATGCCAAACATGAATCCTCAGAAAAAAATCATCAGGGTATGATCCGAAATAATGAATACTTAAACGGTTAGTCAAAAAAGAACAAAAACGCAGCACAAAATGTAGTAAAAGCTTACCAAGCGTACACAAAGCGGCGAGAGCCGAGCTTTGGGCGAGAACTTTTGGCTGGGCTAAACATATATTCAACTTCATTAATTGATCGTTTTCAAAATCGAAATTGCGGCGTTAAAATGTAGAAGTCACAAGAAGAAAGTGACTTGTCTGTTAGTTTTAAATGAATATGAATGTTATAACCTGTTACCTCGGAAACTGGGATACTTTTTTACTCCAATCACTGCTGTCTATTCAAAAATTAAAAAAAAAAAATAGAAATATTTGCAGGAACAATTTAAAGTGACGAATGACCAAAAAAAGAAATCATGAACTATTTTCTGAATGTAAGATTTTAAAATTAAAAATATGTACCAGAACGTTTAGCAAATTCGATCTGTTCCCTAGCAATACGGCTTAATTCATCATCCGTTGTTTCCAACAAAATTTCAGTCATGAAACGTCGCAAAAGCATGAGCTGCAAAACAAGTTAAATAGATTAGTATAATAGTAACAGCATACAGAAATCAGGAAGATGTACCCTTGTTTCCTTCGTGCGTCATAAATTATCAAGTTTACATTTTCAGACAATTAACAAAGTCTGACCTAAGAATCGACCTAGTACCTTTTACTACAAGAGTTTCATAAACAAATAGTATGTCGTGAATTGAGATATATCAAATTTCGTAACTGAGCATAATCATTAGCGAAACAGCGAATCTTTTGTTAAACAGTAAAAGTAATACGATATAATATAGTAATATAATAAATATAAAACATTTAATAATGCAAACCTTCCCTCTCCTTTCCATCAACCCCTTTTCTGAAGACAATGGAAGCGCGTAAAAATATTTAGATACTTACTGCATCTTCTCGTGTCTCTTCCTCGGTTCGATAATCAATTTCCGTTATATCCTTGGCAGGTTGTTCGTGCTGCTTTTCCAATTTCTTTTTCTGGAGGAACACTGGCTCTCCATCAAGTTTCACTCTTTCTTTAGCATCTTCCGTTCCATTTTCGTCTTCACTACTATCGGAATCCTAAAACTCATTCAGGATAAAGTCTCATAAAGTATAATGAAAAAATGGTAAAAATTTTCTATATAAATTTCAATGCATTTATGTAACGATCAATAAACATGAACTCACAAATTTTCCCAATCCTTTAGAAGCACGTCGAGCTTTTGCCGCTTCTTCGGCTGCTCGCAACTTAGCTTCTTTCGTCTGTTTCTTTTGCCTTTCTTGCTCAGCTTTTTCTAAACCTTCACGGATCCATGCTGGCAAAGCTTTTCGTGTTTGTTGATCTGAAAAACGTGATTTTAACACTGTCGGAAAATACTATACTACCGCTGGTAAACGATATGCTTTAGACTACGCGCATGAAGAGCAACAAAGAATAGGTTACATGGCCAAAACTAACCGATGAAAGGCATAGAATGAGAGTTTGAAGGAGAATCACGACGCGACGGATGATACCAATTTGGTGGTGGTGTCCAACCAGGACCTGGCTTAAGCCAGTGAGCCATAGCACCTTCCGGAACTGTTTCTGAATCATCTGAATCATTGTCACGCCGACTGCTTTTCTGCTTTTCATCCCACTCTTTGTAATAATGTGAATACTGAAAAATATCCAGATAATTCGAGACTTGGCTTATAACTGACTTATCACCATACATTCAAATTCGATCTACCCTGTGGATTATTATTTAGCTTATTCACCGAGATACTTGTTTTACATATATGAAACATATCAACTGAAAAATCTAAACAGATAAAATTGAACAAAACATATTAATAACAATGTAGATCAAAACTTGCCTCACCCCCTTCCTCCTCGTCAACGTTTAGCTTTGCATCACCATAAGGTGGCGCTGGCGGAAACGGACCAGGCGGTACCGGAGTGACGCCCATCCATGGCGGAACTGGTGGCATGAAAGGAGGAAATGCGCCACCAGCTGGAGGACCGAAATTATTTGGCGGTGGAGGTGGTATCCAACAAGGCGATGGTGTTGCAAAATTTGCATCTGAAAATTTTACAGATAAAATAAAGCTGCGTAGAACTAGCAACAGCGAATATCCAGGCAATATCATATAAACGCATGCGGTTTCACTAAGTCTTTAAATTTACGGAAGCAAACAATATAGTTCGAAAACGTACCAACAGGCATAGTAGGCAAATACCCACTAGGTGGCAAAAAAGATCCATTTACCGGTAGTCCATCGGGTGCCGGTGGAGGATGTGATGGTAGTAGCTCATTGTTTGGCGGTGGCGGTATAGAATCATCCGATGTTACCGGCGTAACTTCACCGGCATCTCGCATCTGCATCCATTTTTGTGCTAGTTGCGCCCAATTCACTGCAATTTTGCTGATAAATACCAGCAGTTAATTCAGAAAACACATACATTACAAAATGTTTAAATTCGCGTTATCCAAATTCAATTTATCTACAAACGCTTTAGATAAGGACATGATGCAGGATTTTAAAGTGTTAAGCATAACAGGTTTTACATTAGCCAAGCGAAACCAGTTTAATAAATCCACGGATATAACATGATGTAAAAACATAACAAATGCTTCAGATATTATGAAAATATACTACCACCCTTATTATCACTACACTACTAATCTTCTAATTCTGAAATAGCCAATTTCAGAAACGAATTCAAGAAAATTCATAAAGAAGTTCATACTCAGCTCGTCAATTATGAAATTTTCAAATCTGAATTTTCCAATAAATTTTAGATTGAAACGAACAGTAGATTAAATTCGATATGCATTTGCTACACTTACCTTCTGAATTCGGCATGTTTTGATAATACGATGCATCCAACCATTTCGCATTATTTTCTGCCATTTTTATAAACTAAAAATGTTTCACGTGTTCTCATGGATTTCCACGTGTATCCTGCAATTAAAAAAAAAATTTTTTTTGATTCAATTTCAATCAGATAATTAATTGCAACAAATACATGGCTCGACTTAAAATCCTTGCTTAGACAGTTTTTAGCGTCGTGACATTGACTATTCATTTCCAGCTGAACGCAATTATATCATTTCTTTCCACATTATTATAAAATAATAAACAACAACTACACTTATCATATAATTTAATGAAAAACGAAAGAGGACAGAAAGAAGAGCATGAAATGATAAGTAATGATAAAAAGGGTGAGACATGGTGCGATTAATTAATGTTCAGGATGAAACAACAATCCCAACAATTTCTAGAAAAAAGGACTTTCATCTTTTTTTATGAAAAGAATGGATACGAATTAAAAAGCTAGTTGAGTCATCACCACAATGATAAAGGACCAAAAGTAAACAAAGATTAAGCAAAGAATGATAAGTATGGTCAAATTTTAGACAAGCTTGCGAACTATTAAAAAAACTAGAAATGTACGGTATTAATGCAACAGATGAGTGAACAAATCCCTATCATATTAATAAATATCCAAAAAAATGCTTGAAATTGCAAATGACGCAACAATGAAAGAAATTCTGAAGTCTCATAGCAACCCAAAAATTATACGGTGTCACGGAAATAATTATAACAGAATGAAGGATGTATGATGAGTACCATGTATCCCAGACATATCTTTAGCTTATTTCCTTTCAGATTTGCCAGTAGCTGAACAGACCAATATTCAGCGGTATGGTATCGTGTGAGATGGTTTAAAACTCCAAATATTTACGCCAATCATGAAAGAATCTCTATGCGTACTAAGAAAAGGACATCAGAAATACCGACTCATCAACCAAGTACCGATTAGTCTCGGTGCATTATCCCACATCATCTCAACTTATCCCTATGCTATCTTAATTTGCCCTTCGCGACAAACTAATTCCAACAACTCCTCTCATTCGCTACCTTCAACACACTATCCGCTACTCTCCCATTATCTGCATTCTCCATCATATATGCACTCTTTCTTTTTCATATGCTTTGAGGACACGGTTTCCTCTTGTCCTTGTCCTTCCATTTTTGCTTTCGGGGAGTTTCCTTCTTCCGCCTTTGTCCTAAGACTAGTATGACGCTGCACCACCTCCGTTAATCATTGACCAGTCTTTGAACCCATTTTGAGAACTCTAAACAAATCGAGAAAAACCACTCAATGCGAGATTTGAGCGAAACAAGCTCATCAATGTGACCCACATTGATCATTCATTTTAAGTATAATGAATCACTCGAAAGGTCCAGTACATCGGAAATGCAAACCAGATACTTGTTGATTGTTGTATCATCAAATGTTAAAGGTGGTTCTATTCGAAAAGTTTGCCCTTAATAAAATTAGAAACTCGTTTGATTTGAATAAAATTTATCAGTGTTACAATATATCTCCCAGTGCTTTCACAACGGAAGACAAAAAGTAATAAATGTTGGATGGAGTTATCAATAATCCGTTTATCTAACCTTCTTGATATTACCAATTTCTAGAGTTTTGCAAATTACTGTTGAAGTGAGTTCAAATACTTTTTTTCAATCACTGTAAAAAGTTTTTCTGGATATCAAAACCTTTGTTGATTCCATTAAAAGAGGGAAAAGTACTCAATTAATATGAGATGATTTCTTCTCTTAACAAGGAAAGCCTGCCTTCGCCGATTTATTGATTGACCGATAAATAGAAAAATATAAATGCATAAATGATTTAGAAAAAAAATTCACTTTGTTTTTAATATAACAAATGATATTACAAAATATTTTTGTGTTAATTCCGCATAGGATTTCGTGATACAAATCATTTAACATCATTTCTCCGTGAAATACCATGGCAGAAGAGCTAGAAAACGTTAATTACTGCCAGGCATATTCCGAATTCAACTGTATCCATCCATTTTTCCTACCATCAATTGATTTATTTTCACTTGTAAGAAAAATTTATGTTAGGTGGTTTCTAACTTATTTCTTTGGTTAGATAAGTAAGCTGATCTAACTTTCTCTTTGGTTAGATAATGATTATTTAGCTGATCTATTTCCATGCTGTAATCCCGCAACTTTTTCAAAAGGAAATACTAAGAGATGATTCTAAAGTCATGATAAAATCAATGTAATTTGCTTTGCTCTTATACCGTGCTACGTTCCTAATTTTTTTATAATTTGTACTTTCAATTCACAATGTTACGTTAGTATAATAAAAGATACTGGAGCGCATCGTTTTTACCCATATAAAAAGGGTAAAAGGGAAATGTTTCACAAATAATCCGGGAAACAATATAAAACAACAAAATGTAACCCGAAAAATCTCCATACAAATACCATTCAATCATGCTCTTGCAAATGCATCATGTCAGAATATGTCAAAAACAACATAAAACAACTCATTATGATGTCTGTTTCAGATGTAATACATAAAACGATATTGAATAGTATAATGACCTCGGCACTTATTACCACCTTTGGGAACCTTAACTGCCACTAATAGCCGTATTTTTGAAAATCTTGGCAAGCCTTGAAGTCGTCTCAATCTACAACATTCTTAAATTCAATTCATTTTGCAATTACAGAAATTTCGCCACAACTTTACTTCCTGGACGTGATATAGATATTATCGAATTTCTGCCTCTACTTTTTTTCGTGAATATTTCCCCATCCTTCTCTCAGAAAACGGAAACCAAAATATTAGTGAACTGAATTTCAAAAAAAGTTTTTATAAATTGTAAACTATTCACAAAAATTCAATCAATTCTCAAAAATAATACCTCAATAAACAATATCTATGAATACAAACTAAAATTCTGCTTAATTCCACTTTGCTTAACTCCTCACGGAGTGAGAATGTATGAAATACTCTGTTCAAATCATATCGAAAGATACATCCTAAAATGAAGGAAATTTATTTTTAACTCATTACTTCAGAGTCATAAATCCCCGGGCTTGTTAAGGTCCTTGCTTTCCGTTTTCTTAATGTCATTCCCAAACTTCGTTCCGGTACAACGTTAGGTCTTTTTCTAACTGGTGACTTAGTCGCTTGTCGATTTCTGCGACCATTTTGTTTTGGTATACGCTTTGCATTACTATTTCTTCTCGCTTCGCCTCCTTTTCGACCTTCCTCGACATCCTAAAAAATGACACTACCAAAAAATTACCTCAAATCAACTAAATAAGTGCAAGAAAATTGACAAAAAACATGCCGTGGTAGCTTCAGGGAATAACGAAGACTCTCGTTCGTCGCTCATCGAATTCTGTTCGCTATCTTTTACTGATAATGTTTGCAAGGGACACCTTGGATGGTGTGAAGGATGGATGTCGCCCACCAATATGCCATCGACAATTTCAACTATCGCAATCTTGAAGAAAAAAACAAAAAAAAAACTTCCCAACAATAGAAAGACTTCTTAGAGTTTGTATTTTTGAAAAATACAAATTTTCTGGATTACCTGACAAATCTCTCGACAACTATGAATAGTTTTCTTAAGACAAGTACTGAGAAATAAATGCACTTATTAACTATACAATATTTCTTCATGCTCTAAAACAATTACCATCAATCTTCATCAACACTGTACAAACATTATTATCTATTTATAATTGTTGTATAGCAAGTAATTTCCACGTAAATGAGCAAGGACATCACTGTATTTGTCACGTGTCACTTACTGGATCTCTTTTGATTTTATGTAGTAAATCACAATCAGCGCATTTATATAATTCGCGATTTTGCGTTGTCTTGTTCAACCGATAGACACGATAACCTTCGCCTTCTGCAATTGCAATGTTCATATTTCCTTGCTCATCAACTAGTCTTGTGTACAGTCCATTTCCATCTTCAGCGCTACATTCCCGTTGCAATGGTGTCTCGTAATCTGCACTGTAATAAATACCATTATATCAGCTTTATATTTTCATTATGGTACTTCTAATTATTCAGTAAACTTAAACTCCATGAGGCTTGTCATATATCAGAGTGCTCTGATAAAACGCACTCTGGAATTTAATATAGCGTAATCATAAAACAGCGAAGAGAAGCCATTTTTCTACATAAGCTACTTTCTCATGCACATATGCAGCTTTCTAGGATCCGTCCACATAATCATTTCTCTAATCATGGATACTACTGAGACCAACAGGTTTTATAAGATGAAAGTAATTGATTCGATTGTAGAAGCAAGACTATTTTATAGCATAAATATTTCATTTCACATGTGAGCAAATCTGACCTGTTGTCGGCTTTCTGCTTGTTCTCGTCAGCATCGCTCATCTATAAATAAAATGTATCGAAAAAGTAGGCCACTAGCATAAAATGATTTTGCTTAATCATGTATAATTTCTACTACTGGACCAAGCAATAATAAAGTTACCAAAGTAACCAACTTCAGGCATTCTTTCAAATTTTAACAACTATTTTAAGGGAGGGAATGCTTCTTTGACTGATATAGTTTTTAAAGCTGTAATTCGATGTCTTATAAGAGATAAATGGATTGAGAGTATGCATGATCTTAATAACGAGCTTAATAAGATGAAAATCTGCAGAGATTATGAAATATTAACAAACGAAAAAATACAATATAGTTTTTGTAGATTGCAACAGGATTCATAACATTTTAGCAGAAATACCGTTGAAACTTCTATAAAATTTCTTTCCCTCGTAAATTATAAAATACAGTCTTTTTTTTTTATAAAAAATGTTTAATAAATGCAATGCAGCACATTCGAACAATTATTTGACATCTACTTCACAAATAATATGTTGAGATTTCAAGTAATGAATCAATCTTTTAACTTCCTCTTTTATTTCCGTTATAAAAAACAACTTACTTTTGCAGTAGGTAAAATAGTGTTTGGTGAATGCAGTGCAGCATATTCGAACAATTGTTTTACAGCTTCTTCACACGTAATATGTTGAAATTTCAAGCAACGAATCAATCTTTTAACTTCCTCTTTTATTTCAGTTCGAGATCTGAAGGAAATATTTATATCGCACATTACAATAAAAATGAATTAGCACGCATTCGCATTATTGCCTGACGAATGTATAGCGATGAGTGAATCGGTGATTTAATTGTAGTCTTGAATTTATGAATTAAACGTAATCTTTAAAAAAAAAAAAAATTCTTTTACACACTGCAGAAAAAATTACCGCATGGCGTTTACACATGAATTTGTATTAGTTGCGCCCACCTGAAAAAGAAAAAAAACTTTTTATTATAATCAACTTTCAAATTTCATTGAAAAATTTTAATGAGCATATTTTGTTTACTTGGCAAATTGTTATTTGGAACACTACGTAGGAGATTCAGGCTTAATAATATATTTTAGTTTTGATAAAACCAAAATAATGAAAACATACAGGTCCAATTGTCCTTGTGTATACATTACTTCCACCATAACGTTGCGGATTGACGAATTTCGGTATACCCACCAAGGCTCCCAAAGTTTGTTGCGCTGGAACACTTTCGATGTAATAATTAGCACTGCAACTAGGTGTCATGCTTTTTTCTAGCTTCGTCGCTCCTTGGATTCCCGCTGTAACCATGCCGTTTGTAGATTCAATTATTGCTAAAAATTTTTAATGATCTGAAGAAAAATCAGTCACTAAGGTTTTCGACTAACATTTGACGAAAAAAATGATACAGTCTAAGAATCATTTTCACCTCGATATCGACATAATACTAATATAACATTGTAAAACTACCTTGTTGTTGAGGAAGACAGAGAAAGAAAGGTAGAAGAGCACAAATATTAACTTGGGTTAACGAGCTAAAACATCTAAATATCATTCAATTCAAAGCGCAGATAAATAAGAGTTTCTCAAAGATTGAACTACGAATCTACGCAACATTTTGCTGGTAGTACAACATCAAACTGAATTCTAAGGTTCATTGAAACAAGCCGTCTGATCTTAGTTTAATTTACTCGCTATATTAAAGCATCGGCAAGATGCAAAAAAGAAATTTATGCAAATATTTAGGAAAAATCAATGCTTTTTCTTATACATACATGAAGCAGTACCAGTCGACATAGCCTGATTAACCATCTGCATATGCTCGCCATTTGTACCTCCCTCACTTACACGATATAATTTGTAGCTACCATTTTCAGCGACTGCAATATGTGTCAATTTCCCTTCGTTATCTAAAAGCCGAATAACTGGTGGTACCATTTTCGTAGCCACTGCTGCTGCGGATGCTGGCTGTGAAATGATGATAGGCAAATAAAGCTGGTTATTTGTTGTATCATTCTGCATTGTTGTCAGTGGTAAACTGAAACGTTTCGTTCTTTTCGTTTTTCTAAATGGATTATCTAACTAAAATTAATGCAGTAAAACTGTTAATGAGATTTAAGAAAGTTGCTAAACAAGCATTCTGATAACTGATAAATTAATGAACAATAAGACGATGTCCCACAATTTCTAATTAGAGAAACGATAGTTTTATTAAAGTATCTATCAGAAAAGAAATACTCTAAAGACAGACCATCAAATCAAAGTTAAAAAGAAGGAAAAGATATTTTTCCCTATAGGGTTACTCCTTCCTTACTCGAAAATATAATTTTTCTAAAGCCTAAGATTTGTAAATAGTGGACTAAACTCATAAAATTGTTAGTTTTAACTTTCAAAATTAAAAAACTTGTATTTCTTAATAAAATATTAAAACAAAAACCACTACCTAATTCCGTTACTGATGTTCCCAGTGCACTGACTGCTAGGTTCGCCCATATTTGGTGGTGCAATGTGAACTTCCACAGCACTTTCCGATTTACTACTTTGTGAATCGTTTGCTGTTTTGCTACCTGTTTTGCTTCTGGTACGATATGAAACAGGTGATTTACTTTCACGCTCTCTCACTGACACATCTGCAGTTTTGTTTGCAACTTTACCTGGGGAAGAATTACCATCTTTGAATATCTTTGAGTATCCACTTCGCTGATCCTGCTTCTATAAATCATTCATGAAATAATTCCACAGAACTTCTGATTTTTGTCAAACCAAAAAATTCTTTGATCTAACATACGCTTATCATTCAAAAGTATTTCCAACTGAAATCAAGGATTGAAGAACTAGAAAATCAATTTTGTAAACAGAATTGCATTTACTTGCAAATTGGAATGTACATTGGAATGTACAATCTGTTTATATGTATATTTCTTGCTTATTTGAGGATGAAACGGTAAGTACATGCGCATAACACGTTTCGATTAATGTCACATTACGGAGTTACAACCTTAATTAAATGCAAATTACTCACCGCAAGTGCTTCATCGTTTGCCATTTTAACAACTTGCAAACGTACTCCAATAGATGTTACTTTCGCATCCATTAATAGAGACAATTGTTCAGCTGCTTTAGCATGAGATAATCGGTGATTTTTAACTCGTCGAACAATGTCTTTAACGATCGGTGCATCCCAGTCGTATTTGCTCTTCTTCCTTAATGACACATTGCTTTTTTAAATTGATTTGATTAAAAAACAATAAATAAGAGCTCCCTTAGCCAGAAGATATCTACACAAATAAACAGAATAACGTATATTTCAAAAAGAAAAATCGTCACACAAAATTTTGTAATGCAAATAAGGGTAGAATTGAAGACATTGAACTCTTAATATAACATATGTTCATATCGCCAACTAAAAGTAAAAATTCGAACAGATTAAATTGTGCTTAGGCAAATTGATTCAAATTCGTTAATCATTTTAACTTCGTCCTAAAATCTAGAAATTGGGGGAGGGAAGGAGGGAAGCATGTAATTTCAAGCATAAACGATCAACATACTTCGAATTTTCGTTCGTTAGATCTTCCCCTTCAACAGCAGCACTTTGCAAACTTGTCTGCAAAACATAACTAAAGATGATGACGAAAATGATAAAGGTTAATTTTGCGTCACTTTATCATATACTAAATTTCAATGCAGAGACTGTCAAGTACCACTGGATTAAAACTCCAAAAACTTTACAGGTGCACCAAATCATATACCTCTGCAACTTCGTTTATCGTCCTCTCTAGCGCATCTTCCATGACCCCATTACATTTGTTATCTTCATGTTCTATATCAACTACCTCTTCAGGATTACCATCTAGAAATCTTTCCTTGAAATTTCGATCTTTCGTTGAGAGTTCCTCATCCATAACCATTTGACTTTCAGTATTTTCTTCACTACCCTGTTCAACTTCCACCGCTTTGTTGCCATTGTAAAGCATTTCCATTTTCTCACTTTCCACCACTTTGCTTTTTTCTTAAAATACTTATGCAATTCAACTTATTCGAATACAGATCTATAACTGATAAAGCAGACATAACAGACGCTTGTTTATAGAAGTTTTGATAATCTATCCAAATAATAAAAAGCCCATTTATCATGCACTTCCCATGAATGCATATAAGCATGCGTTCCAAGAAAAATAAATCCTATAAGTACAGTCAATTCCCAAAAGATTTTTACTTTCACCACCATATGTTCTATTCATCACCTTAAATCTGACAATTAGTAAATACATGCTCAAATAGTTCATAACACAGCAAAATTCATAAAATTGAAACAGTCAATCTTCTTGAAAAAATAGCAGAAGCTGAAAGTATTCCACTGAGGATGATGTAAATTCCACCATAAAGCAAAAAAATTATCAAAGAACCATTTATATTTTCCTTATTTATTGACAAGTATACATGCACAAAACCAACAGCAATAGCAGATGAAATTTTCAATCAATTGCATATATGGATTAATTTCCTGACAAAAAGTTCCCTTCAGGAAGTTTTGAAATCAGTCTTTTCATTCTCGACAAAATTACAGCATTATCACAAAAACAATCTTCTGCCGTGAAGGGTGCGACGATTCGTACGGTATCAAACACAGTGACTGATCCGTCGTTGTTGTTTTTCACTCGAATCTGGTTCTGTTCTAACCATTCAACCAACCTTTTTCGCCTAAATAAATCATAATACCTTAAATGATCGAATTTAGTGCCTCTTAAATAACTAAAAATGGCGTCCAAAGCCACGAAATTGCGTGGACTAAATCGAACACTTGATATTGAAACTTTTTTTTTGCAAAGTATGTGTCGCTTTTTCCACACTAATAATATTATGAAGCACATTTCGCCGATACATGCTAAATTTGGTAATGCAAAGAAAAAACAATTTCTTAAAACAGAAGGAAATGAAGGAGTATGATAAAGGAATGACTGAGTAAAATCATTTTAATGAAATGAATAAGTGAAAATAGTGAAAATACTTTCATTAAAAGTTGGAAGTCTGCAAAAAACTACCTCTCCGAAACCTGCTGTTTGGATGATTGTGGTGCTACTCTAAGCAACTTTCCAAGCCAACACTCCAGTTCGGGTGTTTTTTTAATGCATCCATCCGGCAATTGATCATCTAAATTCCTCAAATGTTTTATCGATATACCGGGTATAACTCGTACTGTCTTTGGCTCTGAAATAAATAATATTGTGCGTATGAAAATCAATTTCCCTCATATACATATTATATCAAGATACATGAACATGTCTACGAACAACTACTGTGGCACACTTAATTACTATAATTTTTGTAGTATTCTTTATAGACACTGTGAAGAATATTTCTACTACATCAATCCTTTCATTAGTAAACGAATACGAAACTCATGGATAGATACAAAGACAAAAGAATAGCACAAATTTTAATTCATTAATTCGATCAGGTTTGGCCAATCAGTATTTAAGACCATACCTAAGTTACAAGAAAAAACAATGATTACAACTGAATAACTAATTGGATCGAATGTGAATATATTGCCACAAACAGTTTTGTTGTTGACCAAATCAACAGCTACCGGCTGTCCACATAAATCATACATCGAGGATACGGACAAATTGAATACGGATGACGTACACGTTTCCTCCATACTAACGTTTCGCGTCAGTAAATGGCTTGACACGTACGTCAAATGACAGTCGAATTCAAATTTGATGCAAACCTGGTAAGATAATATATAAATATATAAAAAATTAATATGTGCATTTATAATGCATGAATTACGAGAAGCATGGCCAAATTTCCAAGAAAATCAGACGATGCAATATTATAAGCCGAAATTCATGACATCAAGTTAAACAGCTATGGAAGAGTAAAAGACGGATTACGACATTCCGAAATAAATGGGATGCAATGAATAGCATCGGGGCAGCAATAATTGCGCAGACATTATGAAAATACCTCACTTCAAATTTTCAGCAAAAATGCAAATAAGGAGTAAGCTTGTTGAAACTTTGTATGGTTAGCAAATAACACATTCAAGTTAACTAAATTTTTTTCCGGTAGATTTTAATAGAAATTCATGAATTCACTGCAAATATCCAATCCACAGAAGTTACTGTGTGATTGACAAAAATCCTTTCTATTGATTCGACATAGAAACTTACTTAGACACATAGCGTAAGAGCTAATAAGTACCAAATAATAATTACTTTTAGATAACAAAACACGAAATCGGAAATAAAACTTAAACACATGAAACAACAGCTTCATGTGATGAAATGGCAAGGACAAACGGACGCTACGAAACTGCCCATCCCTTTGGTTTGATCTCATCTTCAGGTAAATCACTGGATAACAATGATAGTTTCCTGAACAATTCTGATGCACCAGCATGAAAATTATCTGTTCCAGATTTGATTTTTGTGAAGGAATCAGGCATAGCAATGTTTGACGATGAAATTGGAGTGGTATTAGCAGTTGGCATCAAACTTGAAGGTTGGATATCATAACAGAAAATACCGTTTCTGTAATCAAATATGAAAATATTCTATCCCTTTGCATAAGTTGTCAAATGACGAAATTTGTGCAACAACTGATACTACTTTATTATAAAACTTTCCGCCGTAATGCTGATAATAGTGCAGTATTGTGTAACTTTTTGTATGTTCAACAATGCTGCAAGATAAGTATATCAATGCATCTTTTTTCTTTCCAAATATCTTTTAAAGCATTTAATTATAATGTCGTCTTTTGTCTACAGAGATTTTTTGTAGCATTTTAAAGTATGCAAAGAAATCGTCATTAATTGTTTATATGTAGTATTTGGAATCTCTCAGAAAGTAACTAGAATATCCAGCATAGATATTCCATTCTTAAAATTACATTTTCGAAGTGAATATGTCAAGATAAAAACGCTTAATATGCAAAATCGTGAATACACATTAAGCTGGCTGGAAGGAATTAATACTCGTTGGCAAATTTTTTTCCTTTTTATCGATGAGAAAAAGAAAAGGAATTTTTGTCATAGCACATTTATATAGAAAAAAAGAATGATCTTAATTTTTAATATACGTCGCAGTATTATCAGTAACTTATTTGAGAAGTATTATAATGATAATAAAGCTTGTAAGTAAAAGTTATGTCTTTGCACTTAAGCTTAAATACCTATCACTTAATGATAAAAAAAGCATTATCACTGCAAGAGAGAATAAGTATTACAACTTTCATTAGGCATAGCCGAAAATCACAGCAAAATGATAATCATAGAAATAAAGGCGGAAAGGGAAAAAAAGTTCGTAATGTAACAAAATTGCAATATTTGAGAAATTTGTTTAATGATGAGAAGCTTATAAGAAAAGTTGTATTTTTATATTTAGACTTAAATATCTAATATTTAATTCATTATAAAATTATCGAAAGAAGTGGAGAGAGAGGGAGAGAAAGAAGGCGAAAGAAAGAAATGAAAAGAATCTGTTAATGTGACATCATGTTAACAGTATTGTTATCAGTAACTTAATCCTTATAAAAAGGCAATATACAATTGCAAAAAATATCATTATTGCAATCACCAATGAAAAGTTACTTCATCCTTATCTTTTCTTTCATTTTATCATTGTTTTTTCTAATCATTCAAGCTTTATCAACAATAAATGATGTAAAGTAAGTGTGCTTAAAGTTCCATTATTTTTAAAATAGTATTTCTGAATATTTGCTCACTTAAAATAATTGCTTAAAGAAAATTAAAACTTTTTATCAATTAAGCAACAGCACCAATCATAAACAGATAGATTGTACATTTCTGAAATAATTGATTCTATTTTGACATACATATATATAAAGGAAAAAATGAAACTGCATAAATTATATTTGAAATCAAAAAAGTAATAAAACGGTTTTTAGATATATGAAATTAATGGAAAAAAAATTGGGTAATAAGCATCTCATACAACAATACAACGACTATAAACTCTACAAACGGAAATACAGTAAGTTTAGTAAATAATTTTTAACATTGAGTTCTGTCTTCTTTCAGACATTGGATTTCTTTAAATATCAATTAATTTTAACTTGGCATATAATTAGTATAATCTATTAAAGATAAGCGTGACGAAGAAATAAATTTGGAATATCGCCGATTTGTGACATATCTTGATAATGTGAAAAAAATTAACGAACATAATAAACGCTACAAACGTGAAGAGGAAACGTATGAAGTAGCTATCAATCATTTAGCTGATATGGTAAATTGATTATAGATACTAATTATTCTTTTCTTATTATTACTACTCTTCCGCTTTGTTATTTTATAACAAAATTATTTCAACGCTACAAATTTGTTGCAAAAAATTTTAAAGCATTATTATAAATAATATATGTTTAATGATAATATCAAAATTTAATTGCATATTTTATTTGAAATAATTAGAAAAAGCTATGACTAATCAATTAAGCTAATCAATTAATATATGCTCTCCGAGTTGTCGTTTTCCCTTTTGCTTTTTCTTTTTACTTTCAATAAATAGACGTAATTTTAAAAATTTGAAGCTTCCCGAAGAATTTGATAAACTTCATGGCTTCCAATCAACAATGATGAAACGAAATCATTTCAAAAATGTTGTTCCTATGAAAATTCGTGGTCCACTGCCGAAAAAAGTAGATTGGCGTTCGTTAGGTGCAGTGACTAAAGTAAAAGATCAGGTTTGTATAATTAAAGAACTGACAATTAAAAAATACAAAAGATTAATTATGAGAAAAATTGTTACGGTTACGGTAGCATCGAAAATTTTCGAAGATAAAAAAGAAAAAAGGTTTCATTTTTTTAGGGTAATTGTGGAAGTTGTTGGACATTTAGCGCAACGGGCGCGTTAGAAGGCCAACATTTTCTGCGAACAGGTAAACTAATTGAACTTTCGGAGCAGAATCTTCTCGATTGCAGTAGCAATAACATTTATGGCAATTCAGGATGCGATGGCGGTCTTATGATGGATGTTTGTTATTTGTTGTTCCATTTCATCAGTTTAAATTATAAATATTTTTATTGAGCATCTTTAGTTTCGATCCACTCTTAATATTCATTTCAAAATAACAGTTAAATTACATTATTTATATTATTATAAAAATCATATTTAAAATAATAAGCGTTGCACCGAAATTTATGATTTAATTAATATTAGAAATTTAATTATAGGCTTTTCGATATGTAGTAAAAAATGATGGAATTGATACGGAGGAATCATATCCATACGATGGTTATCAATATTTCTGTCGCTATTCAAATTTAACCCGCGGTACAACAGCATACGGCGGTAATTTCTTACCAGAAGGTGATGAATTACAACTGCAAGCAGCGGTAGCAACTATTGGCCCGATATCTGTTGCCGTTGACGCAAAGTTGTTAAAATTTTATAAAAGAGGTCAATAAAATATGACCTTTCATTTTTTTAAAATATAAAATTACGTTCAAAATTATCTAAAAAAATCGAAGTCTTACACTCACATACTGACACCCCATACTGACAAGTTCAACATCTTGGATTGGATTATTTCACAACAAAAAAATATTTAATTTCAGTTTATTTCTAATGAAACCATTATTACGATAGCAATAATTTAGGTATTTTCTCAACCAAAAATTGCTCACCAACACCGAACCATGCTATACTCGCTGTTGGTTATGGAACAGAAAGAGTGAAATTTAAAAATGGTACTGAAAAAATGGTTGATTATTGGCTCATTAAGAACAGGTTCGATATTTTAAGACATTTAAATCATAGTAAAAATGAAATTATAACGATGAAATTATAGCGATTAGACACCTCTTTTAAAATTGGAGTGGCTCGAAATAAGGCTAATATATAAATACTCCTGTTTCTCATATATTTTTAGAAAATTTCAGCTGGAGTAAACATTGGGGAATTAAGGGATACTTCAAATTGGGTCGAAATATGGGAAATATGTGCGGAATAGGATATTATTCCTGTTATCCAATGGTACCAAAGATAATCGAATAATCAGAATTTGACATCTTTAACATTTTGTTTTAAAATGTGGCATTACACTATCCTTCTTCTTTTTTTTTAAATAACACAGAAATTTCCCCCATTAATCGACTAAAGTCATCAAAAATAAAATTCCCTCTTAGTTAAGGATGAGAAATATGCAAGCATGCCATACATTCATCTATTTATGAAATACCTGTATCGCACACATTTCTCTCCCACAAACGAAAAAATACTATAAGCAATAACATATTTGTAATCAGCAATATAAGTCGTAAAAAATTTTTTTCAACATTTTAGTGATAGTATCAAAACAAACATGTGCAATATTTCGCACTCAACTTTTATGAACAATAAATGATCAAATAAATGTCTGTTGAAACATTTATGATACAGTATTCTCCTGAAACAAGAGATACAGAAACATGTCGTACTAACGACAGTTTCCTGATTATTGCTACGAGAAGAATAGGAGAATAAAACTAGGCTGAGAAATTGTAGAATTTCATGCTATCATAATCGATAATTGCTCAAAAGTTTACTTGGCATTATAGTATACACTGCGAATTATTTCTACGCAGATTCAATTAATGAGAAAATTCCGAAAAATTAAAACAACAATTTCGATATTTGAATATTCAAGTAAGCATATAAACAAATTAACAACAAAAACAAAATAAACATTGACAGCAATGCATCATGGGAATTAGATTTAAATTTGAAGTTAAAAATTAAGTCAAAACTATATCACAAAGGCGGAAATTTAAAAGAAACAAAATTTAAATATGGACATGGAATGTCAGATTTTCTAATTACAATCAGTTGAACCATTTTGTCGATCTGCAAATGTAAGCTTTCCAATTTCAAAAATTGCGACATCTCCTTTAATTTTCCGAACGATAACTTCGTCCAAAGTAAATAAATATTTAGACAACATTTGTTCCTGAAAAATTCATCGTATTTTTTGTCGTTGAAATAAAGAAAGAAAAAAAGCTCTTCGAAAGTGTTTAACTAAACATTTTGGAACGGAAAGCTGAAGTGAGAAGCCAAATATATTTGGTTTCCCAGTTTCGTTTTAAGATGTTCAGTTAAACAAAGGAATTCAAAACATCTCCGCATTTTTTCACGAATGTTTTCTGATTCACTATTTATTCAACTAAATTATTTCAACAATTTGTAAAATCATTTCTTTATTAATAAATAAGGAAATGATTTTACAAAAATTTTCCATTTTCTTCACGAATTAGCAGGAAATAATAGGCTTTTCAAAAAAAATTTTAATACGAAGCGATTATTATGATTTGATAATTAAAAAACTGTTTGCTTCAAACTTCCTTAGATATATGTACTATTTTTTCAACTGCTTTTCTTGAAATTTGGCAAAATTTAAAGCAGGTTCTAACGGCAAAACATCATATAAACCTGGATTGATGCAGCCAGAGCCTTTCGTTCCTTGTCAGAAATGCCCCTTTTGTAATTCTGAGCAGCTTCTTGCGCATTTTTTGGTACATCAACAAGAAAAAAAGCCTGAAAAACAATGTTTTCTATTGTAAAAAAACAATCTTATTGAATGGATTCTTGCAAAACCCTCAATGATAACTGGGAAAAGAAATTTTCACGCAAATTTCAAATATAATTAGGAACATAAGGTTTTCATTACGATAAAAAATACATCTGAATTTCAATCACTTACTAATAGTTGAATGGGGAACAGAAAGTAATACTTTTTACTTCCAGCTTCCTGAAAATGAATGATTTTGATAGCGAATGTCGTATAGGATTCATTTTAAATTACTTCACTCTACTTGCTTAATGTTTAGAATAAATATGTTATTCTTGAAACCAATTCAAAATTTTTCACAAAGCAAAGATTCTCTCTACCGGGGAAAAACATTATAATTGCTTTCTTTTCATTTTTAATTACAAATTGGAACAGTGATGCCAGTTTGTATGATTGAATTGAAACAATATGAAATGAATAGTGCACTGAAAACGCAAATACAACACGGATAATAACTCAAAAGAGTGATCAACTGATTTGCAATTAATCACCGTTTCTACTTTTTCAACAAAATTGCCACCACCTTCAAACAATAAGCTCGTGATTTCTTCTTTTTAAAGAACGATGGGCAAACAGTTACATTTTTGCTATTATTTCAGATTTTTTCTCAAGTTTAAATTTATAAAATCATACCGCTTCATGTGGTATGCCGTTGAAAAGGAAGTAACATTGCAGAAATAAATGAGAGTCAGTAATTTCGCCTGAAAATACGTCTAAAGTTCTTTATTTACTAATAAGTCATCTATATGGGATAATACACGAAAAGAATGCAAGATAATAGTTATAAAAAAAGCAACTTATTTAAATTACAGCAATAATATGTTCAAAATTCTTTGATAATAAAAAAATTAACGACAAAATTGATTAAGAAAAACGTACGTCTAAAGCAAACGGGACACAGTGGGGTCATATCGAAGTTCCTAGCTGATGTAGTGCACCACAGACTGCATCTTTTGCAGATTAATGCAAAAAATATCTTCGTCCTTGCATTGTATGAAAAGCTAACCTTCCAACTAAAATACTGATCACTATGATACTAACAGGAACCAGAAGATGATAAAGATAACCAAATGCTTTTTTGTATTTTTGAAGCTAATAAAGTTATGCAGTTCTTAACCTCTCTTCAGTACATTAGATTAGGTTATATCAAAGTGAGCAGAAAAATAAGCATACTTTTTGCAACTTCAGGGTAAAATATTACGATACTAACAGAAGGCACCAAAATGAATGTCAACAAAAGGTAAGAAACGCATTAGTTAATACTCCGGAAACAACATAGAAAAAGGACAAATGAGGGGACAAAAAATAGTGCATCTTATGATATTGTCATAAATACACAATTAATATAATTATATAAAGCTTTTTAAAGCAGTCTAATGATATGAAACATTGAACTCTTCCTTAAATCCTCACAATAAATTGATTTATGGTACAGTTTAAGAGACAGACTGCAAATACTTTTTAATCATATTAAAAGAAAAAGTAAAAAATCAAACCCTGATGATTTTAAAACTGTTCCAGGAAACAAATTGCGTAGCAAACTCCATGCAGCATCATCTTTTAAGCTTTCATCTTTTTTCATTTTGGAAGCTTTTGCAAATTTACACTCGCTATCTGATTGCTTATCGTCCTCAAATATTTCACAAATAGGATAAAATAGATAACTGAGAAATATTGATCTCTATGCATAGAGCACATGAAAGAGATGTTATAATTAGTATGGATAGAAATGGAAAGAAAATCTACACAAACAAAGAACAAATTTCTTATACTACCGTATATTCTTTAGAAAAAAACTATTATGTAATGTTTACATTCTAAGTGTCATGTAATTCCAACTTATAACAACTCCAAGAGTTGAAAAATGAATTATTAAAAAATATTCCTGAAATATCAACACTTTCAATAAAAATTTTAGCATGGAATTACATAAATCACTTACACGTGTTTTCTTCGAAGTTATTGCATCACCATATGTTCCTTCCATATACGTCAATAAAAAATTCATAAATAAGATATTCCGTTGTCGACGTGACAGCCTTGCTAGACTCGCAAATAAATCTTCAAAAGATTTCAATTAATAATTCAATTTCATTTCCCGAAATATGAAATGTGCTTCTTCAATGCAATCGAATAATACTAATGTGTGAATCGTAACAGTTTAAAATTACCAAAAAATAGATTAATTGATAAACGAAGTCGAACTATTGGTATTAATAATCTGTTTATTTTCTGAAAGTTGTTAGTAGCCACATCGAGAAATTAAATGCGCCATAACCGAAAGACCCAAATTGACAAATTAAATTTAAGATGAAAAAGACATATTTTTAACTAAAATTACTAGTTTGCTACCTTCTTTACCTACCTTTAAATATTTTAACCATTTTTTTCAACATTTCATCACAAATATCATTATTATCCATTTGTAATATATTTTCATCATAAATTGCTTGAATTCAATAATAAAGATTTGATATAATATGAAGTTTAATTATTTCAATAAACAGATGCGGATAGAGATCATATTATTACGGATGAAATACTTGAAGCGGCAATAATATCTCCGTAGCAATAAAGCTCACTTCACGTTTCAACTTAACGAAACACTACTAGTTTGTGTTCAGTTTGTATTCATGACGAAAAAATTTTGACTGTAGCTAAAAGGAAGAAATAACTTGCCTTTATTATAGGCAAAGAGACGTTCAAGGATTTGTCGGACAATAAATTGCACTGCCATTCTTGCTAAATTGAATGATCGCTGAAGCTGCCCATTTGGCTGCTGGTTTTTTTTCCAGGCATAGGCACGAATCCATGCAAGTTGTACGGCGTGCATTTGTCGCATCCGTTCACCAGCCCAGCATTTCCATAATTCTATCTGTTGTTTCTCCAAGTCGTCAAATGATCGCGCGGGAGTAATTTGCTACAAATTTTTGTTTTCAGATGATTGATTGCAATAATAATAATTAATAATAAATGATAATTATAAATAACAATGACAATTATAAATAATAATAATAATTAATAACAATTATTTAATGATAATAATTAATTGATAATAAAAACAATAATTAATAATATGGACATCTGTATATGGGTACTGTTGTACATCAACGACATTTCTTGTGTCTACAATATCGGTTTGCATATCTGAACGAAGTGAATCCTTGCTAGTATTGAATCGGTCAATAATACTAAAAATTGAAAATTCGAGAATTTTTGCTTTCTTATAAAAGAAAAACTCATCAGATTTTTTTGAAATGTTTGTCACGTTGCTAGCTACTATAAAAGTAAGAATTAGCATCTTCAATAAAAGAAATTTTTTTGAATATTGTTTTAAAAAGAAAAAAAACTCATTAAATAGATTACTGGTGGTGAGAACCTAACAATTCTAATTTTATTAACGGAAATATTGAAAAAGTTTCAGCATACTATATCTCTAAATTTGAAAATAGACAACTAACTAACCGCAAAAGATCAGATCTCAATTCGCTGTTACCATCAAGAATGATAATTGACCTGCTGTAACGCTGACCACCACCATGCATTGTTAGAGTAACACCATTCTTTGAGTGATATAAATGCGTGTTGGTAAGTAACAGGATATCTCCACACTATGAAACATTTCGGTTTTATATTTCATATGAAACAATAAAAAAGAAAGTAGGAACCTCAATTCTCATAAAAAAATTAGACAAAAACTGCCACCACAAAACACTCTAAGCATAACGTTAATGTTTGGTTATTATTCATAAACAAAGGTATACCACACAAATTTATGAACAAACGTCCCTAACTTAGCAAGAATCAAAAACAATGAAAAGACTTACTCCAAGTTAATTATTTGCAATGAAAAACATGTCAATAATAATTTAAGAAGAAATCATTTCACATATTCTTATTCATCCAAATCTAATATTCCAGTATAAGTAAATCTTTTAATTTGATACCTTTACGTTATTTCGAGCAAAATTAGCATGCTCTTCATATAACACTATATCACACCAATAGTTTTCTGCTATCATTTCTAGTTCTTCATCCCGACATATCATTTCGTGAATGAAGTCAGCATTAAGCATAAATATTTTCCTTCAATCATTTTGATTATAACAGCTTAAACAATATATGTATATATATATATTGGAGAAACTCTAATTCATAATTTGATGACAGAATAATTTTGACTGGATAATTTCAGCAACTAAAACATTCGGTGATTCTTCACAGCAAAAATAATGCTCGTTAACTGTAATGTATGGTTATTTCATATTGTTATACAAGATTCGTTATCAAAGGAAATACCTCGGTGGTGAAGTGGTATCCCAACAGCGCAATATCACATTGTTTCGATCACCAACGAATAGCGCTATTGCCTAAAAATGCAAACAATTTATGCTAAAAGCCAAAACATTTCCACCACAGTGCTTTGACAACTTGATAATTCTGATAAGCGAAGAGGTGAGAAACGATAGTTCAACATTTTTACTCCTCTCTTTATCTTTTTTTTCCAGAAACATAGAGAAAAATAAAAATTAACAAGATTTAAGTACGTGTTGTTTTCAAACATAGAAACCATTAACAAAAATTACTTGTACGGTAATATCACTGTAACAACCGAGAACAAATTCATTCAAACGATGAACATTTGCATTTCTAATTATTTGATTTACTCCCTCTTCGCTGGCACGTGGTACCTTTCGGTTTACCGGTAGTACCGATGTTGTAGCAACAAGCTGACCATCTGAAATCCTAGGATCATCTGAAGATATAAGTGGATCTTCTAAAGCCATCGGTTCATCTCTCGCGAATAATATGCGTAATGAATTTATCTGAAACAAAAACATTTCCATTTCTATACTCTTCTGTGCTGCTACTTTTAATCGTAAATAATTTGGTTGGTAGATGTTAAATATATTTAAAATATTATTCAAATTCATATCCCTGCTTTCATACATCAGTTTGAAGCGAACTTTACAGCATTTTAAAATTATCAAACCAACCCTCTCTTTGTAATCTGATATTAGAGTGAATTTTGCTGACGACTGATATACAGGCGTAAAACTATCGCCAAGCTCACCGCTGAAGAGAAGAACAGCAAAACCGGCTGTCTTAAGCTTCCCATAAATGCACAATTTTCCATCTGCCATTTTTTTGATCTGAATAAAAGGATTTAGACGATAAAGTACCGGTAAACGAATCAGTATAAAATCCTCTAACGTTAGCTTATATGAAAAATGTCAGCAACATTCATTTAGTGCAACATATCTGGCTAGCAGTGCGCAATTGCGGAGAAATGTGTCCATTTCTCTGAGATGGTAGGGGACAATAATGCCGGTTATCGAACTATTTAATTCAAAAAATTTTAATTATAATTAAAAATATAAAATAAAGCGTCTAAAATTTCGTCACGTCTGCTTTAAAAATTGTTTTAAAACTAAGAATTAAAAGAGTACTAGAAGTGAAAATAAAACAAAAATAGTATCAAGCCATAAATGTACGAAGAATAATTGAAAAGATGGACAAATCATTGAAGAAAAAGCACTTTTGCACGATGCATTCGAATAATTTGACCACTTTGTATTTGATCCGAAAAACTTTCCAATGAGTCACTATAAATGATACACGTTGTACCAGCATCCAAGCTACCGTCACGTAATTCCAAATGCGTAATAACACAGGCTGAAGAATAAAAACTCTTAATTAATCACCAAACGTAAAAGTACCATAACTACGACAATTAATTATAACTACAATTATTATATTTTATATGTTTCAAAGAAAACAGCAAAAATATAAATAATCTTACTATCCTCTAACACATCTGTTGGTCGTGAACGTATCATTAAATCGGCTACAAATGCATATGTGTTAACCTGTAACAAACACAAAACATATATACAAAGGATCGCGTCTTATAATAAAATTACATTTTAACTAACAAAGAATTACCATGCAATTCTATCCTCTTTCCTATAGCTTTAATGCGGTCAATCAAAAACCAACATAAATTCAAGACGAATTATTGACCGTTGCATAAAAAACAAACAAACTTCCGCTCGAAAATTTTCATTATTCTTTGTTTTGAATAGGACACAAATTTTGCTTTGAAAATTTTTCACAAAAATATAAAGAGCTGTGCATTCTTTTTTGCTGATGATGAGCGATAATCAAATTATAAACAATCTGTTACCACTATTCTAATATCTCGTCTAACTTTCTTGCTTTTACATATCATTGAAAATTATTGTCATGAATTTACCTTCAAATTTTCATCAGCTGTATATGGTAATTCATCCAGTTCTGCAAGCGTAATATATTGATACTCTTTCATGTTTTCGAAATCTGAAAAACATAAAACTCATTCCTTCATCTTTTTTTAGGAAAGAAAATCTTTTCGGGAAAAACTGCACAGAAAACTTCTCCATTGCATGGCCACAATTACCAAAACGTTGTCAAATTTTCGCTCGAAAATTCTCAATATTCCATATGTGTGATAAAACGTCTCACTTCAAACTTTTCTCGTCTTAAACCACATCCGAAAACCTAACTTGACAACTTACTTTCAAACTTCAATCGCTATTTACATTATTATACAAACAGTAAGCTATGGTATCCAGACAAATCAAGAATACTTAATTGGCATGCCATCTTTTCCAATCCTATAAATTGTAAACGTCGAAATGGATAATGAATTCAACTGTTATAGCTGTCATATCCTCAAAATACATTTTTAAAATCTTTCATTATCAGGTCGTCGATAACTTAGCTGTCGTGTATAAGTGGGAATACACCTTAAAATAGTAGCAAAATACAGAAAATATTTTTAAATTCATAAATTTTATTAAAAACATACTGCAAATATGAACAATTTATTCACGTTTCATAAAACCGAAATACTGCTTGAAGAATCCACAATAAAATTGACAGCTTAAATTTGCCAAATTTAAAAATTTCGTAAATATGTAAAAAATTCCTGGGAGACTTCCAAATTGAAACCTTTTTTTAATTTTTAATCCTGGAAGTCGAGTATATCAGACTTTTTAATACTACATGGATATAAGATACAATGCATAAATTAAAAATATTCAAATCATAAAAAACATGTTATCATCACAGATCATTAAGTGCACAACAAAGAAAACGAACTTTCAATATCACACAAACATCACTAATACTTATATAAATAACGTTCGAAGCAGACTATTGTAAATATTTTTCTTTATTCATATTGTTGCATCTGCTTAATTAATTGCAGATCTTCAGGAGAAGGCTTATAAATCCTTCCAATAATCACACGATCTTTAAATGTCTAAAAATCAGTAATTAAATAAGCAAAATTCGAACCAGTTCTAATAAGCAGCTAGTAGCGGAAATGAAATGAAACAGTGAAATAAAACACATAATTGCAATATATTACTATATATTCATGTATTTGACTGATAAAAGCTATTTCAATCTTAGTAAAACCAGTGGATTAACAGAATAGTTTAATAGCAATATCATATCATCAAATCCACAGCGTAGAAAAACAAGAGCAACCGAATAACTATAATATTACTAGCAAAATGAGCTATTTAATATTGTATTCTTGTATTAGCTGAACAAATTGTTTATTTTCAAGTGGGCACAAAATTAATTTCAAAATAACCTTTGCCAGTAAGAGGTAATTTGCAAATATAAGTAGCACGAGCGTAACGATATGTTGCCAATCCGTCGTCAATACTAACATCCAAAATTGTATAGCAATTAAAACAACTTGAAAAATTGCCATTGTGCTGATCAGAGTAACTGGATCACCACCAATTCGCTGAATATAGAGAGAAATAATTTTGATACACCTGAATTTCAGCATAAATAACTAATCAATTGATGGTAGGATAACTGCACTCTATATACTCTCGCAACAATATCTCTAAAAGCTTTATGATACCGGAGATAATGAAATGCTCCATTTCTAACACTCATTTGTTAGTCACTTAAACTACCTGATTATCGTTGATTGCTGTATGATCAAAAGCCAAATACTAAAACTCTATGATATAAGCTTACCATATACAGCTATGATATTATATCTTAAAAATATGACAAAGTTGGTTTTTCTAAGAAGTTATTTCAATACTTATTTAAAACCAATTTTCTTTTGAATAGTAAACTTGAAGTAAACTCACATAAAGACGAGAATGGTCTGAATTTCCGGGTTCAGCTGCAACACCTAGCGTACCAACAATATTAACAGCTTTATAAAACTCTCCACGATGACGAACAATCGAACCATCTGCATAAAGGTCATCACGTTCGGACCACCTGCAAATATTAGTCTTGAAGAGCTATTTGTTCAAACTAAAAAAGAATAAGATTGGATACTTTAAAAAGTTTTTTTTAATCATATATTAAATCTTCATAAAATGAATAAAAAATGAATACTTACCTACAGCTAAGGCGAATTGTTGGAATTTTGGAAATAAAAATGCACTATATAGTCATTCCGTATAAGGAACTTTCCGATAATAAAGTTTCTAATTAATCCTATTCTTAAATTATTCTATTCAATCTACATATTGATCAGATTATTAGATTAATTTCTCTAATTTATTTAATAGAATAAAAAACTAGCAAATTGCATACTTACTCTGCATACATATTTGTTGAGGTGGAAATCATTGTTTGTATCGAACTACCATCACCTTCAGCAGGTGCACCACTGCCACTGCTAATAGTGCTGCTACAACTACTGCCACTAATACTAGTACTATTATAACCACTACTAACATCATTACTATTGCTACTAATTGTAGCTATAGTTAACCGATCCAACCGTTCCCATTTTCCAAGATGTGCTGCACAACGATGTATCAAATCGCAGTATTGTAATGGCAGCAAATATGCTGCATAAAGCGAAAACGACGTTAAAAACACGACACAAAATAGTTCCATGACCCATAAAATATCAATGTACATATATTGTGGTAAGCCTGATGGCGATCGTTGCTGAAATCTTTTCAGTTAAAAATTCTTTAAATGTTCAGCTGGAAATTTCAAGAATTATTGAGAAATGAAAGGATGAAAGTTTACGAGCAATAAAGTACCAGTTATAATCATAAAACTTCTCAGAATAGGTACTTTCACATCAATACATTAAATGTAAAATTATTTTTTATATTTTCTTGTACACGTATCACCTATTTATTTTTTAAAAAAATTTGGAAAAAATTAGACCAGACATGTACCTATAAATTAAAAAACGAAAAATAAAAATAAAGACTTGCAGGTGTAAATACACATGGTACAAAAATTGAGAGATATGCTGTTGTTAGACCAGAAAAGAAACAATGCTTGATTCGTAAACCAAAATCTTTCATTAAAATCGAAACTTCTTCACGTATCTGTACTGAAAATCTTATAAGTTTTTTAGCCATTTTTAAAGAAAAACTAGAAAAAGTCCAAACTTGAGTAGTTCATATAAAAGAACGAAAAATCATTACATACATGGATTAGTGCTACATACATGCACAACACTATCAACATCAATAAGTATGGGTGGCTGCATAACACCACCACGATACGTAGCAGTTACTTTCGATATTTCCGATAGCGACCTTCCATTAAGAATAAACCACAACTTTGTAGCATAATAGCGCATTTTATATGATATGCTATCGTGGAATAAATATAAGAAGAAAAGAACCCTGTAAATTAATCCTTCTTTGAAATTTAGTTGCAAATTATAATCAAATTGAAACAAAATTAACTAATATCAAGGATGATACTAAAATAACGAAAATTTAAAAGTTTAATTGTCTATTGCGCAAATACTTATTTCCTGAATACAGTCGACTCTTAAACCTTCTGAGATAACGCTTAGAAATTTTAAAAATATCGACGAATAAAATATATTCTATTTTTCTAATGTTTTTTATTTTATAAAAATGAAATCTCCATGCTGCTCAAAATTTTTGTCACACTTACCACTAGATTTACTTATTTTTTTTTCCATTTTTATTACGCTTCATATTTTTATTGCCTACTCTTCTAACCTCACTTTTTAAAAATATATTTCAATTTTAACGACAAACTTACGGATGACCAAAATAGAGTAACGATTTAAAGGGAAAATCGAAATAAACACGTGAAAAACTGAACAAGAATGACGTTACAACCATCGTAAACATCGGTGTTTTAACAGCTGCCCACTCTATGATATCCCATAATAAGCAATGAGCTTTCGAGCTATCTTGTCTAGCATTCGTTGCTAGTTCGGTTATCTATATCAAGGTTCTCATTAAATTTAACTTGAACAATTTTTAAATTTCAATTATTTTTTTCAGAAACAATTAAAACAAAAAAAGAAATAGCCAAATATCTATTTACCGTTCTCCAAAAACATTTTGTCACCCGTACGCCAAGTAAAAGACCAATACACGATAGCAAATATGGATTAATTAAATGAAATTTCTGGAATAAATAACATTCAAAATTAAGAAAAGCAACTAATTAACAACTGTTTAAATTGTGTTTATACACATATAAATAGGTAGATAGATAGGTAGCAACCAATAACGAATTAAATCGACTATTAGAAATAAATTAAATAAATAATAAAATATTAGCGGAAAATTACCAGTGAATAATGCCAATATGATTTTGGCAACCACCACATTGTCTTATATAAATTGAGATATTGCAAAAAGAGTGCTAACACGGAATAAAGAAACAGCGTGCATTCGAAGAATAATTCACCTTGTCCTTGAGGCATTTCTGGCCAAACCGGATGAATTTGCGTAGTTATTCTACCATATTCTATACTCCTGCAAATAAATTTCTAGTGTTTTTTTTTACATACATATGAATAGATAAGAACTTACTATTACTACTAGTTAACTGAGGGAACGATAGCGAAAAATATGGAGAGCTTTACAACACTGTAAAAATTCAATCTATACTGCATTTATTTAAGAAATGTAAACCGAGTTTCAATTACACTTTTGCAATTTAAAAGAATCTATATATAAAATAGGAAATGTTATTCTATTCTCGTATTGCTATATTGCATCCCAACGTATCCTTTCAATTACCACATGCTAATATCTATTTTTAACATATATTGTTATGGAATATTCCAAGATAATCTAATACTAAGTATTAGCTCTTACTTAGTTTTCATTATTAAAGTAAGACGAATCCAACAAAATCCTTTATTGTACAAACTTGGCTTATCAATATAAAACATAAGTATCATACAGAAAATTACGTATGCTATTAGTAAAATTCCTAAAAAATTACTTAGCCTCCTCTTTCACACAACTCAACCTTTAACTTATGTACCCAATTTCTAAATCAAATGCGAATAATTTTATACCTTTTCCTATCGTTGAATCGCGCAGAACTAGCAGGTGTTGATGGAGTAGTTGAAACGCAAGGGCGGTTGGCATGGTGTCGATTACGTAACGTTGAACGACCAACCATACTAAATTGTTTTCGAAATTTCATTAAATCCTTTCAAACATTTTTTCCACTTGAACACAATCCTTTAATGTTATAGTGCAAAACCGTACACCTAACATAAAAACCTCTTCCTTGTATAAAGTCAATCAAACATCCAAATTGTAAAACCATCCTAACGGAATGACGGCAATCCTTAAACGAAGAATGATTATCGGGAATTCTACATCTAATTTCATTCATTACATAATGTATTATGCATGTATTTGCCCGAGTGTTTTCTTGAGTAACTCAGGGTATATAATTAGTGCGAATGTGTCTTCTAAATTTTCCTTAAGTACCAATGTATTAAATTTATAACAAAATTCAGATAATAATATTATATAATTTGCCATAATAAAACTTCATGTAAATACATAATAACCAAATCATACAGAATGCCACTCTCAAGTCATTTTTAGTGAAACACTAAAATGAACATCTATTTTGATAAAATTGTGGTTTTTTTTCCGTCTTCAAGTATTTATGGATATATCTTATTCCATCGAAATGACCACTATTTTCTGTGGCAATTTCTAAATTTGTTTTATCCTTTATTTTTTAATAAAATAATTTTTGTAAATTATTGAAAACAAATAGGACTCCAAACGGATTACTGATTTGGTAAAAATTTCTATTCCTTTCTTGGTTCATTAAGAAAACACGAAAATTTGTTCGATCAATTACACGAATTTATACATATTCCACACTACGCACAAAAACTGATATAAAAAAGGCTTCCAATTATATGCACAGGTGGCAATTGTATACATATATAACAGACAATCAATGAACAACTAACACTTTCTTCTGAAAATTCTTTCTTTTTAAATTGATAAGTAAATGAGGCATAAATAAGAAAAAGAAATGCACAATAAAATGGGTTTATCAAATATAGTCGACAATAATATTACAGCAAAATTGAGCGTATGAATTTTTGAATTTTCTTATTTGTTTTTTTTTTGAAATCGAAATATCGGTATTTTCAAAAAACTAATTAAAAAAACAAAAACAACAACGAAAAATAAGGAATAATAAATATTTAATATGAAAGGAAATGATTATCAACTTCAGAAATTTAAAACATTTGGCAACCAAAAATGAAAATGACAATACTTATTTCTGATATCATTTATTCGTTAGAAAATAATTTAGAGTTTTTAAAATTATTTTTGTATATAAAAAATGAAACAAAATATTACATTGTATATATCATAGGAATTGCAAAAATCACAATTAGAAGGATCAACACATAACAGTCATATGAGTAAGCCTAAAAATTCGTATTTCCCGAATGATATAAGCTAAACGAAACTGAATGTTATTTATTTATCATTCGCTTCCTACATTAATGAAAGAAACAGAGGATGGAAAGATATCACATGTGGTACTAAAAAAATTTAATTGATAAATTTCTTTTGGTGCTATTTTCTACCCATGCCATCTACAAGTTTAATAACATTTCCGTAGTTGTTGCTACATTATCATTCTTCTCACAGGTAAAATAAAAAATGATAACATGCAAAGTGCAAGTAAATAAAGAATGATAAACAACTACGGAAATGTTATTAAACTTGTAGGCGGCATAGATAGAATATAACACCAAAAAATTTCTTTCCTGCTAATTGTAACAATTTTAAAGGAAAAAGGAATAAATTCAATTACTTTTTGGAATTGTTAGTATTTATTATTCATTCCAAATCACTTTCATTTGTTTATTCCTTTTTCCTTTAAAATCATTTTTGTTATAATATTTCATTCACAAGTTGCTTAAAAATAATGCTAATAAAGTTGAAATAACTTTTCACTTCCAATCATTTTAAAATCATTAAAGCTATCCTCCTGCTTACCAATTTCATCAAAGAAAAATTTCAAATGACGTTAATTTAATAACTTTTTTTAAATGAATTGAATTTAAATAAAAATTTCAATATTTTGTATAATATTTAGTTTTATGTTCTTCCTCATCCTAAATGCACAAAGAAGATTTTAATATTAGCAATAATTAGAAGAAATAGAATAATAAAATCTAAGTAATTAAAAATTGGAAGGAATCTTTTTTCACACTGCAGAATTACTGAAAAATAATTCTCAAAGTATATACCAATGATAAGAAAGAAAATTTGTAATGCAGACTGGAAATAATGCAGGAGGCAAGATTCTTGTCTTACGAATTTTTTAGGTAATAACTGAGAAATGAGCAAAGCAAAATTATATAAACATTATTTTACAAAACTGATATACATAATTTTATATTATGCCTAACATGATATTTTCATTTAAATTCTAAATTTATTAAAATTTTTTCGAAAAAAATTTTTGAAAACTTTTTCCATTAAAATGATCATTTTCATAATTACTTAACAGGTTTAACTAATAAAAAAGATTAGTCTTTTGCAAAATATTTTTTGCCATCTTTCATTACATTAAATCTGAAAAACATTCCCTCTCACACTATTCACACTTCAAAAATACAATTAATTAGGAGCATGTGAATTAAACATACCTATAGAAAAAAGTATATAAATAAAATTATATTTACTCATATTTTGTCAGTTTTATAGGTGATTTTATACTATTCGATTAATTTGGTTTAAATTTAATTTAGAATCACCTTACACATCATTTACATGTTGTAAGCAACATAAACGGGGTCAAGTATATCTTTTAAGAAAGCATCCCGTAAATGCATCCGCTGCTTTTCACCTCGACTATTTATAGGTACCACTCCAGGATCAACAATTACCACAACACCTACAATCAAATGATGCTCTTCCAACACAGTAGACGTTATGGCTGGTACTAAATCTAATGCTTCTGATTCCGCACTTTCCGTTTCGGCAACGACAACCAAAAGATGTGTCCATGTAAATACGGCACTGAAAATTTCTTTATTCATTACAAGCAGCACATAATGAGCTAAATTTCTGAAGAGCAAATATTCGTTTCTATTAAAATCTGAAACTATTTCCCAGAAATATAATTGAAATATGCTCTCACTTAATAAAAGGTGGATCACTTACACCTCTTCCGTATCAGAATTATCAGCATCAGCATTTTGTAATGAAACTATAGTTATCTTCTTTTTCAAGAATTGAACTCAATGATTAATAACAAATTAACTTGTTTCATTAAAACTCTCACACTATGAAAATATAGAACACGATATGCAAAATAGAATTTTGCGCAAGTTAATACATTTCTTATACCAACAGCTTTGACATCAAAAAAGTGGAAAGTCCATATACAACTACATTTTAAATCTCAAACATTAAAAATTTAAGAAAAATTTATAAGGTCTCAAACTACTAAACAACAGCACCAACCATTCAGAAATTTTCCGATGCGCTCGTATTACGGTTGCTTCGATATCTACGGGATGGTATCTCATTCCACGTAACATCAATGCTTCATCCAACGCACCAACAACAAATACTGCATCGTGCAGCTCTTCAACACACGATTTACTTTTTCGTCAAGCAACTATGTCCAGCAGCAAGTTTAAAAATTTTGATGAAATTAAGTTAATTTAGGAATGCAGAGTCCAAGTACGAGGAGGTTCCAAAAAGGTAGCATTTTATGAGTACTATTAACCCGGAAACAGCTCAAGTTTTGCAAGAATTGTTATTGAAGGCCATTTTCTCGAAATTTCTTGAAACCTGAGGATTTTCCAATTAACAAGAATAAAAAAATCAATAATTCATTTTCGTTCAGGTCCTTAAACATAATGACTTGTGGTTTCCTTTGCAATGTCGAACAGATGAGTAAAGCTGTAAATCTTGAATCATTAAAAGTTATGAAAGAAAAATTGACCACCATCAGCTGTTATGGACTGTGTTCGTCGAAGAAAACCCAAATAACCCGTACGTGCAAAACGTTTAAGAGTGTCACCGGTTGTCAGCCTGAAAACAAAGGCATCTCGGTATGTACGACGTGATTTCACGTATTGAAATAGCAAATTGGAAATAGCAAATTGCCATGCAAGTCTGATCGACGGACAAAACACAAGAACTATCAATAAAAAATAGTGATTAAGCATCCTCATCCATTGTTTTTGTTGATATATCTATGTCCGTATTTATGTTTATGTTACGTTTAACACTGATACATCAAGTTTAATTTACGCATTCAGACTATCTTTATTATTTATTAATTAAGGCTTTTATTATTAAGCAAATCGTGTCTAATGCTGAAATCATTCCGAATATAAAAAGAATAAGATAATGTAGTAATATTACTCTAAATATTAAAATATTAGCAAGAAATAAAGTGACATCCATAGTATAAATCACTAGTTGATTTAGCTGAAGCAGTTTATATTGTCGAAATATTCATTCAAATGGGAGAATTCACACTAATTTTAATAATACATACTAAATAACAAGATAACGAGATGCAGATCAAGTGATGACAGAACCAATGATTTATTGTTTATATACAGCTCAATTCAAAATGTCACAAAAATTACCTTGCATTAAAGTGATCAGTATGTAATGACGTTTCTTCACCGTACAATGTGAAATAACCAACTGCATTATGTGAACATGCAACCCAAATTTCACCCAAGTGTGAATCGGCACACTGACCTCTAGTTTCCGGATTTGCAATCACAACTTCCACACCAGGTAGCAACTAAAATGAATAGTTTCATTTTAATCCAACATATCTTCGTACTTTTTGTGGCCCGAACGATAAGTAACCAGATTTCAATAATATAAAATTTAATCTTTTAGAAATGGAAGAAAACATACTTTTCCACTTTCCATTAATGCTATACTGTGTGGTGCACCCTTTTCAACAAGTGTTACACGATCATTACGTAACGCTCGTGCATCAACGTACACTGTTACCGGATCCGGACTCGCTGCTCCTTGCATACAAATTGCTGTGTTAACCTAAGATTGAAAATGATCTTGAAAAAAAAGTGCCGAAACCAAGAAAAACAAGGTAATTCAGTTAAATAAATATCCCAGTATTATTTGACA